TCCATCCTGTATAAATGCCTTTTGTTCGACGTACTTACCTACATCAAATGGAAACAAAAACGCTCATCTTTTTATTACGTCGGTGTTTTTTGTCAATTTTAAAGATTCATCTTCGTTCTTTCGACGAAAAATTAAATTGTAATCGCATCAAAAGGGAAATGGTATTACTTTTTCGACTTTTCGTTTGTGCTTCGGTCGTTACTCTTAAAAATAAGTTGAAATAATGAAAATCGTAGAACTTTTTGTTCCACGATCCATAAAATTGTTCAAATATGAAGGCTCGCTTCAAATTATATAGTCTGGAAATAATTTATTCAACGTCAGGGATTGTTTACTTTACTTTCGAGCCGGTGAAAACTCCAGAGCTTTTCGCTCCTTTGTCTAGCTGCGGCAAATGCATTTTTCGAGAGCTGTTTCGCATCTATTTATAAATCGAGAGTTTCAATTTCGAATACGCGAAACATTTCATTATTTCCAACAAATTTCCCGCGTTAGCACTTTATGTTATTTTTTCGCAGGTTCCCCTGGAACGCCCGTCATATTTCACCGCGCTTTTGGGAGGTACCTATTAGCGCTGAATACGTTTGTGCAAACTTTCGGAAAACGAGGATTAATAGTGCTATTACTTCGGCTATTTAGACTCGAACAGCAGGTGATATTCGCAGTCGAGTAAATTATCATACGGGAGAAATATTTTACCATTCTTACTCGCTAAGCCGCTTGGAAAATCTTTACTAATTTCTCGTTTAATCAAAGGACAGGTGTAGAGGAATAATTGAAATTGCTCGTCTAGTTTTGGAGTCGAGTTTGTGCAAGATATATTGCTAAATTTATATATTTAAAAAAATTATTTATACAGGGTGAACCAACGAAGCACCTAATGTAATTTACAGGGTTGCACACCCTGTGGTGTGTACTTATATTATATGTAATTATTATGGGACATCCTGTATATTTTTGCAACGGTTCACTCTGTATATTTCAGAGGCAGAGAAAAATGTATACCCTTTTTTAGTTTTAATCCATTTAGTTGATTTAAATGACAACAATACTGCAACAGCGTGATCTATTAATAGAAAACCCCTTGTTATTTTACCATTAACAATCAATCTTAGTTAAATTGCCGTCCTGACATTTCGCAATTATTATTTCCAAAGTTTTAGTTCGCCAGTGGCAAATGCCAATTTCGATTATTTTTAGCGAAATATCAACGCCCAAATTAACTTTGCATTTTCCTGAGTATCTAAAAATATTGACAGGTAGAGCTTTTTTTTCGAGTGATTCATAACGCGTTGTAAATAGGATTTCAAGGGTGCGACCGATCTATTATGATGACGAACCCGTCTAAAAACACACCGTGAAATTGCAAACAAATAAATACATTAGCGATGGGGAAATGGAATCGTAACGATATCATTCCGTGCAGAAAGCGACCTTTTACGGGCAAGAAAGAGAGTAAGAACAAAAAGAAAAGGTCGAATTCGAGATGGTTTTAGATTCGGAAAATTAATTGCCGCAGATTTGTTTGGCTTTAGGCTTAATGCATAACGTGTCGATTTTCCCTCTTGTTAAATCAATCAACGTCGCGGAAAATCCATTCGTTTACCTGGGGCTGAACGCCCAAAAATACATCAAATCGAAATTACTAATTAAATTATCGGAGCTCCTTAATTAAGAAGCTCATTTTGGTTTCGACATCATCAATCAAATAGAATATTGTTTAATTTTAATGGCATAACATATTCGGCATCGATGTTAATTTGCCATTTAATACCCGCCGGTAGCGCAAAGAGTCAAACGGTTACAGCATTTTCGTAATACTTGCCGTTTTAATTGCCAATTTCGTACATTCGAATGGGCCATCAATAAACCAAACTATCTACGTTTTGATGTTTTAATATCGCACAAAATTATTTGGCGCGTTTATTTACATATTCGTATCAAAATAAACATGGAATTTATTAGTGCTGCAATAAAACAAAAAACTAATTTGTGTAATGTTGCGAATCTCGAAAATTTAATATGGATATTTTCGATAACAATCATTTGCGATTTATTATGCAATGCTTGGTAATATACATTTTTTCCTTTTTTATTTGCGGATACTATTCATTAGATTTTCCCGGTTATTTTCCTAGATAACGGCTGCGTCGCGACGCCTAATCGAAGTCTAAGCAATATCGCTCCGAAATAAAATCGCAAAAAAATTAATTCCACCGCAACACGTTATCTAATTAATTTGTTACAACGAATTTATGTAAAAAATATGGAAATGTATTCAATAAATAAATTGTACAACATACTTTTTTGTTTCTAATTAATTAAATGGAATTAATATAGACAACTAATTAATTAGTCTGTTCATGCAAATACCTAAAAAAAAATTTATCCAACGACAAAAAATGTTTGTACGAATATATAAACTCTTTTAAAGTTGGTAAATAAAAATACCAAAAAAAATCTTACATAAAACCACTTCAAAACGGATTATATGTACACGTGAAACTCAAAAGGTATATACGCTAAAGTCGACGACAAAATCTCGGTAAAAAACGACCCTATTTTTCCGCACCACTCAACGACGCCTCGTCGACTGAACTACTTCCCGTCTCTCCAATTTTCCGGTAAAAAAAATTGAATTTTCGCGCGCTCGCGCCGTTGCCAAGTGGCGCGCTCGGTTTTCTGGGTACTTCTAGGCGGTCTCGTTGCCGGCTATACCGAGACTGAGAGAACTTTTCGGCGAGCGATAGCGTCGCGGCGGACGTAGCGACGGCGTCGTCGACGGCGACGACGACCGTTCACCCCCTAAGGACGACGTGGGGCGCCGCGGCGCTGCCCTCGGACGCTCCGGATGGGATTTGTTCGACATCCAAGAATCACCGCGGATCGATTAATTTGATCGATAGTGTGGCGGAAAATCGTTTTTTTGGGGAACTTAAATTATTATTAGCTTCATTAGGGATTGGGTTAATGATCGATGGCATGACGTCGATAATTACCGAATTTACTAAATATAGATGTGTGTAAAAAAGGTGTTTACTGATTGACGAATAGCTGGATTGTTTATGTACTGGTTAAATCTACTGCTATTTCGAATGTTTGTTAAACAATGAACTAATAAAGGCGTTTACTAATGCGTCATCTAATCTCTAAATACGCATTTTTTTTTAAATTCAGCTAACTTAAAAAAATTTACAGCAAACGATCGTATTGAATCCATGCCAAATTTTATTACATCACTTAATTAACGCTACATTAAATTATACCTTAGTATATAAAACAGCTAATTCATTAAACTAACATATACTTTAACTTAACCACAACATAAAACCTTCCATAGTAGAACATTAATCAAATTACACACTACACTAATGAAGCAAAACGACATTGAACCACTTTAAATACGCCCTTAGAAAACCATTAATTTCAATCAAAAAATAAACAAGCGAGCTTTACACACAAACGTTTCCTCAATCCTGCGTCTTGCGTGTAAATTCGGCAACGTGGTCGTTGATATTCGAATTTTGCCATATGAAAAAATGCGATGAGCAACCTAATTGAATCGTTAAGGACACCGAATTAAATTTTAAGCGGATGTTCTCGTACTAATAAAAAGACTTGCAAATTCGTTTGCGAAGTAAATCGAACGTTAAGCCAATGATCGATCATACTGAAATTCCAATTACGCGAATTAATAGGTACCTGCGAGGCACCCTGCAATTGACGTGATCGCTCGAATATTTATAGGGGAAATATTTTTTTTCTCCAGGCCTCATGTTACACAGTAATAATTTCCATCATTAAGCGTAGTTAAATATTAACTAAAACATTGGAGTAATGGGGTTTTTTCTGCTCGTTAAATTTGTTTCGAGTATACAATTTTAAAATTTGCCTATGTATAATAAAGTAAGCTAGTGAATTTTTTTTTCCTCAAAAAAATGTAAAATATATATTTTACGTAGGTAAATTTTACATCGCTCTACATGCATAGGTAAGTCAATAGGGCATAAAAATCAATTATCTGCAGCAGTATTTCTCGACTTTATTTAGTATATCGAGTTAATTTAAAAGAGCGAGGGCGCGCGTTTAAATTTGATTTTTCGCGCTAGGAAAACGCTGGAAAATCGAACCCAATTTCTATAATGTTATTTATACCGTGCCGAAGGAAACATCAATTTGCAATATGCCCGATTGATTGCGACCACCTCGAAATGTCTCTTTTATATTACGAAAGAAAATACGTCAATTCCGAAAAGTATTTTCGCGCGTTTTAAGACATCGAATGATAGAGGATTTAAACCGGTGAAGCTTTTAAAACGCATTCCCACAAACGTTTGTTCTGTCATCGAATAAAATGAAATTGCCTCGAATTATACCCGAATAAATCGTGTGGGTAATATCATTGTTTGATGGATATAAATCGCGATAGTGATCGTATATATTTTTATTAAAATCGAATGATATGAAGTCTCCAGATTAATATGTATAGCATATATTTATAAGTGGCTCTAAATCCTTTGTAATATAATATAATCAATAATAAATAAATAGTGTGACATATCATTGAAATCAGCTTATAGGAGATTTTATAAATATGTACCTACAAAATATATAGGGTGTCCCAAAAAACTGTGAAACCTAACAGTATTTGGTACACTTCTTAATGCTGGTCCTATTATAGAAGCTAAAAATAATAATGGGACACTGGGTAGGTATTTTAATTGCATTAAAATTTTCAACAAAAATGCTTTATGCAAATTTGTTGGTAGATAGGATATTAAATATATTTTGCATCAACAATAGAATGAAACTATTAGAGCGTTTGAATACAAATCCCCATAATTAATTAATTTTTAATAGGATTATTGGAACTGCTATAATGGAATTTCAAAACGCTCCGCAGGGCGAAATAATCGGAAATTTATTAATGCCGCAAAAATTCCGAATTCCCAATTATACCGTTGGAATTTACGGTATAGAAAACAAAGGGGCGCACTCACCGTTCTGTCGTCGGCGTCGCCGTCGCGCGAGCTTCGCACCTCCACGTACAAGGACGGGTCTCTGGTCTTCTGGCGGCAGGCGTTGTGCCTCTTCAATTTGGCACAGCCGCTCCCGGCCGATCGGAAGCTCCCAGCGCTGTAGGATGGACGGCGAGAACCGCCGCTGGTGATGCTGCCGCCTCCGCCGCCGTCGTCCGAGTTGATGCTCTGCGGACGGCGTCGACTGCGAGAGGAGAAAAACGAACGAACTGTAGTATAGAACTAAATAGGAAAGGGGTAGAAGTTTAGGTGTAGAACTAAATAGGAAAAAAAATATGTGGGGAATCGGGGGGAGTTTTGCACACGTCGATATGTCGGGAAAATTTGCTTTTACTTATCGTATATTGGATGCGAAATGGGGAAGGTTCAATGGAGACAGAGTGATTTCCTATTGCATGGAAATATCGGGTTCTCGAAAAGGTCGGAAGGAATAAAAATGTGAATTAAGTGGTTGGTTATTTTTAAAGGGGCCTTTTTTTATACAATATTTCAGCTTAATGATGCGATTTTTTTATGAAAATAAAGCAGATTCTAAAATGGAAAATTATTTCTTCTCCCTGAGAAAAAAAACCTTATTAGAAAAATCCAAATTATTGCAGTACATCTCATTTCTCCTGACCATTACTCCTTATTTGAATAGAGTTTTTGTAGAAAACTATACCAATTAGTACAAGAAAATCGAAAACTTCTAATTTATATATTTTTACGAATTATTTTAAAATAAACATGTAATTTCGAATTTCTGGTTCGTCCGACTGCCGCGCGGCGTGTTTTTTGGCAAGAGCGCTACATATTTCGTGCGATTTACGAAATTATTTTTAGGCTCAAATGGCCCTCGAATTTATTAGAAGTGCAACAGGAAATTGCAAAACGGATTTCTGTCATCGATTAAATATCGTATCGCCAAATTTTACAAAACGCTACTTCGCCTCAAAACGGGTAAGTTCGAAACGTTTACAAAGCCAAATTTCTCCATGAATTCTAGACGGTGTGATGTGGTGGATAAATATTGGTTTTATTGGTTAACTTTTCGACATGATAAACTCGTTGATAATCTAAAATTTTCCACCTTCAATCCCAAACCTTTCACGAACAAACCTAATAATAATTCGTCTTCTGTCAATAACCCGGAGATTCGGAAAATTACGGTTGAATCGTTAACATAGACGTACATCATGCCAAAAACAATATTTAGAAAAACAAAAATTATTTTAAGATTTCATACAGGTAACCAACAATTAGAAAATAGATTATTAAATACCTAATATGCCCAAAGTAGAATTACACTTGTTATTACAATATTCTCTAATAGTATAGAATAATATCGGTTAAATAGTAGCCTTTTTCCAAATAAAAATAATAATCGAGTATATCCTTCAGAAATAAATTATTTCAGAGTACGCCAATGTTTGTAAACATGTTGAAAGTCAAGTCGGTGACAATCCAACTGATATGATCGATTTTACGGTGGTAGTCTTTCGAGACTTTTCTCAAACTTCCTATAAAGCCGATTCCGACAGTAAGAATTAGAAAGAACTTTTGCACCTGCAGGTGAAAAATAAAATTAAAAAACTATACCTTCTTAAAGAAACCAATCGCTCAAAAACAAACCAAAACCACTATCAAAATAATAAATTATAGAGAATATTAGTGAGAGACACATATATTTTTAAACGTTTTTAAAATTTAAAAAGCGTTCAAAATGTTACCACACTAATGTCCTCAGTTCTCAGCTTGAATAGGAAATTCAAGTCGGTGCATATAGATTAAAAATTTAATCATCCCCAATGGGTTTCGGGTCGATTTTAAAATTCCTAATCGATGGTGGTGTGGCCTGATTTCCATAATTGTCCGGAATATTATACGGAATTCGTAATTGGAACGGCCAAAAATATTACTTTACTTTATTACTTACTATCGGTGAATGGAAGAGGCGCTCTCGGAAATGCTATCCACATCGTGGTGGAAATGATGTAAGGACGGAAGAGATTGGGCTGGTGTTGGTGAAGCTACTGGTATATCTGAAATAAAATCAATTAAATCTACGTATTAATTGATGTTTTGTATATATCTCACTTGTGTCATCGTTTACGGAAGACAGTCGAAGGTACGATGGCCTTTTTAATTTAGGAGAAGTCTGAAAATAAAAATCAAACGTAAATCTCGATTTAAAATTCAAAAGCTTCAAATCCACCCCCATATAATGTATTCCTATTTACATAATTTCATTTTATTCATTACGCTGCATGCGAAAATCCATCTAAAAATAACCAATTAGGTATGTAGGCAATAAATTTTCGCATTTTATTTAATACATTCGAAAATTTTATGCACTAATAAATAAACTACTCGAAATTCCAGCCGATAAATCAGTCTCGTTCATCTAACTACACTGCTATACTAAAATATAAATGTTTAATTCGTATCGAAATTGTTTAGTATTTAAATTACGTGTAATTTACAACGCTGTGAGATCGATGCAAAAACGTGCAATTTTGAATTAAAACGACAAAATTGCATAGTTAATAGCAAAAATTAATAGACTAAAATGTTGCAATTGGAGGAAAATTTTACAAGGTGGCACAAAATTCTAATGTTCTAAGAGTGAAAATGGTACATATTGAAGTAAATAAATTAAGTAATGCAAATATTTGATAGTTTTTTAATTTAGAAGAAAATGTATTTTTAAATAATAAAACAGTTACAATGGTGAAATAATACAGTGTGAGTCAACTAACCGGTGTAGGTAGGTACTCACAGTATTTCTTTAGTTCAAAAACTATTGATCTACTTGTTATCCCTAGCAGTTAATAATTTAATTTCACGAATAATTTTCGATAGCACATTTAAGTTATATCAGGAAAAAATCTATACTTTATACACTCATTTTCTTACCTTTTCAATCATGCTCTGAGTCCTGCCGATGTACCCTTTATTCTCCCCCTTACCGGCCGTCAAATTAACAGGATCGTAATTGATGTCATTCAAAGCATCGTAATTGACGAAACTCAAGTCATTATAGCTGACGCTAGTATCCGTTTCGACGAGCGATTGAAGCGATTGCCTCCACTCCTGGTTCTTCTTCTCGACGAGCTTCTCGCGAGACGGCGCCGCCCCGGCGGGCTTCTTGTTCACGTCCCGGAAGCTGAACGACCGCCTCAGCGTGCTGATGGGCTCCTCGCCGATGTGCACCAGCTTCTTGATGAACGACGGCGTCCGTTGCAACACCGATTTATGGCTCAGCTCCAGCGCGGACGCGAATTTCTTGCTCTTCCCCAGGTTATTGGAGAAGAAAACCGGCAACTGGGCGACGTCGTCGTGCTTCTCCTCCTCTTCCTTATTACTAGTTTCTTTGGGTTTCTTGTCTTTTTTGCCGAATAAAGCGTTGAAAGATATCTTCTTTTTCTTCTTCTCTTTATCCGCAGTCTTTTTGCTCTCTTTGGTTAAGTGGTTATTCGATTTGGTGTAATCGTTGTTGTCGTTCTCGTCGAGGACGTACGCGTCGCGATTGCAACACTCGCTGATCGTCCTCCGGTGGTAATTCACGAAATTGTTCCTGCACTCGGCGAACTCGGCCACTTCGCCGTCGAACACCGACGTCCGCCTGTGATTGTTCCTCAACGTCACCGCGTCCGAATTCGCGGCCTTGTCGCGCGTCATCACCGACGATTCGACGATGTTCACCGCGTTCTCGCATATGTCGCTGAGGACGCTCTTCACCGACACCTCCGCGCTATCCGGCTTATCTTCATCCTCTCGAGTCGGGCTTAATTCCGCGTTATTTATGGACATTTTGCTAATCCCTTTCGTCGGCCGGACTTCGACCCTTCCGTCGCTTGGCAATCGTTTCGATACTGCGGCACGTGAATCCTCCGATACCATCATTCAAGCGCCACAGTTAACACCTTTTTGTGGGTGTATAAAGGACATTTTATTATGTAGGTTACTGATTTATTTGTGAGAACGTGCGTTTGTGCAGTTTGGTTGTAATGATTTAAGTTTATTTCAGGATTATTTAAGAATTAATATGGTCTAGATAAGACGAAAATGGCTTTTAATCGAAAGGAAACGGCGCGTGAATTGCAATATTCAATAACTATGTAAGTGCACCAAGGACGATCGGGTTGTGCAACGATTTCTTGCATTATTTATGTTAGATGTAAAAGATACGAGAAATCAGATATGATCGATTTGAGGCAAATGAGATTATTCGAACGGGGATTTCTATTAAATCAACCTTGATTTGCGCATTTTCCTAAATTAAATTCGAACCGAATGGACGATTGTCGGTGAGAGATGGCATCTAATCTATTTATAATTACAAGCACTTAACCCGCGTCTTGAACTTCAAACGATATAAATATCTTTAAGCGCCTTGTCCTAGAACTTAAAATCTTTTTGGGCTATTTGCGCGTCGCTGGAAAGTCTGCTCCAGCCTTGCGAATATTCGTTCGCTACAACAGTGGATGGATGTAAATTGGACGCAAAAGGGATTATAGATTTTAATCCTGTGGGAGAATTGGACGAATAGAATGAAAGATCCTTTAAATCTGACAGGTAAATTAACCACAAATAAGTATTTTAGTGATTGAGCTCGTTTATCTATAGCAAAGTATTTTCATGCACATATTCTCTTTCAATAAATTATGAAAATTAGAATTCTCCAGCCTATCCAACTCTACTTTCTATAGTTTCTACTCTGTACTGTTTATTCGCTACACTCTGCTCTACTCCAATTTCTTTCAAAGTTTACAATGAACTCAAATAATAAACCCCTTATCTCCTTGAAATATTCTCTCGTCCAATTTACCTTTTATAAGCTTTTCGGTAATAAATATATTATTTCTGCGTCCAATTTACCGCCAGCGACAATAGTCGATAGTGTATAGCGTTAGATACGAAATTCCAACAGGAAACTGTCATTTTTCAGCGGGTATTCGTGACGCCAGTCGCGACTTGGGCCGTGCGTGTATTTTTAGCGTAAATACCGATGTAACTTATGTATCACAATAAAACAACAAATAAATTTTTCATCGCCCGACGAATTTTCTTCGTTCGTTATTAGATTGGCAATGGGCATTTTAATGAAATATACGACGTCTCCGCGTTTGACGACTATAAATAAAAACAATTCGGAGCCGGTGACGGAGGTAGATTTCGATTATGTTTCTGCCCCGTTCCATCGAGTCGGGGATTTTAAAGTGAAAACGTGGCAGTGAAAATAAATAGCTCGAGCATACGATGTTAGTATACGCGAAAATCTCTATTAAATGCTAAAAATAGCGGCGTAGAACATAAATCGACAGATATTTCCACTCTCGAAAAGAGCGGTCAGTTAATGAAGACAGCGAATACGCGAATAACAACCGAAATAAATCTATAAGTCGGGCGCCAATAATCGCATCGATGGAGTATTGTCGCGTGCACGAAATTAGCTTCAATCTCGAAATAAAACGCGTTCACGTCAAAAAAATGGATTGAATTTATGTTTTAGACTTTTTATTAGATTTGTAAGTTGGATTTTTGTAGCTGGTAAGAATAGAAACGGCCTTCGAAATGTATACAATAATCGCTCCGATTATCTAACAGTGTATGGAAAATAAGTAAAATATCTACCTAATAGGTACATACGTATAAAAATAAAATTAATTTTTTTATTGTAGAAATGCACAACTACATTAATTAAATATATTTTATTAACTATCCGTGATATAGGTATAAAATAAAATAATTGAAAACCCTAATTTTTAATAAATATGCAATTTAATCCAATTTATAATACACACTACAAATTTATGACGAATATTTACGTACATGCGTAAATAAATATAAAACGTTCGTAAAAAAGATATGTTTTAAAAATACAACCCATAAATATTTAATTAGGTTCTCAACGAAATTTAAATAGGTACCTTTATCTATAACGGATAAATAAAAGTAGATAGGCATAATGAAATTATATTCAATAAAAAATTGTGAAATAAATATGCAATTACCGATGCACCTCGTATAAAATATACATTTATGTAAAAGCGTTATTTTTTCTGTTGTTTTTTGCTATAAACATGTAAGTACGATTTGATTGTTCCATAACATGGCGATAAGGAATAATTTGTTTAAATTATTGATTCATTACGTATAGGTATGTATGCATGTGCTAGTACTTATTAATTAATCAAGTTTACGACAGCGTGTGATAATAGCAAACAGACTTTTATTTTCAATATTCTCTATCTGTTTTATCGATTATCGACATCAAGGATTTACAACTCTAATCTAATCGCAAGGTTATCTAGAAAAACTACATAACAATATATCTTTCGACATTTTAAATCTTATATTTCTGAATTGTTGAAAATATATGAAAAATATTTGAAATATGCCAAAAAAATTCAATTTATAAAACAAATACACCTTTACCTAAAAGGGACATTGTTTATTTACCTTATACACAAACCTAATTCGACTTTAATCGTTTTCCAATTATGTTCTTGTTTTCTTTGCTTAATTTTTTCACTTTCCTTCAACACGAGAAGAAAATTCGATAAAAAAATATTTACATTTCTTATCTAGGTAATTCTAAATCATTTATTTATATACGCATAATTAATTCAGCCTAATGTGAATAAAAATATTTTTGTATACATCTGAACAATTGTTTTGATACAACATTGGTTATTTTCAATCTGTTATTTTGACTGTACCTACACCTAAACCGAGCAAGTGATGAGAGACAACTCAAAGTTTTCCTTGTATTTAATAACAGATTTGCTTGCGCATGTATTTAAAGTTGCACCTAATTACATTAAATTCGGTAAACAAACTTCAATTTTTAATATTATGCAATATCACTTACGATCCAAATTTCTCTGCCAAAATCAACATCGCGTGTTACAATATTATCTTGTAGGATTTATACCACTGCCAACGTTTCGCCAATAAACCCGAAAGAAACAAAACCCCATTTTCCATCCTTCCTAAAGTTGAAAACGCCGCCTTGTAAAATTATGTTCTATCACGAAATACCATTAAAATATGCCTCAGTAATACGTCATTAATACAGGAATAATTATCCCAGAAATTGTTCATCGAAATTTCGTAATTGCATCGCAAAATTAGTTATTCGAGACTTTAAATGTGGTATAATTATACGAGTAATTAACCATGTAAATTATTTATTAGTAATTTTTTGGGTATGCAGTTTCAAAATTGATTTGCAATAGTTTACACTCAAAATAAGGTATTCATATATGGTTAAAAATTGTTAAGTGTAAAATGGTGTGGGGAGAAGAAAAAAGGAAATTGTAAAATTAAATCATATTCAGTAATACTATCAAGAAGATTAATTTTGTTTTGGAATTTTAAATATGGGCATAGATTATTTAGCAAAGGATAATTTTTTATGTTTTTGTATTTCAAAAAAATAACTCAATAATTAGACTTGTTGATATCAAAAGCTAAATAGCTTTTACACAAATCAAGTTCTCACAAACAAAAAATAATAAATCTACAATCACCCTTCCACGCGACCCGCTCATGATACTTACAAAACTTCAGTTAATCCTCATTGTAAACAAATCACCAAAAATTCACGATAAACCCATCTTTTTTATTGACACACCGTAGCAGAAAAACACATTTCCTTTTCACGCACACACAAACACGCACCGATCCGTCGCGAATGCAATGTTTTCGTTTAGTTTTCCGCACGTTTCGAATTCGAAAACCCCATCCTATAAGTACGCACGCCGTTTGTTCGCAACGGGCGATAGCAGGCTTTCCGACAAATCGAAAAAAAATAATATGCACAATCGCCGGCCATGTGACTCGGCGAAAAAGGTGGGACAATCGAGTTCGCCTGCCGGGCCGATTAAACGCAAAACACGACGTTCTCTCCTATTCGAACGAGAGAAACTGACAGACTATTTACTTATTTACGGCGTAAGATATAGTTGTATTCGCGTACGTAGGGTATACCTGCTGCAAAATTGAATGTGGATGGATCCTCATACGGCACGGTGAAATTTAAAATTGGCTGCATTCTGGATTTCCAGCTAAACCATAGCCGTACGTTAAAATTGTGTTGAATTGGATAAATTTTATCGAATTTACTAAGTAAAGAGTTCGTGAATTTTTCTAATCAGTAAATTTACTTATTAGGTGATATGGTTTGCAATTTTGACTTTATATGAGTCTTATCATAATCGCCTTGTTTATGTAGATACTCATACGTTCATATTTCATAAAAAAAGATAAATATTATCAAAAGTTATAGACATAAGTACAAGGTGTTTCTAAATATTTACACAAAAGTGTACCACCTATGTTTATAAAGAGGGTATTTTTTTGGTATATTTTATGTTCAAAATTTCTTCTAAATATATGTAGAAGAAAAAAGGCAAATTTCAGGAGTTATTTGAAAAATTTAGTTTAAATAACTTTTTCCTTTTTTTTCGACACAAACAAATACGCATTAATTTTCATTTACACTTCAATAAACAAATCAGATGGTCAATTATATGAGCTGAACAAAGAATGATTACTAAAATAATAGTTAGAGTGAGAAAGTTACAATCCCACAATATCACTCTTTCTTTTTCCTTTTATATAAGACATGGAAGTTGTCTTTGTTGCACCCATAGACCATATTGCGTACCTACTTATTCGCACTTAAATATTAAACAAAGGCGATAAACCAAAATCTAATACAATAAATTAGATATTCCAGCACCAGTTCAGCACAAACAGCTTTCCCCATCAATATACATTATTGCAACAAATTCTGATGTAAAAAGTAAAATAACATACTTACGGGTATATAAAAAAATTCAGATTGATCCGATTGATCCGGTTCAGGAGTGCCTCGGACGATTTCCTTTCCTGCAAAACGAACGCGTTATACATAACTAATCGAATCTTAATAAAACTACTAAATTACTAATCACGGTAATTAATTTAGGTAGGTCCGACAAACCGAAACTCCCAAACTTAATCAAAAACCAATTACTTAACACAAGGCCCCGGATTTACGATACTCCGTCAGATTTCGGATGCACACGAGATTCACACGTTACATTCACGCGAACTTCTCCAACTCCTTTTCTCCTGGAAATCAACGACACATACTTACATCGCTTCGCGGTTAAAGGGAACATCGAAAACGACAAGGAAACTTCGGTTTATCAATCAACAGAAGCACCGAGGAATCGATGGCGAACGACAACAACTAACCCCGACCCGGCAATTGCATTTTCATTCCGCACCTGGTTCCGAACGGCACTAACGAAACTCTTCGCTTTCCTGCCTTACCAACAACCTGAGGTGTATAATACCATTACAGAGCCGGAATATTCATTAATGCGGCCATCCGCATTCTAAATTACAACCCTACCTAACGTTTGAATGTAATTTTAATCAACAATGCAAGTGTTAAAAATTTAACTACATATAGTATTGTGTTTCGATATTAATTCTTATGTAACATGTTGAAATAGTTAGAATGGAAGAATTTCAATACGCGCCTGTGATGGCGATTATCTACGCAGCAAAGGGAAAATCACGAACTTCCCACATACACGAATACTTTTCCACTTTTCCATCGGCCGTTATCTAGCGGGGAAATTATGCAAAGCGTTCGTTAGGGTAATGCAGCAGCGAATAAAGTTGAGATTAGCGTACAGTTGTCGGCGATAACCGCAGATTTTATCGCGTTCGTTTGTGAGGGTTGTTGGTATTTTTAGATTCGGTGAATTCGGCATATCGGCCCATCGAGTGGTTTTTCCGACGAAAACACCGCAAATTCGTCAGTGGAAACTAATAATCCGCGATAATTCCATTACGATTTGCGGTGTTATTAATTAAATTACAGACTTATGGAGCCCCCAATTGATACCGAGTGGTTGATTTATTAATCGCCTATATTATATTCATAAATTTTCATATAACATCATTTATTAAAATTGTTTTAAATCCGGCTCTACAATTAAACTTTATTTTTATTAAAAGATTAATTGAATGGCAATTTAATTCGAAGTGGTACCCCGCTGAATGATCTAATACTTTTATAGAGATATACGTGTTACAAAACCATAAGTTCCACAGTTTGCTTATGTGATGGATGATTCCCAACGTTTGTTGGTTTAATTAGTAATTAAGCGAAATTCGTTAAGGCGATATAGAGCAGGTAATCGAAATAAATTAGAAAAACATGAAGCAAATTTTCCGGCCGGAATTTTAGGAGCGATTCGCGTTTTGCTGCTATGGCAAAACAATTCGGTCACGATTCGGAAGAGCGCCGAAACTCCAACGAGACACCGAAGGAAAAATATCTGCACTCGTCATTATTTTAAGTGCTTTCTGTTCTACGACGTTTTTCGTCGCTTCCTAATATTAATTCCTGCTGAGGAACGCGCCGAGCGGAAACATTTCCGGAATATCTGATGCGACCTCGACCTCTGCAATTTTCCACGAATCGAATCCGAAATTTTAATTTCCTCCATGTTACTTCCTGTGGTGTCTTATATTTTTAATAATAGCGCATTTTTCATACAGGTGCTCGAGGAATGCGAGAATGCACCCTCGAATTGCACTAGAGTATAAATAATGCACTACCGAGCTAGCCTATTAAATGAACAACTCCCCTGACATGCATGTAAAATATTCAAAGTGGGAGCATCAAATATTTGTTCATGCAACTACTTTGCGTAACTATCCCAGTGAAAAATATCCGCATTTTACTTTTTACTTACGCCCCGGTAAATTTCACCGTTTGCGGAATTCTTCGACGTCGACTTCAGCTTTTTCTTTCCGCGCTCGCGGGGGTGGAAGAACTTTTTTTCCAGCGAGAACGTGCATGCACTCGTCAATTACTTAAGAATATTTTCGGCGCGGATTTGTCTCCATACCCGAGCGAGATGTGCCGCGAATTTAGGACTAAAAATAATTCAGTTTATTCGGCGCATTTTCGCGCGGATGCGCTAAAATCGGACGTTGATAAATCTAGTTTAACACAACGATAATTATTCGTTCCATTTCTTTGTTAATTACTAGCCTGAAAGTGTCACCGAAAGACCTCTGTTTTAACATGAAAATTACGCCACAAATGATCACAGAGGATTAATGATCGTGCGTTAGGGACGTTCATTAGTTTGTTTGAATTAGGCCTCTATGTCAAACGTATCAAATTGTCCCTCTGTTAGCCGTTATTAATGCTGATTCCCGACGATTATACACGATTTATCCATATACGTTCGGAAGGGCCCGAATATTTAAGTGGCAGCGCAAATTTATTTTTCTATCGCACAAAGTAAACTTTGCCGGATTAGGATGTAGTTTGTGTATGCCCATTAACGCAATCAACCTCAGCAGTAAAGGACGCCGGGACTGCAGGACGAACGGAAATTGTTACGCAGGACTGCAACGTTGTGACAACAGATTAACCTAATCCTTTCGCTTAATCAGCACTCAGGAACGCTTGCACGATCGCGATTACATTTACACAATGACAGTTTCACCTAATGGAAAAGTCGAGTTTAAAAGGAAAATTCGTAACAAATCAATTGTAACAATGATTATTTAACATTAATTTAACTCATATAAGCGAGATAAATAGTAGTAAATTTTGTATTATTTATAGAGTTTATATTATTTGTACGTTGATTGATTATTTGTATTAATTGATTTATATTAACAAACTACAAATTAGATCATTTTTAATCAAATTTAACGTACGTGCCGCCCTCTGATAACCATTAGCTAAACTAACACATTCCTGTTGGGATCGCTTGGGTTTCCTACACAAATCCTGAAAGCATTGTAAAACTGGTTGCCTAACTTAATGTAACCCATTATTATTCGACTATACAGATATTTACGAAACTTTCTCTTATTCTAACGTTGCGTTTTTCTGCTTCGAGCTGGTTTCAAATCATATAAAGTACTTACCTTCGATACAAATTAATGCATCTAGCCTTTCGAGTTGCAAGGAATGCAGTCCGTTTTCCAAATCCTCGGAATGGCTCAGAAATTTACCAGTCCCCAGTGACCACAGCTCGCGTTCCCTGTCTCTCATATTGTACCTAAAAATAATAGCAAATATGGTGATTCAAATACTTAAAAACTTTATTTAAATAGAATAGGATGCAAAAACTTGCAGGATTATCACATTTTTTTCTCCACTTTATAGGTAAACTTATCTAGAACACACTAATAAACTGGCAATTTGTAACAAATATGAGAAACAACGAACTCAATTGTGAGAAACCTGTAGTAGATAACAAAAACTACAAATTAATTAATTTAATGTTTAATTTATGCATACACTTTATGAAGAGAATGATATGCAAGAGTACGACTAAGTACATTGCGGGGCCGGTCCTCGCGCAGTGACATGCGGGGCGCCCATGACAGGAGGACAGGGCGGCGGGACGCAGGGCGGCGACGGGCACCCCGTCGTGCATCTCAGCCCGAAGGGCACCGGGTACCTGGGGGCGATGGGCAGGCAGGGCACGCCGCAACAGCCGGGCGGTTTGTTGTGAGGCGGCGAAGCCAGGCACCTGCCGGCGCACTTACCGCCGCAAGAACACGACATGAATTTTGCGATGAGATGGAATGGAGGCGAAACGAAACGATGCTGGATGATACGGAATGATGGAAAGTGACGGTTTGATTCGAATTTTAAAGGAGGGCTCGTACGAGCATTTACAATCGTCCAATCGCATTCGCACTTTACTATACAAACCGTATAAACATATTTGGAACATACTATTGGAACAAACCCGTTACCTACGTATTTCAAAACGTCAAGTAAAACCTAAATTGTCAACAACTGCATCAGTTCATTCCAGCGCATTTTCCTATCTTAAATTATGCCGTGTTCATGTGGCGCCAATTGCGCTTGTTCCACCTGCCCCCCATCGTGCGGTAGACCCAGGGCCACGATGCCGTGTATGACGCCGCAGAGGGCATGCCCGTCGCCGCCGTGCGTACCGCCGCCGTGCCCGCCCGTTAAGGGGGCGCCCAGAATGACCGCCCAAGGCCCGGCGCCCTAACTTTAACATTATACCTTAACAAATATGATTGAATGTCGCAATAAAATTTGGAACTATTTAACTGCTGTTTGTATTTTATTGAATATTTGGTAGTATATCGGTTATTCTTAAGGATTCTATAGGATTTTGTAGAAGTGTTTAGATAATAATTAAGTGTACTAAAATTGAATTGATGAAAGTACATGAAGATTTTCTATGAATTATTAGTAGAAAAATTAGAGAAAGTTATCTACTATTATTTTAATATTTTTGGCAGTGATACCAACTATTTCAATGCTTCAATTATCATTAGGTAATCAAAAATCACTAGAATCGATTTAGTGATTAGATAGCTGAAAGTATAAAAATTAGTTTAGCGTTTCCTCAAAAATATTACCTATATCACACTAAGTTGCAGCTAATAATTAAAAAACGATGTACGACGAATCGTACTCGCTACTCTATCGCTATTTCTTAATTTAACCTACTAAAAAAATAAGAAACTTGTAATTTGTAAATTAAAATAGAATTATGATACATTTTTTTTGAATAATCTTGAAGACATAAGACATCCCAATTATTTAATTATTAAAGCATTTGTGCTCATTAAATCTATTACAATCTAATGTAGTTGACGAGTAATAAACACTAGAACAAAATCTGGTTGTCCTCGGTTTCGCGTTCAGTCATTCAAACAGTCATTCAAACATCACACGCAAACTCAAAATTCCAGTGAAGATTTCCCGAAATTTCCGGACAAACATTAACTACACAAACACGATTTAGAACAAGAAAACGAAAATGGAGAAAGAACTAACGAAGTGCCAGTGTCCTCCACTCGAAGAACAGAGAAAGCACGTCCGCAAAACTCGAGCGAAAGACCGCGACGTGGAGGCAACGTTGCGCGAGCACACCCAACCCATACCCATGTACAAGCCGGTGGAGATATTCTGCTACAGGGCGGGATGCTGCCCGAGCTGCGCCCCGGTGACCGACCTGCCATCGCCCGCTCCCTGCAAATCCCTCGGAGTCGACTGCGGCGGGCGCCACGACGTCGAGATCACCGTCTTCCCGCGCATCGACGTGAAGGAGATCGACGCGTGCGTCCGCTGCTGCACGTGCTGCAGCGGCTCGTGCAGCGGCCCCTGCAGGTGCACCAGGTGCCTGGCGTCGCCGCCGCACAACAAGCGACCCTTCGATTGCGGCGTGCCGTGCCTGCCCATCGCGCCCCGATGCCCGGTACCGTTCGGCCTCAGGTGCACCGCCGGGTGCCCGTCGCCGCCCTGCGTGCCGCCGCCCTGTCCTCCTGTTTGCGGCAGCCCGCCGTGCACTTCTTGTTGATCAGCTTCAAAACGATGAAACACATTTATTACTGCTACTAGCACTAGCCAGTTGTCTCAATGCTAGATTTATCCGATATTGTCGATACCTTTTACAATACCACACTGGTATTATGTACACTATTATTTTAATAAAATTCTAAATCGATTTTGTGCTTCGAACTTATTCTAGTAATCTTCAAAGTATTGCAAACTTAGATGAAAATATTTTTCACCAGGCTCTTCCTGGCCAAAGAAATGCTCACATCCTATCCACCTTAAAATGCAGTGAAAACACATTTCGACGATCAATATTTTATTACTACGACCAGTACGTGAAAAACAAAACTAGCGTGAGTACGACATTTTCCCATGAATAGAATTGTTTGATTTTGCATGTTAAAACAAAGTCATTCCGCATACCAAGCAATTAGTCCTATTGGCCACCTTGTCGTAGATGTTGCTGCTCTTTTGCTGCTGGAGAGCAGCGCCAGATTGTGTTTTTGTATGTGTGCTGTAAGGGACCTGGTTGTAGGGTCCGAGTTGATTGCGTGGTTCGGTGGTGATGGAATCGCAGGCGATGTCCCTAGAAGAAGGATTCGCCGAGCAAGCTTTGTCTTGAGATGATGTAGAGATTTCTTCGGTATCTTGAAACAACCCGGTGATTTTAACTAAAGCATCCGCGTCTATCTTTTCTTTGCTGTTGCTGTTGTCCATCAGCCCCGAGCATTTGGGACACAGTTCCTGCGTGTCCAAGCACTTGACGCAGCATTGCGTGGACTTGTGCCGGGAGATGATGAGATCGGAGGGATCCAAACCGTTGTGTCTTTTGAAGGGCATGTGAAAGTCACTATCGGATTCTTTGCATTTATTGGTGGACAAGGTTTTCAACGAGCAAATATCCTGATGGCTCGTATCGCACGACATTGAACAGTCCGATTCCAATTCGACGCACTTTAGGAATAACTGCGACTCCTCGGAGTCCAGCTGGCTTTTCGATTGTAACGAGCGCAACTGGTCGACGAACTTCAGCATGAAACCCTTCACCACGGCGTATTGTTGGAAGTGGGTTTTGCTGCACTTGGAGCAGGGCGCGTAAATGTACGGGTGTTGGAGGACGCGGTTCGAATTTTCCGACGATGATTTCGATGGTAATTGTATGTATAAAGCGTTGCCTTTTTTTTCTTCGCTCATTGCCGAATTGGCTATTTCCCTAGATTTCACTGGATAATTTAACGTGAAAATGTAATATATTGCAGAAAACCGTCATTTTGACATCAAGTCTAACTACAAGGTGTGTAGTTATAGTCGAATTATGTAGCAAACAAAATAATACCTGCGAAATTGTTTGTTAGTAGTAATTGTTAGAACAAAATGAAAGTAAACATCAAAATAAAGAATGTTAAAAATTCAACTATTTTCTAGTTACACGACTAATAAGTGGTAAATAAATCCAAGTCACCTTATTGATTTTGATATGACAAAAGTGACAGAAAGTCATTGCTAAAATTTAAGAAACTAATTGGATTTGATTTTTTTTAAAGTAATGCTACCAAAATCTTCAATAACATGCAAGAGCCGATAAAAAAGAAGGCACCGGCACCGTTGACGAAATGCTTGTGTCCGCCGCTCGAGGAACCGCACAAAGTGAAAAAGAAACCGAAGGAACCGTCGTTCTATTTGGACAACAAAAGACGAAACGGCTTAGAAGATGAATTAGATATACTCGATTTAGACGCGACGGAGAAGAAAAGCGCGTCGTCATTGAAAGACGCGGACGTTACGGAGTCGGTGAACGGGGTCTGTATCCAGTGCAATTTGCCATCGAAACCGTCCACATCGTCCATAGAATGCGGCAAATGCGACGTGGAGGTGGTGGTGGCGCCGCCGGTCGAGGTCAAAGGCGTCGACGCTTACGTGCAATCATCATCGACGGCCGTCAACGTCCAGCCGGTGCGGGAAAACTATAATTTCTCATCGCCCGGTAAGACTTACTTCGACGAGAACCAGCTGAGATCTACCAAATCGACGTCGCCGTTCGGTATGAGGTACAGTGCGGTTCAAATGCCTCCGGAACCGCCGCTGAGACCGCAAATACAAGCCATTCCCACTCAGTGTTTGCGCACCTCCAATCAACCGTTTAACAACAACAACATCCAGACGTTCAATACTTGCATGCAGAACCATCCGGTTGTTCAAATGGTCCCTTGTTCTAACACCTTCATGTCTACTAATTGTACAAAACGACCGCACACCAGTTCGTTGGACGTTTCTTCCGCCGGTAACATGTTTTACGCACCGAATAGATCCCCATCACCGGCTTCTTCGTTGATGCCCACGCCTTATCCGAACGCGTACAAGAGATCCCCGTCGGCCAGCAGATGTCCGATGATGAATTACACTTCCCACATGAGATCTCCTTCTCCCATGGCGTCCTCGCCTCCGGTGAGGAGCCCCTCGCTAGTCAGGAACCCATGCCCCATCCCGATGAGATGTCACACATCTAACCACGGTTTCTTCTGCACGTCCCCCGCGCCCGACATGTCTCATACAATGAGTCCCGTGGGCAACCAAACGTCTCACGTGCCGCTGACCAATTCGTTCCATGCGAACGCCCAGCCCAAACCGATGCTGCCCAAATCGCCGTCGATGAACAACACCGCCCATTTGATGCACTCTCCGCTGCATTCGATGTACGTCAAAGGCGAGGCTGCCCACTCGGGGCACCGACCTCGTTGCTCCAGCAGCGATAGAAGATCGTTCATGAAGCGTTTGTTCAATAAGCACCCCTGACTATTTCCTGGATATATCGATTTAAATTTATTTCGAAAATAAAATAGCTTATTCAGAGTAGATTTTTGCTGTTGTATTATTTTATGTAGCGCGTGACGTCATCGTTGGATTAAAACGAGCGGACTTTATGCGATTTAGGTGTATAATACTCACCAAGAGTGGTTATAATGGATCATGATTGAAGGGCGAAACACAATTGTATATCCTCGTGTGGCGATTAATAGAGTCTTTTTGGTGCGGCGATCGGTCGCGAAACATACTAAATAATTTCGGTCGCGATTGTTTTTAGGAACGTTTTTCGATTAATCGGCCGATTCATCTGCGTGGAACGCGCCGAGAGAAAGCACTGGAGATGCGAAAGAAATGAATGTTCGATGAAGTCGAGACCTCAAATTTGAACTGGTTATATAATTTCTCCTCGTGAACTTGACTGAGAGGTGTTCGATGTAGGTTAAAAAGGTGCGATGAATTTTTGTCGTTGCCTCGTATAATGCTCGCTCGTACGATGTAATTAAGCGAAATTAAAATTAGATTTTGTTAAAATCGAATTGTAAATTCAGGTGCGTTTGTCAAAGGTATATAATTTTTTTTTGTAAATTATTGTAGTTGTGAAATTGTTTATAAGAAAGTTACCTGTATTAGGGAGTTGGGTTTGTGTTTAATTGAATTTATTAGAATTTTTCGATTTATTTAGAGAAAAAAAAAACGAAAGTAATATTTTCTTGCATCTACAACTGTACACCGAGAGAAAGCTAATGAAATTTTGTTTCCAAGCAAAATTTGTTTAGCGTATGCATATTTATAAAAATTACAATACCCCAAATGTATAAATTAAAATGCATTATGTTAATTTCCCATTCCATATACACTGACTTGATGCGAGGTAAAAATACAAGTCTTTTCGAGCGACTCGAAACGGAAAACCCGACAGTTTTTCGACATCCCGACTAGTGAATAGCGTTAAAATAACCTCCCGATTCTTTCCACGGGATGACTTTGACAAGACGCGAAGACAAGCGAAACCGATATGAGGCTAACTGACGGGGTACGCGTTTCGAAATTTTGATTTACGGTCCGAACCGTCGAAACGGAACGCTCCACGTACAGCCGCCCGGAGGTTGATATATGCCATTTTCATTTTCGGCGTTGCTCTTCAGATTTATGAGGTACCTACCGGGAACCGGAAAGGCTTTATGGACGTTTTATGTAGTCGTTTAGTTTAGTGTGCTTCTCGTCTCGCGAAATTCCTCTTACTATATCGCTTCTACGAGCATTATTACTTATATCAACTCATGAATATTTTTGTATAGATATATTGTTTACACAGTAATTGCAAAGCTATATGTAAAATTCTTAACACTTATCCGTGATTAGGTATAGAAGTACGAGTTGAAGAAATTTTGAAGTAGAGGAAATCAAGATTCTATTAAATATCAGAATTGGTGTAACAATTTTTACAACATATTACGCGTTTTCCACAATCAACTCTAGCTTTCCTTATAAGCATCAGTTTCATTCATCAATAAATGTTATTTTGGAACGCTTCAATAAAGTAGTAGCACCTCTATATCTAGATATTACTTTAATTTTATTACTACAACAATCCAATAGTAATGTAAAAATGCATAATAACAAGTTATATTAGCGACTTTTGCTCGCATTAACACATCAAATCCTCCAACATGCCATAAAGAAACAAAGTGTAACAGCGGTAGTTAATACGTCGAATGTACGCGAGCATAAATGTTTGTTTTCATTGTTAAAAGCAGTGTCACATTTCCCATTATTGTTGACGTTACATAGTTTACCAGTAAACCGACAGTTAATATACAGGTCGGCTTGTTTATTTGTCTTAATATTCTAGCACCCAACCAGCGCTTCTTCTTTTTAAACCTATCGTCTGGTATCTGGTGCACGTATAAACATTTTTTTTAATGTCTCTTGGTATATCGACTCGTTTTTATCATTAATATTGCGCAGATCTAGCTGAATATTTCATTAAATTGTGGGATAAAATATAGTGACGTCATACTCACATTTCCTTGCCAAATCTATATGCATTAATAATAAAGAAATAAAACTACAATAAATTGTTTAAATCAGTTATGAAGTTTGAGAAATTTCTCGGGATACGCTTGTGATTTTATCCGCGGTTTATTTCGAGGGAGACAAAAATATATAGATCGTTTTTATTTCGGTCATCAAAATAAATGAGTTTTGATTTAGCGAGGATATGAAGACGGGCTGGGCCAGCACGAAAAAGAAAAATATAAAAAGGTGGAAGTTAATTATTTTGATCTATTTATAAAACTCGTCGTTTTTCTTTAATATATATTTTTTTATTGCATCCGTAATTTATCTATAAACCGTGTCGCTTAAATTTAATATCAAAGAGCTGTTTGAAAATTCGTTAAACTACGAACGTTTCGCTGCCATTAATTATATTTAAAGCTATAAAAACTATGAATGAAAATGGTATGTGTACCTACTAATCCAAATTGCAACGCACATTCCCACCTCTAACATTTGAATAAAATCGTTTCCACCTCCTGGAAACCATACAGGGGTAACTCAAATAATTGTTTGATGTCGGGAAAAGGGGAATGTAGTGAAAAATCGCCCAGTCATTTCGTTTTTACGGTCGAATATCGCCGTCGACAGGAAAGAATAAATCCGACCGAAAACAAGGCTCTCTGGAAGTTGGCCGCTGAATTAAAATTACAGAGAACGACGAAAATAAAAGGTGCGATGAAAGCGGACAAATATGAAAGAACTTCGCGGATGTGCTCGTTTATTTTACGGCTTAAAACGTTAACATTAACCAAAAGAAAATTACCTAGAAAATACTGTTTGTACATTAAGTTCACTAGATATCGAATCGAAAAAGGTTCTTCGAAAATCTCCAATGTAGAAGTAAAAATTAAAAAAAAACTACAACATTAAAGTGAGAAAATCCCGAATTTCCCGCAACAAATCCAAAATTTTCAGTTCTTATCCTTTGACTAAAATTAAATAAACTGTAATAGGTATTTTTACTAGTAAAACCCATGAAGCAGTAAACCATAGGCGCTCCAACAAAGCAGGTAATAATGAATTAATAATTTGATAAAGTACTAACAACATTAAGGTATCTTCTGATAGCGAACGGAGTATAGTTGGAAAATGTAGAATCATACACGCCTCTGTAGCTAAACGCCCGTTTACGCCGCAATAACAATCAATTGAACGTTAATATGCGACCGGGCAATTCGATCAGGACGCTTCATTTATATCGATAAAGGCGGTTTTTATGCGATTTTTCGACGGAATCCACAGAGGCTCGCTTCATAACGAAACTCTCGCATAATAACTATCGGTTGTTCGAGTCGCAGAGGCACTGTTAAAGTCACTGGGTCGATTTATATCTTCCTCGTCGCTGTCGACTTTATGAGCACAGACATAGAACTACTATTATCTGTCTTCGCCCAGAACTTCAAACGGGCTAGCGGTCGTTCGGGCTGTTTTAGGACCAAAATGGCGTTTCATAGCCGCTCGATTTTTACGTTACTTCATTTACCGAAATATCATAATTTCCTCCAACTCACAACACGAATTAGAACTACTTGTTAGTGTCAATAATTCCACAACAAACTTTTAATGCAAAACATAAATTTCACTAATCGTGCGAAATCAATAGTTCAATCGAAAGTCGCATTTGTAAACAACCCGTTAATTAACTAATAATGATCGCCATTTTCCCGGCGATAGATCACCTCGATTCCCCGAGCCCATTCAAAAGACACCGAACTGTTTTTGTTGCGTTTTATTTATTAGTACGGGTCGCCGGTGCGTGGGCGTCGGTGGGATTAGAAGAAATTTGAATTATGACGATGCAGGGATTATCTTTGATATCCGAATAAAATGTTTACAACCGATGCCACTTTTGAAGTTCGGATTACTCGCTATTTAAAAACGACACTATTAGGACTTTATTTATAAATAACAAGGAAGCGTGTAATCGAAATGTTTAGCAATAACTCAATGACATTCCTATTCCATCATTATTCATTTGTAAAATGTTACATTATGTTACAGTGATGTAGTTAATTTGTAACCTATATTCGCATCTCTAGTAATTAGATACTAGATACGAGGGAATAGTAAAAAATTTACATGATGATGTGATGAACAAGTTCCATAGTTCATGGTATATGATCCAGAGAGATCCAAAATCAAGACATCATATTTAATTCTCTCAAATAAGGAGATATCGAGATGAATCAAAGAGTGTTCGAACTATATTTCGAGTGCCGCCGCTGTCGAGTTTTCCTCGCGAGCGTCCATTAATCAAGGAATTCTAAAAAGAAAGCCAAACAACATAAAACACCTTAAGCAATGAGTGTATTTTGAAGCGATTGTCAAAGCAAGCCCGTAAACGTCTTCTTTGACAGCGAAACGGTCCAATTATTGCGCTGTTTATGCGTTTCTAACTTCGGACGTATAGCGGCCCAATTTGAGCCGTGCGTTACGAGTTTTCCGCGGAGGTGCTAACGGGATTATTACGAAAATTTGCTTCGGGAAATGCAGTCCGAAGAGTGAATTATTCCAAACAGAGAACGGACTTTATTCCAAAATTTTCTAATCGTACTATGATCTATGGGCCACGACACACTATAATTTAGAGTCCCTCTAACTCTAATAAAAAAATCCCCTTTCATTGAATCTCAATCAAAATTCAATACAAAATTAGAAATAGAAAGTTATTCGAAATTCTCATACGTATTCAAGCTAATTATTTGAAAATGAGGTTGACATTTTTTCTGAAACTTCAAATAGTTTAATTAATAGTATAATAAAAACGAATAAGTGTTTAGTATTTATAAAAATAATTTATTCCAACAAAAATAAATACACATTTGATACTTACATTATCTAAAAAGTAAAAAATAATGCGCAATATGTACACCTAATAAATACAACTTAACAATTAGAAGTACAACTAATTGGAATTTATAAAACTGTTTGTGCTGTTTGCGATGTGAAATTCGAGTGGTAGCTCGAAGAGCTAAAAATGTTGTTATAAAAAAAATAATAAGAACTGAAAAAAATGGTTGGTGGAGACTACGCAAGGACAAGAAAAAGCGCGACAGCTGTACGAAGTCATTTCTCATAATATCGTATTTAAAGGTTTTTATAATGATTTCAAAAAATGTCTTTTTTTTAAGAAATTTAATACTATATTTGAAAGAAGACACCGGTGTCAATAAATTACCACCAGCTTTGCGCGTATTAATGTTAAATGCTCGAAATATGTTTTCCATATTCTTTTATGAGGTACCTAGCTGGTAAACAATGTTCTTAATTTTTATTACAATATTTTTTCTAAATCTAATATTTGCAAATTATGAAAAATTAGGTAGAAGTATATGTAACAGAGTTTGTCTATCTTTAATAATTTATTATCTAAATTGTAAGATGACTATTTAAATGATTCGATTTGTAGATACTATTTTTAGTACAAATTTAGTACTTTGTCCTGCGTTTTCTTGAACTGAAATATTGGAAGAGAAAAATATTAAATTATTAATACAAGTAAATAGCTCTTTTTAAAAGAACCGTGTGGAAATTAGTCAAATGTTGAACTATAGGTAAATGAAATTGAGGCAGTAATTTTGTTAATAAATGTTAAGATTGGTTTTAAATACAGAATGGTCTCGAACCAAATTTTGAACTGAAAAAATGATTAATGCATAATGAAAGGAATGTTTTTTTGTGTTATATTTTTCACATCATTCAACGAGCACAATTGTTCACAAATCCATCAAAACCAACAAAATTCAAGTAAATAGTTTTGATAGATTTATGCTACATATTAGAACATATTAAATACATGAACCGCTTTTAATTCTTAATAACAAATAAACCGTCCGTGGAAAAATAACCACAATCACGTGGAAACGTCCGATATACCTAAATTCTAAACCCTACACACTAAAATCACAAATTTTCACGAGTACTATACAGCGTACTTACTCACACCTACGGCTGCGAATTGAAATCGTCCTCCATGCGCCACCTGCAGAACGCCTTGGACAGCTTCTCGTGCGCCGTATACGAGCACACATTCCCCAAGAAGTCCCCCTCGCCGGGGCTCTCCGGCGACGGCGTCGACAGCACGTGGTACAGGAAATCGATGTACCTGGTGGCCAGCTTCAGCGTCTGGATCTTGGACAGCTTGTCCGACGGCAGCGTCGGTATGCTCTTCCTCAAGCTGGCGAACGCCTCGTTGAGGCTCTGCGTCCGCTGGCGCTCCCGCACGTTCGCCATCTGCCGCTGCGACTGGATGTCCTCGAAGCTCTGCGGCGACTTCCGCTTCGCCTTGTTCTTGCCGAAGGAGTTTTCGTCGTCGGTGGAGGCGTTGCGGCGCTTCCTGCCCAACGTTCTCGTCTTCAACACGGGCGTTTCGTCCGCGTCCGCCGGCTCCACTTTGATGTACGGCGCCGAGTTGTAGTCGTAGTGCTGGAGTTGATCGTGGTGATTGTTGTTATTGTTGTTGTTGTATAAACGCCTGTCTTCGTAGTATCGATTGTCGTGGAGTAGCTGGTGCTGGTGCTGGTTGTAGTAATGGAAGTTTTGATCGGTGTTGGGTAGCGTCGTCGGTAGGTATTTTTCGTTGGAGTTCGTCAGGTCCATTAATCTGGATTGCTCGTATTCCTCGTAACCTGGCGAGGAATTCGGCGTTAATTGTCTATACACCGGCGATGAGGAATCACTGCGTGTTTCGAACATTTTAATCACTATATGCAATTACGCGATCACTATAATACTTGCGATTTTCCAAACCCGAAACGGAGCGATGGAACCAACGAGTATTCGAATAGGAATACGAGCGTACGCCTAATCCTCCTAAAATCATCTAAGAGAACTTAAATTTATCGCCCGACCAATGGCGTGAGAGCTGTCTCCCTACTATCGTCGAGGAGTCCCGGATGGTCTCTCTCGCACTCGTTGCGGCTTCGCCAGGGGGATCATCACAGGCGGCGCGTTCCGTTTGAATTCGCCCTCTCTGTTCATTTCATTGATGGTTTCTGCGCGTCTAGACGCCGGGATTCACTTCTTTTAATTAGTATCGCGTTGAAAATAACTTGTACACGGAATAAACGAATGCCGTGGAATCGATCAGGAATTGTGATTGTTTATAAACGAGCGTGTTTACTGGATTGTTGGATGTTTGGAGATGGTTTTTTGATGTTATTTCCACAACAATGGTAACTGGGTTCCGGGTTTTTGGAAAAAGACTTTGGTTGTGAAGATGCTTTGAAAATGCTAATATAAAAATGAAACTTTGTATGCATATGGTTCTTTATAAACTCAAATATTGACTAATTGATTGGCATGAATACACTCTGAATTTTGAGCATTAAAAGCTTTTTTTAAGTATCAGAAATAATGACAAAATTTAGCCATAAAAGCAAGAAAAACTCATCTAAACACCCTATATATAAAATAAACAAAGAATAGTTAAAAATCCTCAAAAAAATTTTTAAACCTTGAAAACCATTGAAAACTCGAATTAGAATCCAAAAAAATCATTGGCGTTGTAAGTATAAACTCTACTAACTTAGTGTAAAAAACTTCAATTCATCTTCAACTCAATTATCTTCTGATATCATCTATAAATATACATATAGGTTTGACACCGTGCTCGAGTAATTAAAAGAAACTTGAAGAAAATCCGGCCCATTTTTCCAGCGATTACCTTCGAAATAAATGGAACATTTCCAAACGGAATCGGACTCCCGGCGGTTGAAATAGTTCCACTAAACATTCAGTTAATGTTAATTAAACGAAGATGAATTGCGCTTTCGTGGTTCGTAAAATTAGAAAGCCGGCACGCGCGTTTGTATCCTTCAGTGCAAATCTAATTTTTACCCAGAAAATTGGATTTTAATCCTTTAAACTTCTCATCAGAATTAATATTCGCGATTTAATAATCATAATTAAAAAAAACTCATTTCTTGATTTTCGTTAATGGCGCCTTCAGTTTTAACGCGTGGGAACAGCTGGTTGGTTGTCGATCTGTTCCCGCGGGATTTTCGTATTTCCGGTTTATTGTGTCATCATAACCGATCCAAAAAAAGCGTTTATTAACGTATCAAAGAAACAAAGCGGGAATGATTCAGATTGCAAGAGGAATGAATCAATTTCCTGAACCCGATGTGTTCCAAGAAAATACAAAACTTAGTAATTTCAACCTCCTATAATCGACTTTAAAAGTAATTCGAATTAGGCAACTCCGGGTATTTATCGCACATCTGGGCTTTACAAGGGTTTATTATTATTGTTATACTACCTGCGAAGTGTGAATAATTATTTTTCCCCGATGGAAAATGTGCGTTTTGGCGAAAAAAATGTGTGCACCAACTGTTGCTGTGCCAGCACTGCAATCGCTTCTTTTGGCACGATCTCACAATAAAACGATAGGGCTTACCCGCTAGTCGGCAGAAATTCCGAGCTCCAGATGTACCGAAATTTTCGAAAAATTTTCAGATGGTTTTTACTCGTGCAATCATCAAAAGGACCGAAATCTGCGCAAACATCCCTTTGATATTATTCCAATGAAATCGAAAACGATATTTCTCATTACAGATTTGGGAAACCCGGTATAACAATCATTTCCACCATAAAAATCGATCCCCTGCAGTGTAATTTGCCCAATTTAGGGATTACAATTGTAAAATACTAAGCTGAATTTAAATAAATTCTCTTTATTTACAAATCTTCGGGCTACCTAACTTGGAAATTCCCAAGTTTACAGATTATATTTCGATCCTAATTAGGAAATACCAACAGTTTAATGCAAATAAATAATTTAGAGGACATTTTGCCAGAAAATAATATATAAATGAATGCAGGAAATGAAGACTTCATTACAAATATTTCTTTTGAACTCTTGTAACATCATATTTGCGTTATTTATTCGACATCCCCTCGTAGCCGAAGGTCCCTTATCTGGGGGTCTCCGAAATAAAAAAGGATCTTCGAGAGGGTGCTTTCAACGCAGCGATGAAAAAACTCAGAAATCAGACGTTACACTTATCCCGATCAATTAAAACCGAAACCCGGAGCCCGACCGGCAAGGAAAAAAAAACGTGTATATGTCAAAGATGATAGGGGGAACACCTGCATCATCGAAATTTATGACTATGTCGAGGAAAGTGACGAGCAAAACTTCATTTCGTGTGGCTCTACAGCCAACGTTTTATAAGCGTCTCGGGGCCCGGCGAACTCGTGAATGGGAATTTTATTAGGCAAATGATCTATGCACGGTATCTATAAATTCGGATTAAAACGAAATGTTTATTGGAATTTGGAAAGCGAAAATTTTGAGATGGCCGAACAGCTGAGTTTCGTCCTTATAGCAGAAAGTACCACATCCTGTCATTAAGTGGATGTGTCTCGTCACCTGGACACCTCTCCTCCTCTCTCCTGGTCTTGTTGCATTCGCACAGAAAATTCCAGGACCGTAATAATGAAAAAATATTGCCAAAAACCAATTGCGGGTTAGAACATTTCACTGATTGGTGTGATTAGGTACGTAGTAGGTAGTGATAGAATAAAAATTAGTTTCTAATAAAATTTCTAATAATTCAATTTGGAAGATATGTTGGTGAAATTTTTATTATTTTTTAAAAAAGTTCATCTCTGTCCGATGTCCACGAAAACGTGCACACTTGTTATTAATATATTACAGGCCGGTCGACGTTAGTATTTCAACGCTACAATAAAAAAACGTGTCAGCATTGTTACTTTTGCAATTCTCTGGACGACACACGACGTATCCAAAGTTAATAAAATCAAAGAAAACTATGTTTGTTTTGTAATCGACCCCCTGTCGTCGTTTTCAACGGATTTTCCTTCAAATTATAGAATTTTTTTGTAGAAAATTGTTTTGAAATACTTTAAGTAGATACTTTCAATGTTTCCCATACTTCCCAGTCTATACAGACATTCCTTTCTACTGAGATAAAACAGTAAAAAATTAATTCCATAACTAATCTTCACACTATTGATTGATGATTACATAAAATCCACCAAAAAAACCATTAATTTTAAATAAATAGTTTTTACTAACAGAACATGTCGCAAGAGGAAATGATAAATTAATAAAACTCTCCGGCAAATATACCCAGTAAACATATTGAAAAATCTCCGAATATACGAAACAATTTAGAACCATTAACCACCCGATTCTTGTTTTTATTCAACGTCCCTCGAAGGGCATCGATTCTGGGTAAAAAAATACATTCGCTTCGTAAATACCGAAATCAATAGCATCTCAGTCATAAAGAAGAAACGTCTATTAACACAGCACTCGGATAGACAAACAATTCTTTTACCAGATATGGTCATTAAAAGCGTCACAAGCCGTGGGGTTGTTGGAGCCAAGACAACCTCCCCGGCTGTTTCTCTGTCAGTGTCGAGCAAAAACGGCCTGTTAATATCATTATTTTTCTCAAGCAGGGTCGCACATCGCGGTGGATCCGAAAGGAAATTTCATTTCTTAATTAATCGAAGCGAAAATAGGACTAATGGAGAAAGCAAAAAAAATGGAATTGGGCCACCAATTATAGCACTAAAAATTGAATGAAGTTTTGTACAGTTTTTTTATATTTATCAGACTATTAAACACATATTATTCTAAAAGAAGTATATATTTGTTCATGAGAATAGGATAGAAGAGGATAGGCAAGGGGGCAGGGAAGTAAAAGCGTAAAATATTCGAGAGAAAAATGACCACCTACCTGCAGCAAACCTCACCCTACCCATTAAATGTTTTTTTTCTGAAGTATTCCTCGAAATGTGAACAATAGAAGTAACCTGATGGGACCGAAAAAAGCACAAAGAGGAGGGTCGAAGTAGAAACGACGGCCATTTTTCGAAACCGGCCTCTTCGAAATACCAACGCGGAGATTGGAACAGGTGAGTTTTGAGTTTACCTGGTGCACATTCGGGGTTTCTAATTCCTCATTGGCCGGCATTGTGTGCACCTTAGTAGGTGGGTCTTGAACTCACCGGAGTATTTCATTTTACCTGCCGGATTAAAGAGATTTTACTACGTATATTATTTATTTTTTGAAGCGTTTCCTGTCGGCAAGTACACGATAGAAGATCGCCCAAATTAAGCAAATATTTTTGTATCTCCCCTCGGCCGTTTGGGGATTGGTTTTCAAAAATATTCATTTCGATTCTAATGGATTATTCGAAAGCGAGCGTCTACCGGTTTCTTCATTTGTGATGCCCGGTGAAGATTCGGCATCCTAATTAAAAGCAACGTCGGCTTCCTGTTGGCATTCATTAAAACCCGAACCCGTGAATCCCTTATTTAGATTCCCATCCAATTAACGTGCTTCTCTCTTAAGGTGATAACCAGTAGAGTCGCGTTTAAAACTCACCTACTTTTCTCTACAAGCACGAATCGAGAAAGTTTATGTATACATACACAATTTTATATCTACCGATTATTGTTATAAGTAGGTAGATGAAATATTAAAAAAGAATTTCGTGTCCGATTCGAATCGGTCCTCCCACGACGATTTTAGACTTAGAGCGCTGGGGCTACTAATGAACTACTCTTTTTCTTTGTCGGTGTTACGTTTTATTATGCACGCTGTCTATTAGTTATGTTCTCATGCGCCTTTTAAAACTATAATGAGATCGTTTTTGTTTAACGACGATGGAAATTCGATACTTGTCGCTATCTTCTAGCGCCGACCATAATTCGATACGGTTAAAGCTGCAGGATTATTAATGGTGTGTACAAATAAAATAATAAATTGCGAGTAATAGTAAGGCGAAAATTCAAAAGAAAGGAAGGGAGATTGGTAAGTTTTTATAAAAATTTAAAGATTTTGACCTACAGGATGATCCGTAATCGTGCAAAAATTTAAGGGGTAATTTTGCAAAAATTAATAGACGGGAAGTTCCTATAAACATTTGTCTTAAAATAGCTGCACCCTTGAGAATTTAGAGCTCCCTTAAGACATAGACCTCCTTTAAGAAAAATGTTTCATCTTATTTTTAGATACAAAATCATCCCTTAAATTGTTCGTTCATCATTTAGGAACACCCTGTAAAACAATGACTGAGAAAAATTTCTTAACTTATGAAAAACGCATCAAAACATCATCGACTTTTCATATGATATAAATTTTGATTCTGGTTTGGAAAAAAGCGACTTTTTTACACAGTTTCTCACACGAACATCTCGATGAATGTTCCTCGTTTGTTTACACACGATACGCGTTTTTTACGGTCTTCGGTAAATATTTGCCCGTCGTATATACAAAATTTAACGAACTAAAAACATAATAAGCAATTAACAAGGCGAAGAAATAACGCATCAATCCGATAATTAAATCACGAATTACAAAACCACGATTTTTTCGATAGACAATTTATTAGTTATTCGATTCGCCTAAGGTGAAGTCGGAGGATGTGGGGCTGGCAGTATTGAAGTACGTCAGGAATTCTGCTAATAATATCTGGGACAGTTTGAATTCCACTATTGAGGTTCCTACATCCTGGGTTTTCGCCTCTTCCTTTACTATCGGTTCTTCGGGGCATATCACTGTCTTGGGCACTTTAGGCCCGAGGCTCTTGTCCACTGGTGGGTACCTTCCAATATGCGTCAAATTGAGCAGGGCTCTCGGTTGATCCCGCGGAGAATCAATCACGTTCCTCTTAATCCGCAGGGTTTCCGGGTAGCCGAACTTCATCAGAGCGTAGTAAGTCGCTTTGTAAGCATTAGCTGGATAATGCACCGCCTGATACTTCCCGTCCACTACACAAATCTGCACATCAACGTACTCCTGCTCGATCACGCCCGAAGCGAACATCCTGTGCAACCTCTGCAACCGATTGAACTAATTTCCAGAACCGATTACGAATGTTAACTGACCTTGCACGCCACCTCCTCCCAATGGTTGCCCCACAGGAAGAAGATCCTCAGCTTGGGGGTCTTCTTCAAGCTGTCCAGCAAATCGGTCAGTTCTTGGTCTTGTATGCGATTGTTGCTCATGTCCAAAAACCGCAATTTCGAGAAAGGCAAACCGAAACTCATCGCTCTAAAAGGAAACAAATAAAATAATGAAGACCCAGAATTCTACTAAGGTCTTCCTTTTACTAATTCTCCAAGCAAAGTGGATAGCATACTGTTACCTAGCTCCGATGGTTCCGATTCTATTGCCGGCCAAATTCAAGCCTTTCAGGTTGGGCCTCTCGGTCAACCAAGTGGCTATTAACTCGGCGCCGTAATCGGCGATGAGATTGTAGCCGAGGTCCAACACCTCCAGGCTCTTGTTCTCCCTGAGACCGTTCAATAAAATTTCCACATCGTGCCCGTCGAATTCGATTTTTTGTATGTGCAGCTCAACGAATTTCTCGTTAGACTGTGAATTATAGCGGAAGTATTCACCGTTACTTGCTCTCGTATCTGAATAAAGTTTACCTTCAAGGCTATACTTAAATCATCGGCTAAAGTGGCCTGATTGTATTTGGTGTAATAAGAGTTTGGTATGATCCTGGAGATGTCCAGGACTTTAATGTTGCTCGCCTCGATGATGATCAACAAGGATTCGATGCTTTCCAGGGTTTGATCGGTCTCCGCTATGTCGAGAATTTCTAGCGTAGGCGACACCTGTATAAGTCTTCCGATGTGCACGGCTCCCTTAAATAAAATCGGCACTAAATGTGATGAAATTCGCGAGTAAATAAAATTACCGAAGCGCCGATTTTGTTGCCGTTCAACCGGCACAATCGGATTTTGTTGTAAGTCGCCGATGAGAACTTGGCGATTCCCTCCGCCGTTATGTCGCATTGCATCAGGTTCATGTATTCGATGTTGTTGGGATGATCGAATAAATATTCGGTCAGAGTGTCCAATCCTTCGTTTCCGAAGTCGTTGTAGCACAAATCCACGCTGATGATTTCGGGGTTCTTGCGCAGAAACGTGGCTACGGTTCTCATGTGTCTTTGCTTCAATCGCGTGCTTTAATTTTATTATCGATTGATCTTCGACGGGTTGGGATGGTTAAGTTAGTGCTTACCCGAATCTCATGTACAATTCCTTGCCTTTGAGGCGCAAGTGTTTCGTACCGTCCGAATTGTTTTCGACGAATAGCTGTATAAAGTTTTCGTTGAGCAATTTATCGCCCATTACACTCATCTTGAATGGATTGGGATTAATAAGCGTGTTAATGAAATTCGATCACAAATGTCGCTGTGACACCATGAAATATGTTATAATATTTATTGAAGGATATATTACAGCGTATTTTCGATAAATAAATCAATCACATTTTCCTACAGTCTCCAGAAGCGAATCTTCCCACCGCTGGTTAGCAAAAATTTAACAACATAAATAATAATTAAAAACAAAACTTGTTAGTTACTTATCAGAACAAACATATAAATAAATTCAACAATCATCCGGATAGTTCACTTCGTGTATCCAGGTTAGAGCCGCTCTTATGTTAGACAATTTAGCTCTGGCCAGGAAGCTGGCTATCAGCAAATACTCCGGATAAGTCCTGCGACCGATCCTCGCCATTTGAGCCTGATCCGCGTCCTGCGAGAAACACCTGTTGTTTATTCTACCTTCGCAGAGTACTTTCGTTGTAAGACTCAACAACCATTGAAGAATCTAAAATGTAATTACAGCGTTAAGGCGATTCGATGCTACTTGTTAATATTACCTCTGCACTGGACGGGAGTTTCGAATTCTCTGATTTTAACCAAGAACTCGGAGCCCACAGGAATAGTTGGCAAACGTTTGCAGCCACTTCCGAATTCAATCGCTAAAAAAATCATTTATTTTTACTGTACTTGGTATTATATTGTTATCAGACCTTGTTAGGTTTGCGTTGTAATAGATTCTTAATAAGCATTTTCATGATCAAAGGCACATCGGTAGGCAAACTGGGCAAATCCTCCTCTTTGTAAGTAGCGCATTTCAATCCTTCGCATCCCTCGGACTTGTAAAACGGATTTCTACCACCAAAAATCTCGTAACCGATGCATCCCGCCGCCCATAAATCCGATTTCGAATAATTCAGCACGCTGAAAGTACCCGGAGTCTAAAAACAAATAGCCGAATCGATTAATCGCTCCATTACAGTCGTACAAACGTACTTGACAATAAATTTCGGGCGCCATTAGAGCGGCGTTGCCGCCTTTATCTACGTCGTGACTGTTGTAAGGCAACATCAGCCCGTTGGTTTTATCGGCCAGGCAACAACCGAAATCGCTTATAACCAGCACAGGCGCCTCCGGTTCGCTGGTGTCCAGTAGCAAATTATCGCTCTTCAAGTCCCTGTGAGCGATACCGTAAGAGTTCATGTGGGCTATACCTTCTAGAAGTTGGGTGAACAAGAGTACGGATAAACGGGTGGATGGGGTCGTAGAGGAAAGATAGCTTTCCAAATTCGTGTTGTATCTAGAATGATTACGAGTGAAATTTATTGTGGTAAGTTATGTTGATGAAAAAAACCTTTTCATAAGTAGGAATAACGACATGTTTCTTCCTTCGCCTTCGGAGTAAATTCGTTTGGGGAGAGCAGCTGGATAGAGCCCTCGAGCATCTTGCAATTCCGGTATATAATCGGTGAATACGGCGAAAATGGCTACTATATTAGGATGAGGAGGCAAATGTCTGTTCCTATTAGACAATCTAAAATACAATCGTTTATAATAATTCTCTCAACTACAAGATGCAACTTACGCAACTTCCCAATCGCTAACACCTCCGACGTTGCTGTAATAAAATCTAGCAGGCACAGTTTCCCTGTACATCGCATTCAAAATAGCCATAGCGTTCGATTGTATATCGTAATTGAACATCATCTTCAAAGCCAAAGGATATTTATCGATGCTACTTTCATTTTCAGTATCTGCAGATATCTCAGATACTGTTGAAGGAGATTCGTTACCATCGTTCTGTTTGAATTTAGCCTCGTATACAACAGCATTAGCTCCTTTCGCTAACGGTTTGCCGAATGAAAGATCATCTAAAGTAACCGAGGAATCTTCGAATCTAGATTGATCCACATCGACATCGTAATAGTGCCATTTAATTTTCGAAATAGCTTCCTGGAAATTGAATTATGCAATTTTTTTGATGTGTGTTAATTGATTAGAAATTACCCGTATTTCCCAACACACTCCTTCGAGTTCTTCCTCTTTCGTTAGAATTCCAGTTCCGGACGCCAAGCTTACTCCGACCAACGCGAAGAAAGGTCCAGAATCACCGTACAGTATTCTAAATTAAAAATATATTAATAATGGTGTAAAATTCGAATACAAATACCTACCTCCTGGCTGCCTTCTTCCTCAAGTCCGCAGCTAGGCTGTTTGTGACCCTGTTAAGGACATTCTGTATCAGGATCCTTCGAGCCTGTACGCCGATTTGCACGCCGAAATTTCTGAGTGCATGACTTCTGGGTACTATCTGGTTGGCGGGTACGTTGTGAGGCGGGGCGGCGCTCGCTTTCGAGACATTAATTTTGTCGGCAATAGTTCTCGTATTGAATTCCCTCTGATTTCGTGCTTGTCGCAGCAACGCAGTACCATGTTTAAACAACCGGCTGCCCAATGCTCTCAACGACATTTTGCAGGTGCTATTAACTTTTAAAGCCCCTAGGGCTCCGATTTTCGACGGCCCGAATGCACTATTACGTGTTTACTTTTTTGATCAGATGAACTTTAAAGTTTTTGACAGATCATGTCAGCTGTCATAAATTTTGTTATCGGTGGACTTTTTTCAAGAGGGTACTCAACAACTTCTTCTGCTTTCTTGTAAATATTTAAAATGCCAATGTCAATAGTGTCAAAAGTTTTTTTTTGTTTGTGTGACAATGACAGTTGTGTATATTTTCCAACTTTATCATCATAAATAAAGTAAATAAATTAAAAAAGAATGAGTTATACGGATAAACACGACGTGCCAACAAAGGAAGAGTGGCTGACGATATTGGAGGACAACGATCTCGGCAGAAGTAACATGAACAAACTTATCATGAATTATCTAGTCACAGGTAATCCGTCTCAATAATCGCGTAGCTCTTTGTGAAAAACGGCGTAAATAACGGTGAAAATGCTTTCAGAGGGCTTCAAAGAGGCGGCCGAAAAATTTCAACAAGAATCGGGCGTCATTCCTTCGGTTGAATTACATTCGTTGGACGATAGGATTAGAATTAGGGATGCCATCATGACTGGAAAAATACAAGAGGCTACTGCGCTTATAAATCAATTGCACCCGGAATTATTGGACAACGACAGATATTTGTATTTTCATTTACAGGTATTTAAATGTTTTTCGAACGATACAACTGTTCAACTAACAGTATGTTACATTTCAAGTAAAATCTCTTATTTTTTGCAGCAACTTCATCTCATAGAACTTATTAGAAATAACAGAATAGAAGAAGCCTTAGCTTTTGCACAGAGCCATCTTAGCGAAGCAGGCGAAGAAGACCCTTCTGTTTTATCCGAGTTGGAACGAACCGTTGCTTTATTGGCGTTCGAAGAACCTTTATCATCCCCTTTTGGCGATTTACTGGCACCCTCACACAGACAAAAAGTAACTAAAAATCAGTATATCTGTTATAAATAATAATTGGGTATTGTTTTGTAGGTAGCGAGTGAAGTAAACGCAGCGATTCTGAAGATGGAACACCAGGAGAATACGGCCCCCAAAATCTCTACCCTGCTAAAATTAATCTTGTGGGCGCAGGATAAATTGAATAGGAAAAATGTGAAGTACCCGAAAATGTTGGAGCTTTCGACGGCTACACTGGAAGAGACTAAATAGCAGTCGGAATACTGTAGTTGTAAGAAATAGGAATAATTTATTGTGACTCTTCTTTTCGTGTTTATAAACAACAATCTGCTAGGTGTTGAAGATTCTAACTGTTTGTAATTTTATAAATTTAGTTAATGTAGGTTTTTTTTTAAAGTTACATAAATTTATTTAACAGAGATGATGTAAATAATCAATGCACCTTTCGACCTATTTAAATACAAATTCGGATGTGAAAATGCATATTAAAAATGGTCTTTATAGAATATTAAATAAGTAGTATTATTTCTTCAATCCCATTCGAGTTCAAGGAACCTCGCAGATTTTCCTCCCAAAGTAGATTGTATCTATTCACCAATAACAAAATAGAATGAAGGTAACGTGTACCGTAACAAGATTTTTTCGAATGAGGTAACCATCCAATAGCATCAATTTATGCTGCGGTACTTTCACTTCTTGCAGCGCACCAATGTGTTCGGGCATCGCGCTCCAAAATACATTCAAACAGTGAAAGCATAACACCAATTGATATCACACTGGCGTATAAAACAGGCTGATGTTTTGTAGAAATTTTCCGATTTTTAAGTGAATAATAGTGTTGCGTATTAATTGTTGTATTTTTCTATCCAATTAACACGAATTGCGATATAAAAGCGAGGCAATTGTTAATAAGTGGAGCTAGGTGTTTTTCATCTAGGTAAGTAGGTAATGTTGAATATAAAAGTTTTGTTTAGAATATATTTTAAATTTTTTTAACTATTGCAAGCTTTGTAATCTTTTGTAGAAAAAATCTACCTTGACCTCTTTTGTTAGACCATCGCAATTTATTTAATTCTTAGTAAATGAATAAATCTAATTTATGTTATGCTAATTATTAGAAGAATGAATTTTAAGGCGAATATCTGATTCAATTAAGTAACTTTTAAATTAGCTAAATTATTTCTTTGTATTCGAAAATTATTCAGTTTTTATTCATCCTGAAGAATTCCAGACGATGAAAACAAGAATCGTCATTAAAAAAAATATGAATAATACATCACATAAATATACGAGCTTGATCGAAACTAAGTTTAATTAGTTTTAAACCCTTCGATCTAAGCGTATAATTTTTAATAATAAATATTTAGTGTTTCAGAGTTAGCGAGTCACAGGAAAATGGTGTTAAAAACTTCTTGTACCAATGAAGGTCGGTGACGAAAAAATTGGGTAATTTTCGATTAGCAATAAATTTGGTTTTTTTCAGTTATTAAGGCGGAAAAATTCGTCGATCGGCTTTTACGCGAAGGCACCAAAATCGGATGTAATCCCAACAGGCAAAACGAGATTCCTCCATTCTACGACGAACAACTCTTCAAAAAGTAATTTATATTTAATTTTTTTATACACCAGTTTCTAACACTTTCCCCATTCGTTTCCACAGAGGTCAAGGGTTTTTCCACAAGCACATTTTCGGCATGTTCTTCGCGAAAATGCTCGGTCTCCTGGCAGTGCTCTCCATACCTCCCGTACTGAAAATTCTAATGCTCACCGGAAAAACCAGCTCTTATTACACTGCGTATTATCGATATATGTCCACCGTTTTACACATGATTGTATGGTACAGGGATGATTTCAAACCAGGAACAGAGTAAGCATTTAAATTCTCTAATTACAGCTAAAATACAAGCCCAATGAAATCGGACGCGATCTGGTTAATTTCAATGGTCTATTCCAGCGAAAAAATGATAGATATTTCTTTATAATTCAATTCTTTATGAAATTCGTTAATTGTAGATTCTGGAAGTCCCTGTCTCAAGTGAATAACAAACACAACGCAGCCACTAAATTGAGCTGCAGCGCTGGATTCGGTAAAATTACCCAAAAAGACATGGCTCTAACGCAATTCGGCTTCATGGGATTCCAACTTTGCAGGACCGAGAAAGTCGGGATTCACGGCGCTACTCAAGAGGAACTTGAGGCTTTCGTCCACTTGTGGAGGGTTATTGGCTACACCATGGGAATGGAAGATAGGTTTGTTCTATTACAATTTCACAAAAGTTGGGGTTGATCGGTGGCGTTTTAGATTCAACATTTGCGGAGGAACCGTAGAAGAAACGAGGAAAATATGCAATTTATTGGTAGATAAATGCTTCTACGTGAACGTCTCCAAGAAGGACCCGGATTATTTGAAGATGTCCGATTACCTCGTCGGCGGAATGTGGTCGATGACTCCTTTTCTAACGTTCAAAGTACTGATGAACTACCTGTACAGTTTACTGGAAAAATCGGACGATAACAACAACAGATCGAGTTCGAATCAACTTCCCAGCTATTTGAAGTTAAACGCCTTTCAAAACGTAATCTACGACTATTTTCATAAGGTGATGCTGGTGGTGAAATACGATTTTGTTCGACGATTTGTTAACGCCGCGCATCATTTGAACTTGTGGTTCATGCGCCACTGGCCGATTCTAGCTTATTACAGTTTCGGAAGAAACTCTGAATCAATTGTACAATTAAAACTTTAAAACTAACTTCGCTTTATTTAATCTCCAATTCCAATAATACCGAATCACTCTCAAGTTCTCCGCTGTTGATATTGTAACTGCGACCTTGATGAAATCGAATAGGCAGTTGACTAAAATAACTCGTCGAGTACGGTTGTTAATATTACAGTCAGATAAGATTAAAAACGTTCAATTAATTCACAGACGTCTTCTGAAAATAATGGCGCTCCCGGAGACTTTCGTGGCGGGTTTTCACGATGAAAACGCCGTTAGGAAAATGACCTATACAAAACTAGGCAGCACATCTCTTAACGTGTCGAAAATATCGCTGGGAACTGGTGGATTTTGCTACTTTTATGGGTAAATTCACGCAAGAAATACGCATATGTTTAACTGACAACCATTATTTCAGCGAATATAACATCGAAGATTGCAAAAAGACTGTTCACGAAGCTATCAAAAGCGGTATTAATTACATAGATACCGGGCCCTGGTATGGACACGGGGAAGCTGAGGAGATTTTGGGCAAAGTACGAAACTAGTTGTGCTAATTTCATTTGTAATTTTTGGGTGAATTGCAGTGTTTGGAGGGGATACCCAGAAAAGCCTATTATCTGGCAACGAAAATAGGCAGATACGAGAAGGATCCGAATTTAATGTTCGATTTTTCTGCGAAGAAAACGAAGGAAAGCATAGAAGCCTCGTTGAAGAGATTACGAGTCGATTACGTGGATGTTTTACAAGTATTATTTTAGTTTAAACCCGTTTTTTTTTAATTTTATAAATATCCCGGTGATATCGTTATGTTATGTTATCAGAATCTGTTCCAATAACGTTTTTTACGCAATCATTGCATTACGTGAGATACATTTATGAAATGAATAACTTTATATTTGCATTACTTTTTAAAGGTTCACGATGTGGAATTTTCCCCTAGTTTGGATATCATTCTCAATGAAACGTTGCCAGCAGTTCAAGAAATAGTTAAAGCCGGTAAAGCAAAATTCATAGGAATTACCGGTTATCCAGTTTCGACTTTACGCGACTGCATCGAAAAGAGCCATGTAACAATAAACATGATACTAAGTTATACAAGGCTTACCATGATTGATAATACTTTGAGCGCGTTCGTGCCGTATTTGCAAGTTAGTTATAAATAATGGAGTGTTTAATTTAATGTATAATTAATATTTTCCAGGGGAAGAATGTAGGTGTAGTTAATGCCTCTGCAAACGGGATGGGTTTGCTGAGTAATTTTGGACCGAGAGACTGGCACCCGGCTCCCCAAGAAATCAAAGATGCTTGTACTGCAGCCAGAAATATATGCAAGGTAATTATTATAAGATAATTAAATGGTTATTGAAGCTGGGAATTTTTAGGAAAACAATGTAGAACTGGGAAAATTGGCGATTTTCTACAGTTTACAACAGGAAGGTCCGGAAACTGTTTTAATAGGAATGAATACATCAAACCTAGTGCATGATAATTTAGATGTGTTGATTAATGGTTTAAATAAAAAAGAAATGGAGCTGTATGAAGAAGTGTTAAAGTAAGTTAAAAATTACTAAATTGATTAATTTTCATTTTATGTAATTATTTCAGGATTTTCCAAAATTTAAAAGTGAAACATTGGGAAAACTACGAACTGGAAAACTACCGAAAACTTAAAAAAGGAGAAAAAACCGACGGTCATTTTTTCACTACTAAATAAACCATCCATATTTCAATAAAACGAAATACATTTTAAACCCCCTAAATCGCATGTTACTATGAAATATAAAAAAAATTTATTAGCATATAAATCGAACAATTAAAACTTAATGTTAATATTTTATTATCACATCTTATCTAAACCAACGAGACGTTTACCAGATATCACAGGCCCTTATCGTGCTCGATCTAGAGATCAGTCTTCGGCCCCAATGAGACCGGTATCGCTGCCAATTCTGTCCTCAAACACAGCACCTCGCCGCACACGCACATTATCGTTGCACAGGCCACGTTCAGGGCCCACCAGGAGAAGGTGGTCGGGAACTGCTGGTTGTAGAACCAGCAGATTACCAGGTGGATCACGTGCCAGGTGCAACTGAAATCCATGCATTGTTTTGTTCTTTCTACGATGTACCACAACGCTAGAGCTCTGTGAAATAGTCGAAATTAGAAAGGATTTTTGAATGTAATGAGTGCTGTATTTACCCGACTGCAGCGTTTATAACAAAACTACATATAACGATCTGCCCTCCGGAGTCTCGGATTTGTATTTCCTGTAATTAAATATGATAATAGATAAAAATAATCATAAAATTGAATTTGTAACTTACGTGATATTGAAAAATGTTGTCTAAAGTCTTCGGTTCCCCAACCAACGAACCCAACACGATTAACCACAAACCCAACGTGAAATATAAAATACATTGTACAGAAGTTATTTGAAAGATTATTAACCACGGATCCCATTGCGTGTACCGGAAAGATCCAGTTAATTTCTTCATATTTACAATTGGCTTTAATTAAAGGTACTCTTGATGATACACTGTTTAATTGGCTAGTTAATTCAAAACATTTCTCAACAGTAAAGTGAGTTATACAATCATTATAAACCAATTATTTGTAGTGATAATAACTTACTTTGAATATTTGTGACCAGAAATTTAATTTTAAATCAACAATATGACGAAATTGAAATGAAAAATGTCAAAACATATTAGCAATGACGTTGACGTAACGACGTTTGACATTGACGTTATCATATGATTTTGACCTCTTCTTTTTAGATGGCCATTTATATTGATGTGTAGGAAAGTTTATGTAGCTGCATGTAGTAGTAGGTAAAGGATCACTGGATTTTTAAAATTGCCAAAATTTTTAGTTTTTTTTTAATGAAATACGAGGTATTATTAGGAATGTTTGGTATGAAAAATAATTCATTTTTATTAGTAATTTTTTCACCATATTGTTCATAAAATTGTTAAAATATACCTACTAATATTATAAACAATCAAATTAACCCCCAAAAATGTACACAAACCAAACAATAGTATAATAACCAAAAATCAAATGAATAAATTAAAAAAAAGTAATTATCATCAGTTACAGCAGTATCGCAATTTAGCGGAGTAATTAATTTTTAATATTCATACGGTTTCCCCGTTTAACAATAAATTTCCAACCCCCACGCCCAGAAACGTACCGAGTTTCACCAACCAACGCAAAAAATATAATCTTAAACCCCCAAGGCCTAAGGCCGATGAGAATGAGAACCGAGTGAGCGAGAGCTGTTGAACAGGCAGTGGCGTAAAAAAGGACACCTTCTATCAATTCGGTACTAATTTTTACATATAAATTATTGAGTAGTTATATTTGGCACAATAGGTGCGAAAATAAACAAAAAAAAAATCTAATTAGGATGTATTAGTTAAAGGGGTTAAAAGGGGTAAAAGGAAGATGAGAGATAAAGGGGGTGGTGAAGTTGCAGTTAAAAAAAATATAATAATGCAGTTTGGAATAAAATTAGTGTGGAGATATGTAGGTATATTATTTTTGAGTTACAAAAAAAAAGAAGAAGATTGTATGTGAAAAACCACCCACCCATCTCCTACGGTCGGTTGGGATTCGAGCGAGAGAAGGAGCGGCGCGTCGGGCGAGAGACGGAGAACAATTTTCAACATTATACAAACAGCGTGGCCGCCGCGGGCAGTAGGCGAGCTGCCCTCGGGGGCCGTTCGGGCGCGCTGTAAAATATGCCGCCCCCCGGGCGTCCTTGTGTGTTGCGTCGGTTTCGACGGCCCCGGGCCGACTTTACGAATTCCACGATATGACGTCGAGTGTCTCTCTTCTTCTCTTCGCTCGCCGGCAGAGAGACAGAGGCCGCCGATGGGGCGGCGGGGGCGCTGTAAGTGGCGGCGTTGCAGCTGTATACTCGTAGAGTACGGGGCTCGTATTTTTTTATATTAAAAATATTTCCTAATATCATAGATAAAGTATACGAATCAACGAAGTTTTTGGAGGGGTTGTGTGTGATGCTGCTTCACAAATAACAATAAAAGCCGAAAAGGAATTGTTTACGAAATGCATCGAGAGGTATAATTAGAGATGGATATGAAAAATGTGTACCCGAATGGCCCGCAGTGCATCAGAGTTTCGTGTGATTATTATTTCAAAAATGGATGAAATCGCCCCGAGGGGGCACAGCCATTATTATAACCTTCGGAATCGACTTTTTTTTTTCTTTTAACACAAAATGTTTTCGATTCCGAAAACTCCAATTGTGAGAACGAACACTCATCGATATAAGCAAGCAGTATTAGTTTTATTATAAATTCTTCAATACATATTTGATCAATTTTATTTAGTTTACTCATCATCAATAGAGATCCGTATAATAATAGGGGGATACATAAGGGACGAAATACATATAATAAATAATGTATCGCCTGAAAAACGAATCGCGAATTTGAGTATATCGACAGTAGATCCCCGTTTCGAAGGCGTTCCGACTCACCCAAACCCACATCAGCGCATTCTTTTCGCCCAACTCGGCTGTTTGTTATTTACCGGGAACGTATCCACCCCGGGGCCACCTCGAAATTACGGGGCTCGGGCCTGGATCCGAAAGGTCGACCGGATCGGCCTCGGGGCCACTCCAATAGCTGCCCCGGAGCGCCGCGGGCCTTCTACGCTCGGTCTTCTCGCGCCCCGTCTACCTAATGGAAGAGAAAAACCCCCCGGGGGTTATTTCGGGTGGATATATCAGGACCGTTGCGGCCCCCCAATCTCGCGTTTTACGCCCCATCTATCTACCATCAACTACAACTAATCTGCAGAGACTAAAGCGCAAATTGTTAAATTAACGAATCAAAGTAGTTGTTAAAATGGAATAAAGCGAGTAGAAAAATTAGAAAAAAAAATTGGTAACTTTGCAGGATAACCCCTGTGGAAATGAATCCAACTCATCGTTGCCGCTTCTTTGCAATATCGTCGCTGCCCGGGGGGCCGTTGGAATGAAATGCGCCCGGGGTGGTTTTGGAATCGAAGCTGCTTAGACTTCAAACTGGATGTGTAACCGGAGGGGATGGCCTACGCTGTGCCCTATATATGTATATAAAAGGATTTTATTTTACGGCTCCGGCCCGGGGGGGTCCGTTCGTTGTTCTAGAAACACCGGCGGGCGGGAATTAGAGAAGGAAAATTGGAAAAATCGAAGCTGCGGAGCAAATATGTGAAATGTGCAATTCGAGTTGGAGTTTTCTAATAATGGCGCGTCGGTATTATTAAGCGTCTATTCGAATCTTTTGAAGTACCGTTTTAATGGACAATGGTGCACTAAATGCATTAGCTTGAGTACTTATAGAAAGAAATTGACACCTACCGTTATCTTTCGCATAATACATCAGGCGGAAAATATGCTCATTTTACCATCCGCCTGAATGGAAGGTAATTAGAAATGTAACTTAACTAATAGCTTTAGTAATTGTGCTATTGTATGTACTATACAGGGTGTTAATTGATTTTATGTATAACTTATTTTAATGGATGATTCCTGGGCTAATTTTGAGTCGAAAAGTTCACATAAAGCTTCAATGTCCTCAAAATCTTAGATTTCGGAAAACATGTATGGAAGAATTTTATTTTTATTTAATTTAGGTATTTTCAATATCCCTCTATTTACAGGGCGAGTCAACAAAATTATCCTCATAATTTATAAAATATTGCAAAAAACCTTCTCTCTGCAATTTTCGATCGGTTAAAAACTTCTATAGGTTTGGGAGTTGCTTTAAGGTGATTCACTCTGTATCATAGAAATTAAATATTTTTTAAATAATAGCACAAACCAGTCATTATTAAAGTTAAAATAGCGCATTAATTAATTCCTTGAAGTTGATTGAAAGTGTCTACTGCAACGGACGATGCGCTTGCATTTGATAGACAGTTCGGGAGTTTCCAGGAGCCGTCAATAAGCTAAATTGTTCGAGGGAGTTCGGATCAATCTCAATGCAATTATCCGCTAGCTTCTTTATACAAATTTATCAAAGAATCTTTGTGTAATCGGAATCGGTTGATGGTAGATTCGAGTTTAATAATTTTAGACAATTAACATGCGATATGTTTCATTTATAAAAATCGATCAGTTATACCGTATATTTATGCAAATCCGGAACAATCTCTTATATATAGTCTAAATTAAGAAAGTCGAAATGAAATTACATATCGACAAGTGCATGTAATTCCGCATTATATAGTGGAAAAAAAGCGGAATCATTCCTCGCAGGCGCGACCCCACAAATTACCATGCGGACCGAAAATAAATGAAATCAGCATATCTCATTGCGAAACCACTAAAGGCGGTTTGTAAAAATACGAGGAAAAAATCGTCCGTAAGCCGTTACATATTTTACTGGAAGCCAGAAGATATATAAGGCGCGGTCATTAACTATAGAAAGTTTTACCCCGTAGGTAATACGATCGTTGCGAAATACCTGTATGCAACATTAGGGGCGTTTGGTGAGCGTTTCTTGCTTATCATTCCAGTACAATGCGCTCAAAATAAATTATTCCAAAAATCAGGATAAAAAACTTATCATATTTGAACCAGTTGGGATTTGAATTTTCGTTTTTTTTATATGAAATATGTAACACAAAAATTTTTCCAAGCTTCACGTTTGGATTTAATTAAGCTTGATCATACAAATAAACCAAATATAAAAATTAAAACTTGTACAAGCGTTTATTTTATTTTTATATTTTTCGAATATTTCCACGTTTTCTACTCTACTCTCTTTTGATATTCTCTTCTAATTCGCTTCCAAAACACCGCCATAAGGAACCCCCAATTTTTGAATACCTATAATCATTAATTTGCGCAATTTTTCTTTTGTAGAAAATTGGCGATTAATTAATCAGCCAATTATGTAAATATCCCAATTCATTAGGTAGATAGAAACTGAAAAAAAAAATCCTCTCCCTCATCGAGGAGGCTCTCAATACGCTACGAGGAGCGATAGAGGCCCGCGGCGCGCGTACTTACCAGTCTCGTACACAACAAAAGAAGACCATCAAGAGCGCTAACAATGAAGAAAACATTCTTTTTATTTAAAAAGGTTTTCGCCCGAAACGATCCGCGCCGGCCATTTTTATACACTTATATATATCTCGTAATAAATCGGTGTGTACGCGGCCGGTGCCTTGTCATGGTCAATTGCCAATAAAACGGCCGGGTTTTCGCTATATCGACGCTGCCCCCGGCCCGACGCCCATAGGGGATGCAGCAGACGTGGTGGGTTTTTTTTTTGGACGACCGCCGGCGCTCCGTGCCCTGATTATGTATTATGTGTTGTTGGAACATTTTATCCAAAGGCGCTCTTTTGTTCATTCGTTGTTATTCCTATAGTTATTCAATTGCATTATTCACAATGTTATAAAACAAATTATAAAAAATATATTGTTACAGTACTATTAGTGATATCATGTTGATTTAATAACGTTCATGGATAAAATAATCACCATTAGGGATTAGATTTCAAGCGCGATGTGCAGAAGGTATCGCACAAGAACGAGGGTAAACGTGATGCTCGCTGAAACGCGAGAAAGAAAGCGCGTATCTCGCGGATCCTGGAAGATTTAGGATTGCGGTTCGCCGTTGTGAACGACGAGCGAAAGATTCGGTAGCGAATGCAACCAGCCCGAGGTCTGAATTTGCCTTCATACTCCGACGGAATTCTCATAATTAACTGGCCTCGTAATTTTGTTTTATTAGCAGAACCTAACGACCTAACCTAGAAATTAATAAGCGACTGAATTTTGGACGCAGCGCCGTAGAAAGGAGGCGATTTCTATCGTGCGTTGGTTTGCGAGAGATTTAAGTAATTTTTTGGGTATTTGCTCGGCCGGGATTCACCGGTTACTGCGGGCGTTATATTATCGATTTTGGTCCGAAAAATGTTTGTTTAGGTCGCAATAAAAGTTGTAACAGAAACAGGATAAATAATGTTTAATAAATTTTACCACTTTCAACATATTTTTTATTAAAGTTTTTTTATGAAAGTTGCTACGTATTAATTAATTTAACAAAAATTTATTCATTCAAAATTTACATAGTATATAAATGAAACTCTATTTAAAATTTACATAGTAAATCTCTTAGTATTGTAAGTAGAAAATATCAGGACTTTGAATGGTAAAAAGAGAATAAAATAAATGAAATATAAATCCAAGTAGCGCCCCTGTACGGATTTAATACCCGTCGACGTCTCTTTATTTAACTTGGTCTCATATAACTTTTCCTCTGAATTTTCCACTTTCCAGCAATTGTCATTTCGAAGGTTTTCCAAGAATTAATTATGCCGCCATGTTTGACTGTAACACCCGCCCCCGCGGAGCTCCCACCTTTATTAAAATCTCCCAAAAACCGTGCCCAAATGCGCCGAAATTGCCCGATTATTTCGCCCGACGTCGGAAAATTTCAATGGCGATTTTTATCCGCTCGCATTTTAATTTCAAATTCAACATATCGCCGGATCGAAAACGCGATAACGGGCGATGTGGGAGCACCCACAACGGGCGACCCGCAAAAAATTTAGTGCATATCCGTCTCGTTCGAATCACAATGGCTATAAATAAATTTGAATGTTGAACGATCGAGTCGTGTTTTTTTTTTGGTTACCTTTATAAGATTATTTACTTACAGAATGTCACTTGCGGAGGAGTTTAGGGAGCGTCGTATTGTTGCGTTCACGACGAGATAGATGGAAATATTTCTTCTTTGTACTTAATACGATTGCGGGCTGTACATAAATCAGCTGCATTATTATGGTATACATGTGAATGAATGACCGGCTTAATCGGTATTAATAGGTGATTTAAAAAATGTAACAAACTTCTATGGAATAGGTAGGTAAATTTTGACGAACTCGACGGTATACTATCGTGTTTTTAATGTAATGTTGAGCTTTAACGAGGTATTCACTACATGACAGTTTGATGTAAAGTTGTGGCCTCGCGCGGCTGGATTGTTATCAGAATGCGACCTCTGATTTTACAATACTTTACAAGTAAATGGTCGATTTATTAAAAAATTGTTAAAATTAGTCGACTTTTCATATGATTCAACAAGTACCTAAATTCGGCGTTTTTTAGAAAATGTTACCGGATTAGTTAGATTTTTCAGATGATTTTCAAGATTTTACAAGTAAATTTGTCATGTTACCATCTTCAAATTGCGCCAAATTGCAAGGAAAGTTAGTTGCAGGGACGCATTTTTGCGCATTGTATTCATGAGTAATAAGTTCAGAACCAAACCAAGTGAATCTCACATTTATTCTTCGAAGTTGTGTAAGTGTAATTTACCCGAAAGTTTATTCGCGTCATTTAAAATTTAAATTCTTCGGTACCGAAAATCCAATTTTCCCATTAAGGCTAGAGTTCAGTACTATGTAAATGTGGGTAAAAATGCTGAAATTTCCGCGACGTTTTCAGGGCGTTTTTTGAAATATAAAAGTCTTCAATTCTACCACTCTAAACTGATTAAATACCTATTTAGATATTGCAGAATTTTAAAAGTAGAGTGAAAATGTTCGTGAAAATAGAGAGAAAAGTTTGTGTATATAAGTAGAGGGAAAATGTTTGTAAAAGTAGAGAGAAAATTTTCTGCATAAAAGTAGGGAGAAAATTTTGTGCATAAAAGTAGAGAGAAATTTTTGGGCATAAAAGTAGAGAGAAAATTTTGGCCAGAAAAGTAGAGAGAAAATGTTTATGAAGGGATTAAATGTTGAGCTTTGATAAGCTGTAACAATGAATATTTTAACTCAAACATGATAATTAAATAATTTTCGTTCCGAGCCATTTCCTAAGCACCTCCTCCAACAAATCCAACAAAACAACGTGTAAAAAGAAATCCCTGCTAAACATCCAAGAACCTCAGAAAAGATTAGAGTATAGCAGAGAATAGAGAATAGATTAGTCTTGGGAATTTCTAGTGCGGAACTTCGGTATCGGATGAAAATCCAGGTAAATTCCGGTGCGCCCCAGCTAACGAATCCATTACGCCGCCGTTTAAATCCACCGACATCGGCGAGCCGTTCTCGCTAATTTACCGCCGGAATTACAGTGATTAGAGGCTCCCGCGACGGCCCATCGAGCCAATCATTATCGTCATCGTCGTCGTCCTCATCAGCGGCATCGCGTCCGCCGTCCGCTCAAATCGTAACGGTCCATCGGCCAGCCGGAGAAGAGCTCATCTCGCCGGATCGTCCAGCCCGACTTCATAGATATTAACGCGTGCCCGTTCGAGTGCGTGCACCGGTAGCCGTTTTAGTTCACACCCTCGCACGCGCCCGCCTCGCCTTATCGCCTTCCGATCGGCCTGTATCCGTCATTTCCACGATTATTCGATTATTCTAACGAGCCGGCGGTCAACCAGGGAAAATGTTTCGCGCCCGGGATGCGTATTCAGTTTACAGGATTGATTAGGATATCGTTGATTATTTCGAACATGCTTTAGACTAGGTTAATTTTTTGATTTTTTAAACACTAATTAGGTACCAGAAAATATGCTCGTTTCACACCAACATTTTGTACTTAATTGCATTCATTACTACTAATTAGATGCTTTGTTTGATGTTTTATTAGTGTGAATTTAGAGTTTAGTTGTAAAAAGTTTAAGTACTAAAAAAATTCCCATCTAATTAAGCACTCGTCCATATCAGGAGAAACCATAATATTCCTCTATTGTCGATATATATACATATTCCGTACGGTCGTTACGGCCGGAGGGCGCGACAACGTGGAAAAGAATCGACAATAAGAGCAAATCTGATCCCTCGTTCTTCCGAAACGGCCACGGGGTAGACGTGAAATCAAGGCCCGGTCCCATTAATCATCCTGTACAATTAGGTCCGGTCGGTCCATCAATCACCGCGCGCGATGTGTAAGTAACGTTAAATATTTCTACGGGCCCCGAACTCTCGGCTTTCATGAAAAACTAATTGCGAGCTTTGTTGCGCGGCTTTCTCGCCACTGACGGGTTGCATTTAATCTTAAATAGTTTGGTGCATAGAGTAAATATTTCTCAGGGTTTTAAACTCGTTAATTTCCCAGAATCGTATTTTAGACAGCCAAACAAAGCCCTACTTTAAGTGTAGATTAAATAAAAGATATTGTGGCGAAATATCAACAACAAACGACTCATTTCTTCGACGTCTCGAGCGACACGCGAAATATTTAAATCAACTTTAAGTGGCGTATAGGAGAAACGCGCGTTACTTAACTGGCCATCAGCATTGATGGAAAACTGGAACATGTTTATAGGACGTTCCGTCGTGATTGATCGCCGGTGCGTTCTTCGCCAAGGAAAAACCGGCATTAAATGCGGACGCGGCATCGAAATAATCCGCTCGGAATTCGGAATTATCCCGCAGAAAAACCGGCCGTATACGCAAATAGTTCCAGGCGCTAATTCCGCACGCCAGATACCTATCGGTTTTGTTTCGCTGAAAAAACCGGACACCAATAAGAAATTTCGTTTAAAAAAAAGGATCGTATACGATGCATGAAACAAAGGTGGTGGGCCCCGGGCCTTCGAGTCGATCCGTGACGCGGAGTCGCTCGTACGCCCCCAGGTATCGGATACCCGAACCCGTAGCGAGGCGGTCTTCGTATTTCGGCCCCGAGGTGAACTAAAGTACAACCGGTCGCACAAAAGGGGTTCGTATTTCGCTGTTTAACTTGATATTCCACCCGATGGTTTTCCTCGCTCCGCGCCAGACGGATCCCTTACCGTCAACCATCACTGCAATCCCCGGTGAAATATGCACATGTTAATTGAATGCAGACAATTTATTGTAAAATATACGAGATGGTTTTTTTGTTGGGATATTCTATATGGACTTTATGATATATCCTAATTATCTCGTCCTCTGCTCTCTCTGCTCTCTCCTCTCTGTTCTCTACTATCTGCTCTTTATATACTAGCCCTACTCATTGCTCTCTGTTCTCTACTCTAACTTCTCTCCTCTCTGCTCTCTACTCTATCTACTCTCTCTTCTCTCTTCTCTGCTCTCTGGCCTCTCCTCTGTGATCTATGCTCATATTCTATATTAAAATAGTGGCAGTCAACGTGCTAAAGCATATGTAATACAAGTGCTATACCTATAATATACCTGTAGAAAGATAATAAATTCTAATTACTTTGCACTGTAAAGTAGGCAACAATTATAGAGGACGTTTCCACAAATTTCAATAGAAATCCATATCGAAAATGCGGATTGAGCGAGACATTAAATCAAGTTGGCTTTATATCGTTTATCCACGGCCTGCTGAGCGAACGTCGACGTTAACTATACAGTCAATTTTTTCCTGCTACCGTTATTTACTTGACAAAAGACCGTAATTATTCTCAGTCGAATCGATCGAGTTTATGTGTAGAGTTAATTTATTTCCACAACGCAGATGGTATTGGTTTGAAGTAGCAAATGGTTTTCGCAGGAATAGGTCTACACCACTCTACCGGCGAAATAAAAATACCATTAACTAGAAAAAACAACATATCCAGATAACATCTCTATATAAGATATTCATTTTAATGGTACCGATCTTTTGTCCACTCGATCTCGCTATCCATCTGTCACCATTCCGATGCCGCGCGTCGCATTGGCCTTGCACCGCGCGACCGGCTAGATTTTATGCAACTCACGAGCGCGTCTATTACGCTCTAGTTATTGCCGTGGAGTGCTTTGATCTCTTCGATCGCCTCGCAGATGGTGTCAGATGTGATTTATTCGACGGGCAGGGGATTTCTTCTCGCTCGAAGAGACCATCTTCATCTCCGGTCCGGGAAAACTCCGATGAAGAACGATTTTTTTTTAATTTCTTTACAGTAACGAAGAAATCTTGGATGAAATGGTTTTTTTTTGTAGAAATTTACTCGAGTCATTCCGTGTGGTTCCTGCTTCATTGGGTTCGATTGTTAAGGTTAAAGAATGATTACAAGCCTAAATTTTCCTCCTACCTTTATCTTACTTTTAAGCGATTTTAAATTAGCTTATTAATTATTTAAAGTGGGTACTTGGAGGTTAATACGTGCTTATCGAATGGAACAATCTTTGGCGAATGGGCCGGAGTATTTTTCGAAAATATCAGCCCGCGGGATGGGAACGAAATGAACGGTTATACTTACGTTACTACTTTATCAATTCGCAAGATTCGTTTCGAATATTAACAATAAACTGTTATTTTCTAGATGGAATCGGCACGGTCGGGAGTAGGCATTAGAATTACTTTGCGTTAGATGGTAAAAATGCCCTTTCGATAGTTGGAAATTGAAAAATCGATACTATTGCATATCACGACTTCACTTCTGCAAATGTCTGACACAGATTTCAATTCGAAGAGAAATGATGAAAGTTTCTGTTGATGTAAAAATTGTATAGCCTTGATGATAACTCGAAAATTGTTTTGATATTACATTCAGAATGAATATTTAATAAAATATTTTGTATTGTATCCACATAATTTGGAAATAAAAAACAATTTTTGTTATGTACACGTCCCTAATTTTGAGGAAAAATAAATTAAAAATCCTGAATAAGTTTTCCTAAAACTAATACAAAAAGAGTTTTCCGCGTAGTTCTAACTTTACGATACGTACTGTATAATTTATTCGACATTATGTAAATACTAAGAAATATTTTTTAGCCTTTTTTTAAAATAAGCTATTTTCTTTTACGTAAATAAGGAACAATACCTACATTAATTTAGACAAATTATTATAATTAATATTAAAAATAAACGCATTTAACTGATAGTTTCCTATTGTGGTATAATTAGGCGATAAAAAGAAATTTGTAGCATATGCAAGAAAGGTCGATATGAAAAAAAAGCACTAAGTACTTTGAATACCTGTCACGTTATTCCATCACAATTATATTTATTACGGATTAATGATAAGGATTGTTTTTCCATGAAAGACCTACTTATAATATTTTCCTGTATAATTTCAACGATTACCGTGGGTAATTCCAACAATTTCCTATAAATACTTTGTATTTTCTCTAGGGCGACTTAGTTACTGAAAATGTATCAATTACTAGCGTTGTTGGTGTGCCTCTCGACGGCCCAAGCCGTACAATTCCAGATCAGGAACCACGAGAAGGGCCCGGTTTGGGTAGGAATCCAAGGTAATCCAGGTCATCCTCATTTAGAAAATGGAGGTTTCGTTTTAAACGAAGGACAAGAGGTACATTATCAATATTTTAGCAGACTAACAGACGAATTTATATACTTTTTAGTACACAGAAAACAGTTAATGCGCCAGAAAATTGGGCCGGTAGATTCTGGGGCAGGACCTATTGCAATTCTCAAAGCAACCACTGCGGAACTGGAGATTGCGGAAACAAACTCCAATGCTCTGGAGCCGGTGGAGTTCCACCAGCTTCTCTAGCCGAAATCACGCTGAAGGGAGACAAGGGATTGGATTTCTACGACATTTCCTTCGTTGACGGATTCAATATACCTATTAGCGTAAATACCATCATCAACATCCCCTTCTGGTACTAAAATAATCACCGTTTTCAGTTCGGTCCGCAAGGAGGCGTCGGCGACGGCAGCAAATACAGCTGTCAAGAGGCCCAATGCAAGAAGTACTTGAACGACCAGTGTCCTAACGAGCTAAAATTGAACGAAGACGGTAAAGTCATCGGCTGCAAATCGGCCTGTCTGGCCTTCAACACGGACGAATACTGCTGCAGAGGAGCCCACGGCACCTCTGAAACCTGCAAATCCTCCGACTGGCCTAAGGACTACCCCAAGTACTTCAAGACCCAATGCCCTGACGCTTACAGCTACGCCTACGACGACCACAAGAGCACCTTCACTTGCAGAGCCGAGAAATATACCATCACTTTCGGCGTATAAAAAATGCAATAAACAGTACAATTGTTAAGATTAATTTTAAGTTTTGCTTTGAAATGTTAGGTACCTATATTTATTAAATAAATAAGTGCATCAACGGGAAAAGTAATTTAACGAATTCCATCGTATTTGTCGTAAACAAATCTTCAAGTAATCTTATCAAATCGTGTATTGCGTCTAAATTAAATTCGAACGATATAAAACTCGATAACCAGACATTTGTTTATACCAAACGCAAAATGTTACAATCAGTGATAATACCTCTAATTTTATCGAGCGCTTCTGCCGTCCAATTCGAAATCGTCAACAAAGAAATCGGAGCAGTATGGGTAGGAATCCAAGGAAACAGCGGCAAAGAAGCCTTAGCTAACGGTGGTTTCATCCTCCAAGCCGGAGCCTCGGTATTACTAATCGATTCGATACTTAATTTTATCACCAACAATCGCTTCTATTCCGGCAGCAAACGATCGACGCGCCTGAAGATTGGGCCGGCCGCTTTTGGGGCAGAACCTGGTGCGATCCAAACACTCATCATTGTCTAACAGGCGACTGCGGCGATAGAATCGAATGCGCCGGAAATGGCGGCGCCCCGCCCGCCTCTTTGGCCGAAATCACCCTCAAAGGATCCGGAGGATTGGACTACTACGATCTATCGCTCGTCGATGGATTCAATTTAGCCATTAGCGTAAGTTGATACAGGTATATTAGACAGGGAACGTTCTTTTAAGTGCATTTGTAGTTTGAGCCTGTGGGAGGGAGCGGCGACGGGTCGGCCTACAGTTGCAGGAAAGCCGCCTGCGAGCGGCACCTCAACGACGACTGTCCGGAGCCTTTGCGGCTGAGCTCAGAACACGGAGCGGTGGGCTGTAAATCGGCTTGTTTGGCTTTCAATACGGACCAATATTGCTGCAGGAATGCCTACAGCACGCCCGAAACGTGCAGGAGCTCCACATGGCCGGTGGACTATCCGGAATTCTTCAAATCCAGGTGTCCGGACGCGTACAGTTATGCTTACGACGACAGGAAGAGCACGTTCACTTGCAAAGCGGAAAAATATATCGTCACATTCGGTTTCTAATGATACCTCTGCAAGACTCGTTTACTAGTTTTATTCGCATAGCCCTCGTAGATATACTTAGAGAAAGCAAGCATACGAGGGGTGTTTGATATTAATATTGTTTTGTATTTTAAAAACCAACTACAATAAATCTATTCTAAGCCAATTAATTAGAGAATTATTTTCGTTAAAAAAAAACAACCGATCCTTGTTAGGACGGTACTAACGAAATACTTCTGCCGGCAGGATACCAGCGCCAAGAATTTTTTCTAGCTACTAGAATTTCGCGAAAACTATTAGTAAGTACCGAGTAAAAGAAACGCGAATGCTGATGTAGTAGAACAAAAAAAAAGCGAGTAGAAAGGGCGACCGGGTCGTCGGGGCCCCGGAGGGGTGTCGCCGGATCGGCGCCGGAGCGGCCCGCGGGCCCGTTGCGTCGCGAGACTGTCGTTGAACGCGGTCTCGAGTCGTCCCCGGGTCGGCGAGCGCCCGAGGGCGCCGCCTCCGGCGCTGCACGTGTGCACCGACGAGAGAGATACGAGCGACCGAAAAAATTTATTGCACGCGTAAATATTACTTTTGCGGCGCATTTGCCAACGTTTAGCAGCTTCAGTAGCTTTCGTTTCGTCATATCGAGTATAGACTACCTACTTTTTAAGGTATGCTTCAATCGTGAAATATCGATAGATATAATTTTTTGTAGGGTACTATATTATTTAAAGTTGCTAGTACGTTTTGCAGAATATTCGAAATGGAAAGGCAGGTAAACAGTTCGTGCCCCCTGGGCCATTAAAACGCCGGCGATTTGAATATTAAGTACGTTGTTAGAGACCTCAGTTCGATTTTAAGAACCGCCTGGAGTTCTAAACGCAAAAAAAATAACACTCTCTCGTACTGATCAATCATTCCATATAACTCGAGCTCATATAAAATTAATTCGCGAAGAATACAATCCGCTCGTTTTTACTACTGTTCAATGGTAAGTATGTCGGGTAGGAGGTCCCTGCAATATCCATTGCGCCCGAAGGTCTGGTTTCGGCTATAAAATTCGTAATTTATTAAAACATATACGAGTACGAGTATATGCTTAGTACTTACACCGAGTAATTGGCTGCCTTTTTGTCTTCCTGTGCGGAATATGCAGCAGGATTTTACGACCTAAGCGCCCGTAAATCACTGCACCAGCTTCGCCTTCGTTGGAATTAGTTTACTACTTCGTATTTGCGTTTACAGTAGGCCTGGTCTATCATGTGAAAATTTCGATAAGCTATTCTGATTTTTTCTAAATATTGCTTCCCTTTAAATTATTTGTTAATGCGCCTATAGCTGACATCTCCTGGTGGCGAACACACTGTAATGATATTTTTTTGGTTGGTTATAAAATTGAGTCGATATTCATGTAATTTTGAACTTAACTTTATCGTCGACACCTTCATAAAAATTATCGTTATTGTATCTGTTGTTTGTGGAGTTCCTTCTTGGGATTAGGAGCGGCTCGCCTAGTGAATTTCGAGGTGAAAATAAACTATTGTCGGAGTCGCTTAGAGAAGGCGAAGCGTAAAAAAGCGGATTACCAGAGTGCAGGTAAACGGGCGAAAAATTTAAATTTTCTACGCCGCTGTTAATCTTCCACGCAACATAACCCACAAAAACCGACTTGAAGAGCGCTTAAAAAAAACACGCCGAGTGCCAAAACGACCGACATTTGTTCGGATTGTCCTCGTCCCCGCCGAACCTAAAACAAAAGAATGTCGAATGTCGCCTGCTTATGATTTGCCTAAGGCGTTACGGCTCGCCTTCGCCTACCTGCCTTTTTCCTTTCTTTCTTTTTTTTTACCATTTTTAATAACGAAATGTCGCCTCCTTGATTAACCTTTTGCTTTTCTTTGTTCTTCCCACATGTCATGTCATCGCCGGCTCCGACGCTGCGCCCTTAGGCCGCGTAATTATTATCGAATTCCGATTTTTCAGCGTTTAAGTTTCACGTCGAGAATCACGGAAATTTTTTAATTGGAATCCCCGTTTTTTTAGTCGTAAATCGTATAGTAACAAAACGGCACTACAAACAGCCGCCCTCGAATCGAATAAAGGTGGATGAAATGAAATTTTTATTTCTTATCGATAATTGCACCGCGTTTTTCTTGATATCAACGACGCTGCGCTATTATTTAGTGCCAAAGTTTTATCGAGTTGGAAGCGTTTTTTACTCAGCACCGGAAGGCGATTTTCTCGAAATTTATTTGCCAAGTTTTTCTATATCTGTGTATGCTAAATCCAAAAATTCAAACTTTTGATTTATGCCGGAAAAAACGGATTTACATTGCAAAAAAAACGATTTCATTCGATCGCTTTAACGCGGTAATTAAGTTGCGCAATGAGCCGGAAAGTTCCGGAAAATTAAAAGGCAAATCGAATTTAAGAAAAGTTTCTTTTTTATTTTCATTTTTCCCGTCTTTAGGTAGTTCATTTCAATATCGTCGTCGACACTTTCACTTTACGAATGCAAATCTACTTCGAGATGCTAAATTTCAACAAACTTATAATTCCCCAAAATTACACCATTTTATATAATAATACAAGAAATATAGTCCATTCATACACCGCATAAACTTTAATTACACCTCAATTAGACAATCATTCTCTACAGCCCGTATATCTCTTTCAACATTACCACTTGCGAGATATCTTTCAATGTCTTTAAATAAAGGGATATCTCACTCTTCGATCTGATCGAAAACTAAATGTTACCATTCATTACGGTCTCGATTTTAATTAGAGATACGATCGAAGCAGAAGATTTAATTGATTCTTTCAGATCGTACCTCTTCCATGTTACACAATGGAAATACGTAGGATATTCCAATCAACCAATCCCTTTCATACGATACCACAATTTTTCTAACTCATCCGTATTATGTATATAAGTAGTTAAAAATTCGAGAATCTAGCAGGTACAGTACAATGAATTAATTGTTACAAAACTGCCGGCATATGGGTGAGTGGATTTGCTATCCCTCGGCATTTTTCCGCGGCGCGCCTCTGCATCTGTTGCGTGCCGTATGATTCAGAAACCGTTTTGTGGGTTTAACACGTTCTCCGGCTTCGGCGTCCGCCCGCGCACCCCTCTCGTTCGAGGCGGCCGACGGCCCCGCGGCGGTAAAAAGGCCGCCCACGCTTCATCTCCCGGCTCTGACCCTATATGGGCGCACCAGCACCACCTTCGCGCCCGACGGCTGGATATCATTTCGAAAGAATTGAAGTTTCTGCGGCTCTCTTCGACATTGACCGGCCGATCGGTGGTGAAAGCTAATTGTAGCGGTACATGATCTTCGGATTTATTGGTACGATTGTTTGTTTGGGGTAGAATGTATAATGATTTGTGGTTAAAGTTGGGGAATTTAAAGAGGAAATTGGTAATGAAATTGGAATGGTTTTTGAGGAATCCAGTTGAAAATAGAGAATAATAAGAGAAGCAGGGTAAGGTAATATCTAAAGGAAAAAATCAGTCTCTACAAAGATATAATAAGCAATTGGATCCAGCAATCGGAACCAAATCCAGATGTACTACTATATTCATGGATAAGAAAATGCACTACTCTCTTCGAAGATAAGAAAATGCACTATATCCATAGACAAGAAAATGTACTATTCCATTCATAGTTAAGAAAATGCACGACTCTATTCATGCATTACTCTATTCATAGATAAGAAACTCACAGACGGACATCTCCACAAACAAATAACACGAATTTACTAAGATAAGGATAATAGAAGATATATTTTCCACGCATTCTTCGACCTCCTCATCTCTACATATTCCGCCTACCTATACCCACTACAAAAACTCACTTTCTTTGTAGTTTGTTGTGTAAATTCAGTTTGAAAAAAAAAACACACACACAAAAGAAACGCGTTGAGATGGCTCAAACAAAAGACATTAGTCTCGTTATGCCACCCATACGTTACACAATACACCTCAAATATTTGGGCGCGAGCTCCCAACCCTTTTCCGCACACCCCCGGAACCCGGAGCCTCCTCGTCGCTGTTTTAGTGTACACACCGAACAACAGGGAGGACGTACAAAAACGTGGTATCAAAAAGGCGACGGTGCCGAACCGTAGGGAAGGGAATCGGACGGGCGGAAAAGCGAGTCGGGAAAATCGGAAGGATGAGAGCGGGCGAGCGGCAACACGGCCGCTCCGAAGGATTCCTCCGGCGTTCAAATCTCCGGCTCCGGTGTTATTCTCGATTCTCAGTTGCGTTCGAACGTTTGTTGAGGTTGCTTGCACGTTCTACGCCATCGTAGACTCGATTTTATCGCGTGTTTTTGTACCAGTCGAATTTATGGATAAGCGAGGGTAGATTTTCTAATTGTTGTTATGGCGAACTATAGTGTCTCTGTGAAAAGGAGTGCTAGTGATTTGGAGGAGCAGAATTTAATTTTGTACAGGTAAGTCCACCTTAAATAAATATTTTTTAATTATGATAATTATATTGAAATTTTTAATTTTTTTATTGGTTGAAAATATTTAGAAAAACAATTATTTACCACTAACATAATGCTACGCATTTACCAAAATAACTTCAACAATTATTAAATAATTACAGAAAAAATATAATTGTAAAGTAGATTAGTATTTTTATCAAATTACCGGAATTTCCCTTATTTGATTATAAAATTCTCGCCTTGTCCTCTTTCCGATCGCGACACTGCGATACTATACGTAGGTGTCAATGTAACAATGTATAATGTATTGTTAAATAAACCAAAGTGTAACTAAATAATCAGGTATGCAAATAAAGTCGAAAGGATAACGAACCAAGTCGATAAATCCAAGCTAATAGAGACTCGTTGCCTATTGGATTAATTCCTCTAATCATTCTTCCTGGTTGAAATATTCCAAGTGACTTCGAAATAATGTTTTATTAGCTCCTCCTGGAGTGGATTTGATGAAAGCAAAATAATCTATTATTCTAATATAAAGACAATCGTCCAATAATTAATACTTAATCGCGTTTCACCGCGAACAAAAACCAATAACGATCTATCAACATTGTGCTATAAGCGCCCAGGCGATGATCTCACCGAAGGAATTTCCATTATTTTCGTTTCGCAGTCGGTCCGGCGCGCTATTTGTACAGGCTAATTGAAAGCAAAATGAGAGATCTACAGAAATTGGAATTATAGCTCGGGTACTCGCGCTTCTTTAACCCCGTACAAAGCTAATATTTGCGCTAGCGAACGACAAAATAGCGCCGGCGGGCTTTTCAAGACCCGACGCTTTTTGTTCGCAGAGAGGACTTCCTCGATGGAAAAAGGGATTCTTTGACACAATGAGAATCGACCGGCGAGAATGCATTTCGAATTGGGACCAGAAACGGTTTTTGTATAATTACGGAGCTCGTTTCGTTAGAAGGAATTGGTGCAAAGCCCTGCAGGCTCCGAATGCTGAGGATACTTGGAAACTTGTGAATAAAAAGACCACATCAAAAGTCTAAAGGTCCGATGCGTCTACTCACAAGAACTCTTTAGTTAAAAACGATTAGTGAAGACTAACGAAAACAATTGTATATACCGGAGTAAAGTCTTTTTTCTGGCAGTGTGTCACTTATCTAATTACTATTATATTCTGGTATAATCTGGTATAACCAGAACAATTCAACTCACCCTTACTTAATGAATTTGACCTTAAATTCGATTATCCAGGTCACATCACAACCCAATAACCGATACAATTAATGCCAAACCAGCTTCATTGTTGCATCTACAATAATCCAATAGTCTTGTAGTTAACGCTGATCGGTCTAAAGTAATTAATTGTTTATTCTTTTAATCGAAGCCGGCGGTTTCAGTCCGTTTAATTAGGTGTAGGCATCAGTGGCCAGTTTCACGGTGAAAATAATTACGCCCAGCAATGGGGTTTCTCGTTATATTAAAAGTTAAAAGACCGTCGACGCGTCCGGAACTTCTGTTTGACAATCGTTTGATTTACGATTTATGAAAGAAACGCGAATTTCCAGCGTCGTGTTAACGATATTTTCTTCAGAAAGGCGGAAAGGAAGAGTGGCTTTTGTGTAGTGTATAGCAGTAGCAGTAATTTATTTATCTCTACTTCATTCTATTTAATTTGTCTTTTTAAAGGTATCGTAAATCATGAGATAAATTGTATGAGACTCGATTTCAATCAAAAGACAACGAATATTTTATTTTTAATTTCTATCAGGTAGAATCTAGGAATTGTATCGAGTAGGTATAATACAGAGATGAGAAATTTGCTATAGTTTTTCTAGGATTTTTGTGGTAATACCAATAGCGAAATAATGACGTTTTAACCAATTAAACGACAGTTTTTCCAGCGGCATTTTCGCGACACGTACCTTTCCCATAACACGTACGGATACCTAACGAGCGCGAATCGCAAAAAATCGCGTTTCTGCAAACCCATAAAGCCATATAGAGTGCAAACGAAACAACCACTAAGCGATACGAGAACATATCGAAACGAACGATAGATATTTTTTACTGCAAAAGGTAATGCCATTATTGCGATGGTTCGAACGCGACGAATGCATTTCACCTTGTAGGCTCGTCGAGCGAACTGCAAAAGTTACGCCGCTGATCATCTTCGAATCGAGTCCGATTTGCCCCACGAAAGAATTAGATAACTCGCAGATAACAGGACGAGGCTCTTGATTTAGTGACCGTACGTCCGAGCTTTATGCGCCACTTAAAATTTTTAGGGGAATTTTAATCATTCGCGGCTTTACGACCGGCAATTATCGTTCGACCAACTTTTATCAATCCGAAGACGGATGATATACGGCGAACACGTGCGAAATGATGTTTTAGTTGTGCTTCAATTGGAGGCTTATCTTTTTATTGACCCGTCTACCATTAAGCCTTCCAAATACGTCACGTAAATTGTAACTAAAAGTGCTTCGTTTTTTTTTTTCAGGAAAAAGACTGAAGTTCGCAATGATCTTGACAAGGAGCCTAAAGACTTGACGAATAGAAATATGTTTCCCAGTACTCAGATTAAAATGAGGTGAGTAACACTGGTCTTCTTATTGTCTACAATGATCGCTTCTAATTTTATTCTTCATTATCAACAAGCATATCTAGTAAACTAAGTTGCTGCAATTGCCATAAAGCATCTAGTGATTATTTCAAAGAATTGTTGGATCTCCACCGTTCGTTGTCTATTAAAAGTTTCAGTTTCCTTAACCGTTTCCAGATTGATGTCGCCCAGTACTTCTCCTGCCACATCGCCCACCATGTCCAATTCCTCGTCGCCGACGCCTCCCGCAGTCAATTACAACAAAATCACGGGAATCCCCTGCGTCGCCGCCGCCTCCAGGTACACGGCGCCGGTGCACATCGACGTCGGCGGTACCATCTACACCTCCTCTTTGGAAACGCTCACCAAGTAAGTACTAATTTTATAGAAACGCAAAGTACAACTGGGATAAAAGCTAGTAAGTAGTACATCAATTATTGGAGAAACAATTCCACACCATTCAGTAAGTGAGAATGAAATGTTTTGGATGATAGGGTAGAAGAGCGTACTGGTGGTAGAGAGGACACTTTATCACGTGAATTGGCTATGAGGACGGACGGACGCGTATGTTCCCATGGCGTGTCGGGCCCCGCTGGTCATCACGAGACCCGGGGTATCCGCGGCGGTCGGTTCCGGCGCTGTGGTACTAGTTTTAGTGGTTCCGCTGCGGGCCGGTCGTCGCTAATTGCGTGTATTAGAGGCTTATGGGTTTATCGTGCTTCGCGGGTCTCTTTTCGGATGTGGAACGTCGAGTGAGGCTGTTTCCCACAACGGTGCCAATTTTTTTTTTCAACGGCGCGGCGTATGGGAAAATAAATCCCGCGGAAATTTCGTCTAATGCCGCGTCGAAATAGAGTGTATTAATTCGAAAAGCAAAGTAAATCGACATTTTAACCAATAATACCGTCGAATGCCTGGGAGACAAATCGATAAATCATCGACACTCGTAAATTTCAAAGGAGAGACAGCACAAGGTTGACCTACCTTTTGCAGCGTTACACACACCGATATTTAAAAGGTAATCCTGCAAAAATGCTTTAAGCCAAATTCATCAATATTTATGTTTAAGTTTCTGTATTATTTTCATTATCATATTAGTTAGGTTTTCACCTTCGGTATTATTCGATTGCAGGGTGGTATTCAGTTCGAATAGAAATTTACATTATGATAAAGAAAAATTCTCTTACACTTCTCTGATACTTCATTGCTTCTTCACTAACACCATTTGGAATTTCTAAGAGGCCAAATAACAAGATCAAATAATAGAATTTTAACAGGAGGACTTTTAAACTTTAAGTTTATTAGAGTCTAGAATAAAATACTAAAACCCATTATATGAACTATGAATTAATAGGAAGAAGAGTTGTAATCAAGAAACTCGAAATAGAAAAGACCTAGAAATAGACCTAGAAACTTGAAATATAGATATTTTTATAGGAATTAAAACAAACCAAGTCCAACACTGGCTAGGTAAAAAATCGAAACTAATATCTCTGAATGGTAGATTATTACCAATTATAACAAGAAATCCGTGGATTTGGCCGGAGGCCAGACGGATTGACTCTTAGATAAGGCAATTAGCTATTAGCTATGATATTGGGCGGCACTAAAAGTGGTTTCTGGGCGCTTTCGACACCTACAATTTCGCTATTTGCATATCCTATCGCGTAATTTCCACGATTGTGTTTGTTTTACGACTTAAGTGGGCATGCAGCGTTGCGATTTCGTTCGAATCCAAATACTCCAATTGCTTGTTTAGTGGAACCGTGACCGTTTATTATAGACACATGGGGTAAAAAATGCAAACCACCCAATGTATAAAATATTTTTTAGAAATATAACAACAGGTTTTGCTTGCTGAGCCAACTTTATGGAGTCGATTAACGATTTAATGGCTCTTTTCTTGACAAATGACTAGTGTAATTTCAACACTACTTACTTAGCATTCAAATGCGTCTACCATATGGCGTATTAAAGTTAATAAATTAACGATTCGCCTTGCTGTAGGTACTTTGATGATTAAATTTAATTGAACAAATATCGGAATTTCGTCGATGGTTTTTGTACAAAGTTAAATGTTCTTGAATTGAGACGCTTTAAAATATCGAAAATGGATTTTACATAATGTGAGTTATACCGGTTTTAATAAGACCTACCATAATTTAGCGACTGAAAGGATCACAAACACGCGATAAGCTTTGCTAACTACATAAATTAATGCTAACAGATATTATGATGCAAATATACGGATCATTAATGGGCTACTATCAAGAAATACCGTGTATTTCAGATAAAACGAGATTGTCTGTCAATGTTTAGCGTTCGTAACATGCATAATGCATTGTTTCTATCGGTGGAATTGATATATGGGGTCCGGTGTAATGCAAAAATCAATGATTTAGGTACACCAATTATTGCCGCTCAAGTAAATCTGGTTAACGAGCCAATTTGCTCGTTAGTCAATTAATTTTTTAGCGTAAAAAATTACACTTATAATCATATCAAAAGGTACTTATTACAAAAAGCCTCCGTGTCAATTTATAAAATCATTTGATACTTAAAAATCTGCTTCGAATTTGACCAAAGGCAACATGTAACCTTGTTATTTATATTTAATAAATACGAGAAAGAATAAACTACACGAGATAAAACGGAATTAAATGCTATAAAATTATATTTTATGTCTTCATTCGTTTATCACCTGGAGCCTTTTGTTTATTACCACACAAAAAAATATTTTTTATACGACATGATCCGTAAAATTAATTATTTTTTAACAAAAAAAACCCTTGTTATGATATAATAAAATTTGATTCCACTAATGCGACTCGTATCCTCCCTCATCTAGATCAGAATCTTGACCGTTTAACAGAGAAGGCCGAGCAGCGCAAGGCGTGCTTGATAAGGCTCGGATTAATCGCATTACATATTGTTATTACAACTGATAATTGTTTCATAAATAACAGAGAATAAGTACAAATGATGACGTTGCGACGCCGCCGGCGCTCTGTAAGGTTAATTAGAGCATTGTGGACTATAAATACGTTCTGATGCCGTTTAACTTAACGATATAAGTGGTAGATTCAAAAGCGAAAGGTTAGGAGCAATTTATACACGTTCTTCTACATATTCGAAATTGTATATTGGAATTTAATCGTTGGATAATCCGACGAAGTATAAACTTCAGTTTACAAGTTCCCCTTTTCTCATTTAATGCTAGTTTCCCTTACAAAATATTACAGTAATCGTAGTTGCTCCACATCAATCTGAAGCTGGAGCTGTTCTCCCTTCTGATGGCCTCGCGAATGCTGGGCTGCGCCGGGGGATTCACGAACGCGTTCAGGATCTTATCGACGACCTCCTCTTCGGTGCCGTCGCTGTCGGTGAACGACTCCCCGTCGTTCAATTCGTTCATCAAGTGGTACTCGAGTCTCCTGTCGTGGTTGCCTTGATTGCTGACGGTGTTCACCGAATGGATCTCGGTCGTTTCGTGTTCGATTTCCAGGATTTGCCTTTGCAACTGCCTGTACTCGTCGGCTATTTGCTTCCTGGATCGTTCTAAAACTTGTTGCAGTTCGTTGAGCAGATTGGACCTCTCCTGCTCCAGTTCGGAGATTTTGGAATAGAGGTGTTCGTATTCTTTCTTCGCTACGACTTCCACTGCTCTGTAGACGATCCTTTCCACTTCCCTTTTGTGTTTGGGGGATAGTCTGGATGATGGTGCGTCGCTTTCTTGTATGTCTTCTAAGGCGTTGAGTAGTTCCATTTTGTTGCGTTCTAATGTGAAAATCCTATGTTGGAGCTTGTAGCGTTGTTCCATCAAGGAGCTGTTCACGTTTTCAGCCACCGAGTTATCCAGATTTAGGATGGTTTTCAACCAATCCGCGTTGGACTCGGGCTGCGTTAGTAAGAATTTGAATTCTACGTGCTCCATCTTCAACTGCGAGACGTCTTTGCTGGTCCTTCGGGCCTCGTCTAGCAGCAGATGGACCTTCTTCTTCAGCTCCGAATTCTCCGCTTCCAGCTCTTTTATCATCACCAACAACCCGTCGCTCTCCGATTTTTTAAAGTGCAGCAGGTCCTCTTGCAGCTGCGCCTTCTCATCTTCTATAATCTTTATGGTTTCCTCCAGGAATCGCGCCTCTGATTTGAGGTCGTTGGATACCAACGCTGGTTTGGAAATGTCCAACGCCGAATTTAGCAGGTTCTTAAAACGGGCATTTTGACTTTCTAATAACTCTATTCGCGTCGATAATTTTACTATTTCATTTTCAATTTTCATGGTCGTATTTAATGGGATTTTACATAATATTACAATCGAAATTAAGTGACAAATGCATTTGACAAAACTGTTTTAAATTTAACGTTTGCACATAACCTAGATAGTTATTTGTAACAGTTGGTCACACTTAAGCTCACAGCCAATGGAAGCATTATTCAATCATCAAATTCGGAAGAATTTTCGTAGCAAATGACGTTGACAAAAAATTTTCAAGAATCACGTACAAAACAACCCGAAATCATGGCCGAACAACAACCGGAGGTGAAGAAGCACATCAAACAGCTGGAGAACGAGAACAACAAGCTGCGGAAGCTGCTGAAGACGGCGCTGGAGGTGGCGAACAAAGACTCGGCGAGCTTCATGCGATTGAAGCTCGAGTCCGAGGTGCTCGAGAGCGAGATCAGCAACCTGGAGAAGGAGAAGCAGCAATTGGAGGATACGATGGCGAGCATCAAAACGGAGGGCGCGCACCCGCACAAATTGCAGCAGATCATCTACAGTTTGGAGAAGGAGCACGTGGATTTGCGGTGCAGACTCGAGCAGGTCTTGACCGAAATTCGCAAAGGCTATTTGGAAATCGATCAATTGAAATCCGAAGACGCCGAGTTGAAGAAAACCATACTAAAGTTAGAAAACGACAAGAAAAATTTGCTGGCCAAGTTCAATTTAGATCCTAGTTCAGAGGTTAAAGGAGATTTGGTCGGTTCTTACGCAGCAATCGAAACGAAAGAAGAATCCATTAAGAGGCAACCTAAATTCATCAAACCAGTCGGCGGTCCCATCAGCATAGCCGACATCATCAAAGATCGTTTGTACATGGAACTCCAAGAAACCATAGCCAAATCGAGCGAGGAAATCAACCAAATGAAAGGATCGATTTCATCCGATCCGGACATATCCAAGCTCATCAAAGACATCGAAATCCAAAAAGAAATCCTCCTCAACAATCTCAAGCTGCTCAAGATAAAGGAAGCGAACGATACCAACCCGGACGAGCCAGCTTCTTCAGACAACAGCCTACCACCCGCTTCAAAATCTTCTAAATCGTCCGAAATCGAAACGGCCACCATCGACTTCGCCCTCTCCGACGAGGAAGACGCCTCGGAATTCGCGCGTCTATCCAAAGAGAAATTGAACCTCAACCGGGTCGTCTCTCAATTGGAAAGCGAGCGCGCCATCCTGGTCCAACGCCTGCAATCCCTGTCCGAACCCTCCGCCTCCGGGCCGCACGATACCTTCGTGCGCGAAGCGTCCTCGGAGCGCATCGTCAAGAAGTACGACGACGCCACCAACCAGCTCTACGACAACGACGAGCAGCGGCTCGAGCAGAGGATCCGCGAACTGGAGGCGGAGAACAACCGCATCATCGGCGAATTGGAGGCGCTGATGGGCCAGATCAGCGAGGAGACGGCCAGATCGCCGCCGAAGGTCACCTGCAGGCTGAAGGAGCAGATCAACAATATGGAGAAGCTGGAGCTGCCTTAGTTTCTGCTCATATGTATATACGTGAAGAACCGTTAATGGAAATAAAGGCAATTTGAGTAACTTCACAATTTTTGTTTTAATAAACTCATTTTTTCATCCTTTATCCCGGTAACCACTTAAATCATATGATCCTCGGTAGTTTCCCAGCTGTTGTGATGTCATGTTTTCGTTCTTGTTGTGTCTAGATCTTTGGATCTAAAAACATTAAACATTATTTATACTATTTCGTTTGTTATAGATATCCAGAATCTAAACTAGCTAAGCTCTTTAACGGAAGCATACCGATCGTGTTGGACTCTTTAAAGCAACACTACTTCATAGACAGGGACGGTGGGATGTTCAGGCATATACTGAATTTCATGAGGAACTCCAGATTGCTCATTCCGGAAAACTTCCAGGATCTCGACTTATTATTGGAAGAAGCCAGATATTTCGATATAATGCGTAAGCTAATAGCGTTGCCTCTCTAACATTAAATCGCTAATAAATTCATAAATTCGCAGCTATGGTGAGACATTTGGAGCAGCTGAAGAAGGAGCGAATGAAGAACGGCGTGCTGCCGCACAGAACCGGAGGCGGCGGCTCCGAATCTAATCAAAAGCCGCTAGAGAACAATCGCCTGGGCCAGGAAATGTACGAGTGCGTGGCGTTGCACGTGAGTCCTGACCTGGGCGAGAGGATTATGTTGTCGGGGGACAGGTCCTTGCTGGATGAGGTTTTCCCCGAAACGAACCAGGCTGTTATGGACGCCAGATCGGGGGTGGCTTGGAACCAACAGGATGCTCATCATGTCATTAGGTAAAAGTAGAAGTGCAAGATTCTTATGAACGTGTACTGACTGTTTAATTAATTTGCAGATTCCCATTAAACGGTTATTGCAAACTAAATTCGATGCAGGTGATAACGAGGCTGTTGAATGCTGGTTTCAAAATAGCTGCCAGCAATGGGGGCGGCGTGGAGGGGCAGCAGTTCTCCGAGTATTTGTTTATCAGGAAGGTGTTGCCGGGCTGATGGGGAACGGTCGATTGATCGATATAGACAATCAATATATTAAAAAAAAAACTGTACAGTCTTTGTTAATGAATTAATTCGTCCGCGTTCTCTCGCCAGTGGAACGGGGCTCGCTTGAGAAGTTATATTTTTACGGAGCGTTTCTAATGAGAGAAATGTTTTGATAGTGCGTAAATTATTTAATTTTTCTCGTTTTATTGGAAGGTGTTAAGAATCGATTAAATCGGCTCTGCGTTGGTTTCAAAAACACGAAGCGAACGAGCCGTTAAACCGTTGTGAAATATTTACTTACTATTCTGTATTTAATAAACTATTATTTAAAATCGACGTTTGTTTCCGTTCATTTTTTCCCTGAAAAACGCGCTTCGCGTGGAGCATAAAAAGAAAGTGGGTAAATAGAAAATGACGATAGGGTTATTGAAATAATAAAGAAAGCACATCCGATGAGGTAAAATATTAAACACGAACTTGATATTTATTTCAGATTTTCATCTCCGCCAACATTTACGACGCACATCCCTCCGATACTTTTTTATTTGCTCGTATTTCTTTTTTGTTCAATCCTTCGCCGGAGGACAGAGAAACGAACCGTCCAATAATGAGGGGGCACATACAGGATGTCCCCAATAAAACAATACTTTCAATATAGTGATGACGTAGAATATTTATGTGCAGTTCATGGTATGCCCTGAGACTTTTTTTTTCATTTAGCGCAATTGTGTTAAAATTTGATGAGAAATTAACTCGATAAAATCGATCGAGCGATAAAAAGGCTCTCTAAATGCGGAAAATGGGTTATTTTTACAAAATTCACTAGACTTAAATTGACATGCGATAGTGACATATTGACAGGTACTCACAGTCGACGTTGATAAATGTTATCAAGAATGTCATTTTGACATAACCACTGTTGCTAACTTCAAGATAGTTACACATTTGCTTTTAAAACGCAAATATTTCAAATTTGCTCGAAATATAACGAACAACTGACCAACAAATAAATTTTTTGTATAATACCCAATAAAATTGACGAGTACCAATAAAGTTAGATGGTCTATTTTTTCGGTGACGTCCTGTATAGTACGAGGCCCGGTTTCTACGAAACGGCAACGGGGAATCGACGCCCGGGGCGCTCTCCACCATCGATTGTCTAGCGCCTCGGGCGTTCCGGCGCGGCCCCGTCGCCGGCGGGCCTACCGGTGCTCGGCCGAGCCTGGATGGCCAGCGGCGGCTTAGCGCAAATGCGGCCCCTTTCTTTAATTGGGCTTCGAGTTTTTATCGTGGGAATTCGAATGACCGAATGTATATTATATTAGTATACAAATCTCGTTTTATATAACACAATGTGGCTGTTTCTTTGTTTGTATTCAGCTGTTCCTCAACGCCAGTTGTTGTGAATAACATAGTTTTTGTTACATACGAAATTAGTATTTTAGAAAAAATAACCTTTTTTTATTTATTTCAATTTCATTTTGGAGTAACAGCATAGTATTGCCGATGTTAGTGTAATACAAGTTGCATATCAATACATTATTCACATCATGCTACATATATTTTTAAGTTTTTAATTAATAATTAAACGCAAGTGCGCCGGGGGCGGTTCGGCGGAAACGAAAGGATTGAAGGGCGGGCATCTTGTTCTGACACTGGCCCAAAAATACAACGCCTCAACTACCCTCGGGCCGGTTCAAAAATTATATTAATTTTCTAAACTAATTCCAATTTACCTTCTCTTCTTAATTTGTCAGAAATGGAAAATTTAAATAATTAATTTCGGGAAGTTTGGCACTCTGGGCTGTTTCGCGAGCGCAACGCGAGATTGCGAAACACACCGGGCGCCCGAGTAGGAAAACTCGCGAGGAAAAACTACGGAAAAGCCAACGCTAAAGTGCAAAAACCGCTGTTTCCAAACGAATTTTTAACTACTCTTTTATAAAAAAAGCAATATCTTCACTCCTTTGCAACCCAAAAGAGCTAGTTAATTAGATATTTTTGTGCAATTTCCGATCTCAGCCCGTGTGAAAATCGCCAGCGTACGCCTTTGACCTGCTGATTCCGAACTCGGGGTATTTTAGGAAAACATAAAACCTTATACTTTAATTAAAATTTTAAACTATTTTGGAATACTGAACGCGCGCCCGAAGCGAGGAAAATACAAAAGCGATGTCAAATGGACGAGTGTTTTAACAAAGGAGCGCCTTATGAATTTCCAAAATAGGGTCAATATAATTTCAAAAACCGAGGCGACATTTTCCTAAACTGTCGCCTCCGATACAGGATGAAACACCAACAAAATCACAACAATTACCAAATATATTAATCAAGCTACAGTTACAATGAAGTTCCTTATAAAATAATTGTATAATTAAACGCGTTTAATAACAAACCGATATATAAAAATATAATGTTAATAATATATCACTAGGGTGGATAACTGTATAAATAGAATACTGTTTCATTCGAATAAAATCAATTAGTTTATTCATAAGAGAAGCTTCGAGGTTATCTTGAACATGCAACACGTCGAGAAATTAAAATTAGGCTAAATAGTCACTACATATTCGTTGCTCTAATGTTGAAAGGTACTTAAAAGAATACAAAATGCCGGAAAATACAATAAAAAAATTACTAATACATTAAATTTTGTACCACCTGCTAATTAAATGTTTTACTATCTCTCTATTATAAACAACATAAAAACTATTCTATTAATAAAATATACACGTGTATAATAAAATCGTTTGAAAATAGCACCGAATAATTCTTATTTCTTACACAGGATAGCTTGATTATTTGCTTATTATTCGCTCTTGAAAAAGAGGAGAGGTTCGAGTTTAGAAATATATTCTATAGTAAATCAACCGATTATAAAAAATTGTGTACAATTTAATGGCACTTAAACATCACAAATATCAAAATTACAAACGACCTCAAACTATCCCGATATCAATCGAAACCTTATAACTTACAATTAGAGCTGTATAAGACTAAATTATAGATATATAGAGATTCGTGTAAGTTTCTAAAATGTAACAAGCTCGCTTTTTAATTGACTAATTTAGCTTCAACAGTGCTTTATAAAGACAACGCTCCCTTTACCCATAATAACAACCCGAAATAATAATATTATGTCAATAGAATGTGCGAAAAATTAATGAATCACATACCAGCTAAAATTATATAATTTCAACGAATTTATCACAAGGCTTATATGAATGTTTACATATTGTTAATAAACCACCAACACTGGAAAATTTCAAAATTTACTTTTGTTATCGATCAATTTTCGTTGTTAGTACGGCCGAATAAATATCCATTAAATGGAGAATAGGTTAGTAAAGTGTATATTTGGCTTTCATAACAATATTTGTGTTTTGTATAAAGACGACTAATCCATTTTGAACTTACAGGTACGGCTTTTAATTAAATTAGTAGGAAACTACTAACAACATTGAGATCACGAATCCAAAAAGCAACGCTACATCTGCAAAAAAGAAAATAAAATAAATATAAAAGTTGTGTCAATACTACAATTCCACAGTTCAGTGCAAATTTGCACCTAATATGGTGTCTATATGGGTGCAACAAAGACGACCTCCATTAGTCTCATATAAAGGAAAAAGAAAGAGAGATAATATTGTGGGATTGCAACTTTCTCGCTCTAACCAATGGTATTTTAATAATCATTGTTCAACTCATAGAACTGACCATATAGCGAAAAAATTTGCACTTATCTGTATACTAATGTCCTTTACCTTGTACTTTATAAGTACTTTACATTGGAATAAAACTATTATTAAAAAAATCATTTGATTACCAAATCGTATATTTATCATGTATAAATTTATAATCATTTAGTCCCATTTCGAAATCGTCTACTTTAATAAAGTTTAAAATATTCGAAATACCTAACAAAATTTAATTCTTAATGAAAATTTTATCTTTTTATGTATTTTTAAATTCTTTTTTACGTAATAATCGTGATAGTGTGACCGAATGAACTACGAAATAACGGGGATTTTTCCAATCCTTATCGGGTAGATTATTATACACAAACACAACTCATTAGCCGGCAAATAATTAATTATTTAAATAATATTAAAGAGAGGAAATTGCAGGAAACACAAGTCATCTTATTCAAACAGAATATGTGCAAATGTTTATTCAATATGCTAATTGGTCTTAGTTCCAAGAACAATCGCCAATAAGTTGGAATTTCCATACAAACACCGGTATCTGGCCTTGACCATGTTCGTGCAAACTTTTTATCTAATTATTTTTTTTTATTTGAAATTATTCAACAACTTTAGGAAAAACAAAAAAAGGTTACATTTTCCAATAAAAAATTCAATATCCTCGCGAATTACAAAATCGACTCGATTAAACAATGAACACTAAAAAAATAACAAAGAATAGGAAATGCTTTTCCTGGTAGACATTTCTATATTATTCGCATTATTTATTACCAAGACGGATTTATTCGCAATACGTTGATAAATATTTCGAAATGCACTTGAACAGGTCCATTTCGAGAAAGGACGATTATTATGCGTTTAAAAGATAGCAACTAATTGCATCGATTACACAACATCGTTTATCGCAATTAAATTACGAATTAAATAAATAACTTACTTATTCCGACCACTGTCGCTGCCCCCGATGTAGATTTACCCTCAACGGGCCGGGGTTCCATATTGAAAGCAGCAAAGCTCGGATCTTTAACGCCCAAATAATTGATATTCTCCTTGGCGTACATCCTTTTGAGGTAGCTCAAAACCTCTACCTCGTCGGGAGCGCCGTCGCTCTTCCAGCATTTCTCGCAATTGGCCCTGGGCGGGAACTGCACCTTGGGAAACTCTGGGTCCTCGGTGATGTCGCCCGACAAGCGCTCGTTGACTTCGTTGTGGGCCCTCCACAGCCACAACACCGATTCCTCCCACGACAATACCTGCGATAACAACCAAAAATTTCGGCTCAAATGACTCAAGATTATTTCGAATTGCTTCATTTAGGTTGGAGTAATTTTAAGGGCTTGTATCTCCTTTATTATTCAGAATAATGGGACATTTTAGTCTTACAAGAAAAATGCATTAAATACGAGCTCGAGAAGCGAGGAAGTGTAAAGTAGTTAACAAAGAGAATTTGCTCTCGACCCAGACGAGTTTGTAAATTACATCCTGAACAAAACGCTAATTATTACAGTCGATAAACATCAAGTACACAGATGATTCATCCGACCAGCGAATAAAATGCATCGATTAACCGCGCTAAACATGGAAACCCGCTATTGTGATTCAAGCGATGTACAATATTTAGTTACCTTAAACAGCTGCCTGCGCTGCGCCATCGCCTGGAAATGATTGCTGCAATCCTCGCAGCCGAAGAAGTTCCTGATGTAGCCGTGCATGGCTTCCAGCACCATGCGCGGATTGGCGTCCCGCGACTGCTTCGGATCGAAAGCGGCGTTGACGGTGAGATAGTGGAAGAGCTTCCACATGCCGCACGGGAAGCCGCGCTTGGTGGGCGAGCTGCCCTTGCAGCCGAGCCAGTGCGGCGGCTCCGAGAACACGTCGCCGGCGTCCTCGGCCTCCTTCACCCATTGCGCGATCTCCGTGCCGTTGGCGGCGTCGGTGTTGTTGGCGTAGTGGCGGATCTGCCTCAGCAGACACCTGCCCTTCTTGTTGGTGGGGAAGTACTTGACCAGCACGTCGACGAAGTTTCGCAGGGCCGAGAGTTTCTCGCCTTTGATGTCGGCGTTGCCGCCGATTTCGCGCTTGAGCGAGTAACGAATGGCGTTCTCCAGGTCGAGTTGGAACACGACGTCGCCCAGTTTCTTGATTTTGTTCCTCAGTTCTATATCCTCTTTGGTGGAGGTGATGGGCTGGTTGGATGCGTTCGATGTGGAAACGTTCCTTAGCGTTTCTACCGGTACTTCGATGTCTCGGGCTAGTAGGATGTCGCGAATTATATTTCGTATTTCGAGCCTGTTGCCTACTGTTAGATTTAGGGGATGTAAGTTACCGTTCGGTTCTACTTGGAATAGAGCTGGTAGAGAATCTGCAGTGATGAAGGATAAGTTGTTGTAGCTGTATCGTATGATTGCTTCGTTTACTTTGTGGAAATCTAGGATGATCGAAGCGCCTACAGGGTCGAGCGGTTCTTGGATAATCAAAAATCCTATTTTTTGATTTTTATCGAATATTCTCGCAGCGTCTTGTTCGTTGAAAGGTTCCAAATTCGGGAATTGTTTGCCCCTGCCTTGGGCTTTTTCGATTCGCATTATCTCGATTAAATTTCTCCTGTGTTCGGTGTGGTTCGTGTGAGAATCAGCCACAATTGGTAGACCGGTGTTTTGGGGACCTTCCACGTAATTTTCGTGGATGTATCTGAACGTTGGGTATCTCGTTATGCCGAAATACTCACAAACGGGTCCGTTTCTTTCGTTGGCGCAATCTAAGGCGGCTATTACAATGAGGTCTTTCCAGCCCTTGACGTCAGAGGCGAAGGCCTTGTACTTCGGAGCTGCCCTTTGGCAAAAACCGCACCAGTTACTGTAGAATTCGACCATCCACGCCCTGTCGCTTCTGTATATGCTGCTATTGAAATTACTTATCGTTAAAATCGTCACATCGTCGTCGGGGGAGTATAAACCAGCCTCGTTGTTTACCCTGTAATAGTTAAGCACAGCACTCGAAGAAAAATTTATTAGGACCAGAAACAGCAACACAAACGGCCCCATAATTGAAACGATTTCGATTGAACACCAGTCACAATTTACGATACTCTACTAACTGTTCTCTTCCTTCTACTTCATTGACTTCATGCTTCGGTTTTCAAGGTTTTATATGCGTACTGTTAGAGAATACTTATCATATTCAGATTTTTCTTTCTCATGATTGCCTGTGAATTGAATTGAAGTTCACCTTGACACTTTCTTGAATACTTGTGACCTTTAAAATCAATTTTTACACACTTGCACGGTTTTATGTATGAAAATGTCGCCGGTGTATCGTTACCTGTGTGAAAGTGAGCCCGAAATTCGACTCTAATTAGCCCACTGGAATAAAACAGAGCCAGTTAGCACTCGAACAGATTATTTTCGGGAATCATGTTTATTAAATGCCGGTGTTCTGGTCAGTTACGTGTATGTGAAACGAAAATTTTTTAGTACCTGCCAAAAGTGACATGAAACAGATTGTAATTTAACCTAATTTTTTTCTGTTAAAATTTGATATTTTAAATTTGAAACAAAAATGTACTCACCTGCAATTGAACTTGCACTCGAACGTGTTGTATGTGTCACTGTCAATTTTAAATTTGGATTATGGAAAAGCGTCGTGTTTGTTTACTTTATTCCTCGTCGATTTATCTAGTATGCGATAGGATACGTTTTTGTTATGAGTTAAATAAAGATCAATAGATAAATCAGGGATCGAATAAATATTTTGAATGAGGTCTAAAGTGCGCTTTATGTAACGTTTATACAAAACTGGTTAAATAATGGAAAGTATTTGTCGAATGAAATAAATTGCAGCAATTTAGTTGATTAAATAAAAACTGTTTTAATTTCCTGTAATTAGGCAACCAATTTTACACCAATTTCTAATGATCAGGACCGGACTAACTAGATTTGTTAGCCCCATAGTTTTGATTAGGTGTTAAAAAAAGCAATATTTAGAAATACTCAACGATTTATTGTTAATAAATTAGTCAATTATCTAGAAATTTCGAAACATAATGCACAATTTCTTGAAACTGAAAATTATAAACAAAAATGTATTCAAAATTAAAACTTCAGACATATTTAAAAACTAAGTAAGTAATATCAAATGCAACGATAAATTTACAGGGCTTTTCCTATCAAGTTTATGAAAAATTGAGTATTATTTCACTCTAAATTTCCAGAATATTATGGAAGAAAACCCCGTAGAAAATACTAGATGTTAAAGTTATTCACAAATAAAGAAAATTCGTGCATAAGCAAAAATATTTTTGTCCATATGCAATAGCATTATTTGTACGATAATATACCTAAAGAATAAATTAACTTATAACAAGAATTAACAAAACAAAAAAAATACACAAATATTGCAATTAAACAAAATTATTGCAAGGCTATCAAACAAAGTATATAATTCAAGCTCAATAAACTGGTAATGGTAAACTCTTCGAAAATATGGGATATTATAATACTGTTAAATTTAAAAATGGCACAAGTTCTTCCAACCAATGAAATTTTTGAGGCTATCAATACATTAATTTTTCCACAAAAAAATTAAGTGACAGTTTTGCAATATTCTCATGTAATACAAAGATAAATAATTACAATAACAACTTAAAAATGTTTTCTAACAAAATAACATATAAAATTTACATTTGTGGTGCAGGCACAAAACAACTGTATTCAAAAAGTGCTTATTAATTATTTGACTTTGTACAACATTTTTTTTAAATCACTATAATCATAAATCTGCAAACAGTACATTTTGTTTCCTATATGTTTCATCTGCCACTCAACAGCGTGAAGAAAACTTATAACTGGACAGGAAAAATAAACTGTGTAATAGGTACAATCATGAGTAAAATTATGTGGCAATGTTACTTATTGAAAATTATACACAAATTTTAACTATTTTAAATTGAACTAAAGCCACAGTTAACAACATGATTTGCAATTAGATATGTTTCAACATTGCAAACTCATATTAATGGCTTTTTGCAGCAGGCTCTCTTCGTCGTCCTCCTCAGGACTGCTGTGGAAATTTTGCTGCATACTCAACCTCAAAGCCTCCTGTAAATCCGGATCTTCAGTTTCCCTGGGCAAGAAGTCCGTCTCGTTTGCCAGGCTTAACTGTAAAGCTGCCTGTAATTCTGGATCTTCTGTAGACAAATTGCTCATTAAAACCGGTCTCGGTACGGCGTAAACCGGCTGATTCCTTAAAATCTCATCAGCCGTACATTCCGGTAGATCCCCTAGCACGGCGAATATCGAATAGCCGTCGTTTTTGAGTTGAGCCAAAAACAGCACCAAGTAAGTATCGGATATCAGTTCGGGTTTCGACAAGAGGGAATTCAGATTGAACCATTGTCTACCTATCTTTCTAACAGTAAACCAGTGATCTTTGAAATTGCAAATGAAAGCAGTCATGTCACTGGGATCACTAAGAAGTCTTGCGTCAGTACTGGAATAAGGCACTAATTCTAAACCCCAAACTTGCAGAGCACTACTGATAACTTGTACCGAGAAGTAACCGCTATCGTCCATGTTACCCGAAGGTTGCTGCAGGAATTTGTGGTACTCTTCGCTCTCTTCTCCGCACTCTGCCATCCTCTTTCTCTCCTCTTCATCCAACGTTTGGGCCAACGTACTCAATTCGACGGCTGTGAAATAGGGCCCTTGCAGAAGAGAATTCAGACAGTGTTGGGCGCAAAGGGAGCCTTCTTGCTGGAATGAAATTAACGTTAATCACAACTTCTAAGTATTTTTTGTGTTAAGTAACCTTTTCGTGGAATATAACGTCCATAGTAGAAAGTTTATTTACATCAGAGTAAGTGGTGTGACTCAAAAATAAAAATAGAAACTTCAGGATATTTTGAATCTGTGTAAATATTTGGTCATTTTTATTACGTTACGAATTCCCCTGTTTTCGTTTTTTCTGGTCAACTATTAACTTTACTTTCCATTATCTGTACAATTTTTGTATCCTAATTTTCAGTTTTCCTTTTATCACTTTTTCACTCACAACACAGGAAAAAGTAGACAGACGTGATTGACACTGACAGTGACAGATTGACATAAATAAATGACACGGAACGCGATTATAAACTGACCAATGAAAAGGCATAATTTTGACGGTTTTTGTTTTTCTCCAGCATGTTGACATTCAACATGGCGGCATGTCGTCAGTGCTGTGCTGTGTCGTGGTGAGTAGAAATTTTATCGAATATTCGCAAAATAAACTTCAATTTCGATTCAAATCGAACGTGTAAAGCTTCGCACAATTATTGTCGAAATCGGCGACTAATAAACGAAGCCGTAAATGCATCCCGAAGCCGTACTTTTGGTAAAAATATCAGACATTAACCCCTCTATCTATAATGCTTCTTTGGTGCCGCAGATCCCTACGCAGTTAAAAATTCGGTTTGGGCAGTGTTTTTTAAAATATTTGTCGGTAAAAATTGGTTTACATTGCTCCTTTTTGTCATATCCGGAAATTTACAACAAAGTAAAACTATAAATAAATCAATAACAAGACCGTTGTTCAGTTCCCTGCTCCCAATGTTCTCAATTTTGTAAATTGTTTTTTTTATTTAATTAGAGCTAAATTCTAGCGATTAATTTGATATTCGCTGTTTTAATACTGAGGCGGTTGTTAAATTATAATGTGGGACAGCATTTTGATAATTACAAAGAAAAATAACCTTAAAATTGATTTTTTTTAATTTTTTTTTGTTTTTTTTTACATTACCGTAATTAATATTTGATAAATGTATATTTTATATTGTACCTGTGTTATTTTTTGTTACAAATTTCCGGCACGAGATTGTGTTCTCTTCTCGAATTGCAATTTTATTACATCTCCTAAATTGAAGTTTATGATGTGCTTATTTAATTGCTATTAAAATTGAATTTCATTTTATTTAACGGCTCAATTTTGCCAGAAAAATTAAGGTACAAAAATGTTTTAATAAAAAATTTCTCATTCCTTTAATTTCGTACAAAACAAATTATTTATAAGAATCAAAGAATGCGTTGCTTTTAATACGAATTATGAATGAAAATTACCTTTAGATTTGTCACTTGTCACGTTTTGACACTTTGCAGTTACATCAAATTGTGTAAGACAATTCAAATTATATGTGAGCATTTTAGTGAAATTCGTGTTGCCCCAAAGTTTCCAAGTAAGTTGGGATGCTAAATCAGCACCCCAAATAGCAACATTCAAATCTCTGCCAAAAGTTTGTGGTTATTTATAAATAAAATTCACCACGAAATAGTCCTATCAGATTCAATAAAATGTCCTTAGAGATTTTCATATTCATAAATCAAACGGATTTGTGTTAGAAGAAAGCTCACAGTAGGCTAAATCGGGCAAATATAATGGATGAGGTTTATTGTATAGATTCTGAAACTCTCATTTATTTTTAAGCAACATATTTGATATCCTTAGATTTATTGTTGGTACATTTGTTAGAAAAAAACAACTATTAATATTTATTATTAATCGAATGTCATAGTAAAAATTCTAAATATTAAATGAATGACTAAAATATTTTGTAAAAATTTGGGGATTTATTTATAATTTCATTGTTTTTTTTGTAATTTCTGTTTCAGCTTGTGTAACTAACAACCTCAAAATTTAGCATAGAAAATTTGAAGTAACAAGTATCCAGCGAAACTACGAGCCTTGACAAAAATTATGAGCATAACAGCACAATACGCACCCAGCACGCATTGAAGACATCTGAGGATTTTTTATTTAATTTTTCATACGTTTCATACAAATTTTGAGTGACTGTGGATTATATTTTTTTATACCATTGGATTGTCTCTTTTTCATTTGATACATTGTGCAGTTGATAGTCGAGAGTAAATATTGTATATTGTGAATGGGATCATTGTAAAGTGGGTAAATTTTTTTTCCCTTTGATTCGGCTGCCATAATTGACTTTGCGGGGCATTTATCGAATAAATGCCGTTTAACCATTCTGTGATATTCACTACACTTAAGAAACGATAAAAAGAAGTGCGAACAAGAAGAAGTAGAAGAAGAAGCATCAAAAAGCGAAAACACATTGCACCAAATATGTCCACGAATCCTCAGTGGAAGACCTTCCAGCCGCCCCCCGATACTCTCACTCAGGATCCCAGTATAATGGATTTCAAACCTATGGCCAGTAGTGGTGAGATACATTTTATTACATCACTCATAATACAGCTCATCCCGATAGCATTAGAACATATTACGGTATTATTTCCACACTGAGACACTTTCCCCCACGACAGGCAAATCTTCGTCGCAAGCATTCAACTACACCAGATCGACTTCGTCGTCTCGTTTCGGAGATTTCCCATTGTTGCAAGAAAAATCGATGCATTACAACAATGGCCTGTACGGTTCCTCGAGCACCACGCATACATCGCCGCGTTTCCCCATCGGTACGTTCTCGTTGGACACGACGACCAATAACGTGTACAACAGCAGCGGGGACAATTCGTTGAACAATACCACCAGCATTTTCTCCAATGGCAATAATAGCAATAGTAGTTATAACGATTCGAACTCTTCTAATTTGGGCACCAGGGAAACCGGGATTATCGAAAAGCTCTTGGTAAGTAACGACATTTACAACACTTTGTAAGCACTTTAACGATTAGTTGTAAATGTATTCATTGATGATTATTTTCTTTGTTGTCAGCATTCCTATGGATTTATTCAGTGTTGCGAACGACAGGCGCGATTGTTCTTTCATTTTAGTCAATTCAGCGGCAACATTGAACATTTGAAAATAGGAGATCCCGTCGAATTCGAAATGACTTACGACAGACGTACGGGAAAACCCATAGCTAGCGCTGTCACTAAAATAGCTCCTGAGGTAGTAAGTAATTTTCAAGCTTGCACCGATCGAATTCACACAAAAGAAAGGTGTAACACAAAAAAAAATAGACTGGCTGGGTTTTTTGCGCAGAACATTGCATCGATTAACACTATAGATACATACCAAAATCCAGCTAGTTTTTTTTTTATTAATTTTACTTTGTACGATCGTATAACTAACGCATCTCATTCCGTTTAGGTTATGAGCGAAGAGAGAGTTACCGGAACGGTAACCACCGAATTGAGGGCCGCCGAAGGTTCGGCGGGCGATACGACGGGACGAATCAGTTACGAGAATCGAGGCGAGTGTTTCTTTTTGCCTTACACCAAAGACGACGTCGAAGGGAACGTGACGCTGAGGTCCGGGGATAAGGTCAGCTTTCAAATCGCTACCAACAACCGGTAAGAATCTAATAGGTTTGAGGGTTGAGGAATCGCTAAATTTGTGCAATCGTTTTTTTTTTGTTCCAGCGGTAATCTCGGCGCCTGTCACGTGCGATTGGAGAACCCGGCGCATCCCGTCAAATACCAGGGCGTCGTCTGTTCGATGAAGGAAAGTTTTGGTTTCATCGAACGGGCCGACGTCGTTAAAGAAATATTTTTCCATTTTTCCGAAGCCAAAACCAAAGAAGAATTACGATTGGGAGACGACGTGGAATTTATCATACAAACTCGAAACGTAAGTCGACCGAAAAATCTTCGCGTTTTGTACCGAAATTGTTTGCGTTTTCGTACAGGGCAAGGAAGTGGCCTGTAACATAACCCGTCTGCCGCCCGGCACCGTCATATTCGAAGATCTGAAGCCCGACATCCTGAAAGGTCAAGTACTGAAACCGATAGACCGAGGTCCGCGCAATCCGAACGACGCTCTACCCGGCCGCATCAGGTACAGGGCTCCCGATCATTCCGAAGTGGAGATATCGTTTAGCGAGAAGGACCAGATGGGCGATTTTACGTTGCGCCACGGCGATTGGGTGCAATTCCAGATAGCCACCGATAGAAGGGACGCTCTGGATAGGGCCACTCACATTATGTTGTTGGACGAGAGTTTTAAGTGAGTTTCTTTTTGTATTAAAAAGAATATTGTACTATTCGTAAGTTGCTTTTTTAAATTATAGAGTGTCTGGTGAAAAGCGAGAACAAGGCATGGTGTGTTCAGTAAAAGAGGGATTCGGTTTCCTGAAGTGCGTCGATCGGGAGGCGAAGCTATTTTTCCACTTTAACGAAATACTGGACGTCGAACGCACCGGCGATGTGCAAATCGGCGACGAATTCGAGTTTACCGTGGTTCAAGACCAAACCACCAGTTCCAGTATGTTTTCCAACAATCGTCAAAGTGCCATTAGAATGAAATGGTTACCTCCTGGTAAGTTATAATATACATTGGCCCGTATTTTGGACTCTTTTTACCGCTAATCAATCGTTTAAAGGGTCTCTTTAACGTAAATAATGTCTGTAGTTATCCTTAACAACAATGTACAACTGTCAAGTTAAAGAGACTCTTTAAATGATTGATTAGATAGACGAATGAGCAGATTTTAATAATGCCTCACTTACTAGTATATTCTACAGCCACATTTTTAACGATGTGCCTCACCTCAACAGCCACATTATATGCCTCTATTACCTTAATCCATTCAAAACCTTGACAACATCAATTATTATGCACCACAGACTTGTAAATACATTTTATTGACGATTGTTAATATTTTTTTTAGGAACTGTCCAGTTTGAAATCGTAATAGAAAGCGGCCTTACGGGTATAATAACCAACGACGTGCCGTTGAGCACCTGGAGCAACAGGAGTCCGACGAAAAGCCAAAACGGTATGACCGAATCGCCGAGCGAATGCGGACTGATCGGCTACAGCATGAACGGCATTAAAAAGACGATTCCGTTTTACGCAAAAGACTGCAATCCAAAGCAATTTCCCAGAGCGGGCGATAAGGTAACCGATTTTAAAATTCGCTTTAATACGAACGATGTGTGTTAATTCGCTCGCGTTAATCGTTTAGGTACAATTCAACATAAATCAAATCAAAAGAAACAAAGAATTCATCGCGGCCGATGTGCAATTAATCAATCCGTCGTCGCAAACCAATGGAATCAAGCACGCCGTTAACAGAACTTCGAATTCCGGTCAGACTTATCAAGGGTTCATAGCAGCGTTAAAAGACGGTTTCGGTTTTATAGAAACCATGCAACATGACAAGGAAGTTTTCTTTCATTTTAGGTAAATGTCCGCCGCCATTCAATCTCGAATCTTTACATCATTTTTGATTTGTGCGTTTGTAGTAATTTCGACGGAGACGCCACCGCCCTGGAATTGGGCACCGAGGTCGAATACAATTTGGGGACGCGCGGCAATTCGGGCTCCTGTTCGTCGGCGGAGAACGTCAAAGTGATACCGAAGGGTAGCATAACGTTGCCCGAATCGCTGGGCGAGATATTGGACGGGTCCGTGGTCAGACCGTTGCGATCGGTCAATCCCGATCAGAACGAATATTGCGGTCTGATTCGGATCAACGGCGAGAATCCGAACGACGCCGAAGAGGAATACGAATTCGGCATCATGGGATTGATCAACAAGAGGGAACTTCTTCAAATCGGGGATCACGTACAATTTCAGGTTCGTTTGATTGCATATACATACACGGTGTTAATTAATTGAGTGCAGATACTTTGGGATGTGAATATTTGGATGATTTTTAAGTATATGTAGTTGGTATTAACGTGTTAATGTTTAAAGGTCGACGCTACCGGTCTCGCGTCTAATATTGTGGCTGTACGGAAAAAATTCAAGGCCACGGTCGATGCCATCAAGGGTCATTTTGGCTTTTTGGCTTATGAAGTCGAAGAGGGTAAAAAGCTGTTTTTCCACATGACGGAGGTCAAAGACAACGTCAGCCTTCAGGTGGGCGATACTGTGGAGTTTGTCCTTGTTACTAATCATAGAAGTGGAAAATCGTCTGCGTGTAATGTCGTTAAAGTCAGGTTAGTACACTAATGACCTTTTACTCGTTTACGCACAGGCCACATTAATTTTTCAACAGACTTTTGGTCAGTTTTAGTAATCAATTTACATGCGCTAATGTATTTTATTGGTAATTTTAGCAAGTGGTGTTTGTCTTACAGTGATGTACAGGCCCGGCCGGAGAGATTGATCAGCAGACTGCGTACGGTTTCTGTGGACGAGGCCGGTCCGAAACTGACATTGGTGCGTCAACCGAAGGGACCGGACGGCTCGAAAGGATTTTCACTCGAGGCACGTGCCAAACGCATACCGGGTCTCGTGCCTAAATAGATTATTTAAAAAAAAGTAACAAAACTGCATAGTAAAAAGGTTAAGTCATTTTTTTCATTCATGTCACAAAATAAAATGTAGTGTCTAACTTACTCTTGTCTCGTAGCATTTGGAGTTGGAATTATATACCATTATATATAAATTAAGTCATTAAATAGGAGTATGGCTGGGTTCTAGGTGAGAATATTTGAGGTTTTGACATTACCTGTTTAGGGGTGTGTTATAAATATTTACACCAAATTTATATAGCGAATTATAATTTCACCCTGTAAATCAGTAACACTAGAATACGTAGTATATTTCGAATTTATACTGATTCATAGTGAAATAGAACATTTATTTCAAATTTAAATGGTATTTTATAGTGTAATTAAAGAAAATGAGTAATTAGTGAAATTTACGAAATGTGTACCTTGACTATTCGATAAAAAAACATTACCACTTTTAAATAGTTATTTTTAGACATACTTAGATTTAGGGCATTAACCGAGTTTTTATCGTGCTTTTGAATTGGCTGTCTATAAAATTGCTAAGCTACATTATTATGGAAGAATAATCGACTTGTAAAACTTATAAATATTGAAAAACAATTTAAAAAAGGCCTTAGTGTTTAGTAGTCGTAATACTCGAAAAAAGTGGTTGATTTGAATATATACAATTAGAATTTCAGTTCGACTGATTCTCTCTTTCTAAGCTAATCTAATAATTTCATAATCACGTTTACCGCTGTAATGTAAATACAGTACAGAATCTCATTGACCTATCTAACAAACATTGATTTAAATAAAAATTCAATTGCAACTTTCACCTTATTATACGCGTAAATAAAACCTCGTTTGCGTTAAATTCCAAAGTATTCTTACCTAGAGCCCTGGCTAGGAAAAAAATTACAACAAGAAAAGAAACGAGGGCAAGGAACTCTTTGGTTAATATATACACCAATAGTAGTAGCTGATATTTATACTTGTTGAAATTTTGAACAAAAGTTACGCTGTGCTTGATGAAAACAAACAAAAAAAAATTAATAACAAATTTAAACACTGCTTAAAAAACCAAAAAAAAATAAATGATAATCCATTGACAAATATTAAATACAATGAATTTATTGTTAGGATACAGAGTTAAGGTATTAGAGTATGATCTAGAGAAGACTGCATCCCACAAGTAAACTGTACATTATAATAAGACCTTTTATAACTTTTATTTAGACTCCATTTAGATGTAATTAGTTTGCAGTCTGCCAGTACCCGCAACAGCTCTGTGTATCTTAATGGAAGGCAAATGGAACATATTCAAAAATTTGCTGGGATAAAAGTAAGTTCATAACGTTACTTTTACTCCTTTGTTGATTTTCTATTTTGACGGGTTTTTTAGTACCGATTTTATTTCGCTCGCTATATTGATTTTATCCAAAAATAATTTCCAATTTATAAGAGGCAAAATTGAGTAATAGGTTTTTCATTGCATTTGGGATTTGTTTGACAATGTTTCGAATAATACGGCATCGATTTGCTATTTACTAGCGTAGATATTTTTTGCAATAATTGGGTTAATTTTACTTTGAACTTTGATCTATTTTGCCTCTTATCTGATTACCGGAATTTGTGAATATCGAGTATTAAATGAAGTAGATTTACTGTTTAGTGTAGAATAAACAGTGAACTTTTTCCGATTTATTTTGACTATCAAATTGACACAGTTATCTCGCTTTTTTTCATAAAATTTGCTGATATTTGAGAATTTATTTTACTGTAAATTCTAGAGAACGGCTGCTATATTGGGTGTAAAAAACGTATTTGTTGTAACATAGTCCTAAATTACCGTAAGAAACACTTGCTGTGTCGTTCTGTGATAGATTCGTATCATCTTCAACCAAAGTAATTACACTCTTTGAAATTACCGATATACGGTGATTTTTTTATTATCATTGCTTGCTTTTCGATTTCAATAATACGGAACGCATAACACTCATTTAGTTTAGATTATTTTATGTGTAATAAAGTTTTTTTCATTTTCTAATCAGATTCTCGCGCGTTTGGTTTGACCAAAATATTCCAGCTCGACATTTTATTTCATGGTTACTGATCATAAGTGGCATATAGTTTATTAACTTGCGTTGATGTGGGTACTGTGATGCAGTTTTTTGGAAAATAACTACAAAACATTAATTAATGTGGATTATCTTTCTATTTGTAAAATTGTTTTAATTTTGAAGGAAATAAATATATAAGTGAACTATTAGAAAAATTGTTTTATTTGTACAAATTTGACGTCTTTTCCCAATAAAATTCGGAGAGGACGTTTGAATTATATTATAATACATTCGTACGGGTAGATTGTGCCTAACCTTCCTTGACCTGGAATTGGACAGACTGAAAAAAAGTATATTTATATGAAATAGTAAAACGTCTTCGTGGAAAATATGATTATTAATAGAAGGTTATCGATTGTGAATAGTCGAGCTTTCATTAACGACTCTTCCGTTATCAAGTCACATAAAAAATTACAACTCTTATCGTTTCGAAATTCGAAAGGATTGTTTATCTGTGTGTTAGTTCAAATATTACCTCTGCTACATCTCGCTCCGAAATATCCTGTACCTTCGCATCTACATTTATACCCTGGCTGTTGAGATATCTGTATGCAAGTGCCGTTGTGTAAGCAAGGGTTGGGATTCTTGCATATATCACGTCTTTTGCCTGAAACACGAAGTTTACCTAACATTTTTGCGCGCGAAAATAAACTATTTACCCCTTAGAGCGCTTTGACATTCCTGTATGGTGTCGTATCTATAATCTGAAATACAACCAATGCCGCAGGAACACATCAAATTCCTTATTAAACATCCTTGCTTCGTTTGTCCTACTTCACAACTCCTGCAGATTGCTACACCTGAAAACCACTCTCGTCCAAAACCCGCTAAAACCATTTAAAAATTGCTACTTACATACGAGTAAAACGGCGAGTTCCTTGAGCAGCATGTCTGTTGTCAAATCACTGGACTCTGTTAAACTTTCCTGCAACAAGATCCCCTCGATTGAGACCCATGTAAACTTGAACGACCACTGTCAGTTAATGCTTGAACGATAAAAGATGCGTTTTGTAGCTGCGATAAGGAAGTCGTTGGCCTCTGTAATCCCACTCTTAAATAAGGCAATCGAAGAACCAGAGTTGAAGTTTGATAAGGCGAAACGAAGCCATATAAAATTTATAGAAATTGTTTATGCTGCTGATAATTTGATACGGCATAAAAAAATCGTTTCCTTTATACAGTTTGGAGGAAATGTGATAGATACACAACGCTTGTTTTGTGTTACATTTTAACTAAATTAAATAGTGTGGGAAATATAATGATACCAGATTATTATAAATATTTCACAGTATATTACAATATGCAACGAGTTGATAAAAATAAAATTACAAATACTATATTATACAATTTAAATCCTGTAATGAGTCCTGTAATCTCTACCGCTAGGAATTCCACCATAATGTCGCATTCTTCGTACAGCCTCTCGAAGATGCTTAGGTTGCAGGGGCCCCGAGTCTCCTAACTCTTCCATAACATCCAAACCTACAAAAAATGTTTCATACTGTATATACACTTACAATCAAAAATTTTAAAAATATATAGATAATTGCAAATTATATCAAAAAATTGTGTTTGTATAAACAAATTCAGCAATTTCGTTTCCTCTAAACAAGACAATCAGCTCGAATTAGGTACATTGACTTTCGATGAGAGCAATTTATCAAAATGTAATAGTAATTTTTTTATCAGCGTTTATATTTTATGTGGCGTATTGAGAAACAGGAAGTTACTTAACTACAAGATTTTTCAAAGTTATTTTAGTATGTTACATCGCTCCCAATAGATTTCTAAATATAACTCTCCGAACGAATATACAATACATGTAAACATACTAATTAAATCTTCTTCAGTTGAGCATAATAAAATTGACAATGTTAATAATTAAATATACCTTCTTCGACTACTTCTCCGACAAATACTTTTGCTATACCAGCCATTGCGATTACCACGTTTTGTGACACGGAACAACCGGTTATAGTTTGCATCAACCTTTTAATAGCTGCTTTAGGAAAAGCTGATCTTCTGTACATCTCGTACCTATCTAACTGGTCTTCTGTAAAATTAGACACTAAGACCCTGAAAATAATGTTAACATAAATACACAATTAATGTGTAGGGTTTAAATTATAGTTAACTCACTGCATCTTTTCCCTTTCCTCCTCTTCCAATTCTCTCCTGTTTTTCGTTTCTTTCTTGGCTTTCAAGAGATTCGCATGGTGAGATTGTGACACTTGCGGCAGAATAATATCCGAATCTAAATCTAAAATATCTTCTTGCTTAGTATCTAAGAAACTAGAGGAACTAATCGTACTGTTCATACTAGCATTGTGATTCCTTATGTTTTCTTCTATTGCTAAACCCAATTCTCTCGAATCGTCGTCATCGACAAGATCTTCGTCTGATTGCGTGCCGTTTAATTTCGACGCATCAGACTCGGATTTGTTAAATATATCATCCATTTTATTAAATAATAATAAAAGTTGTTAATTTGTTTTGGTTTGCATTTATTTACACCTCAAAACGTCAAATGTCAATCATAAGTCTACTTCTTTTTAGTTATCTGGTCTATGATATACTTGTACTACAGCTAATTATATAATTGATAGCAAAGAAATAAGCAGTTGGACGATTATAATTTTAAGTGTATTAATTTAAAATTAACATTACCTTGTTATAATTGTGCAATGTAGGAATTAAATTTGTTAAAAATATTCATGTTTGTGACAGGTGGTGCGCCCTATAGGAAACTATTTAATGTAGAACTTGTTTAACTCGAGTTTTCACCGCTCACAGCGCTGTGTTTTAAATTTTTAAAGTGATGTTGCCAAATTGAATAATTTATAACAATTTTTATTGCACAATTTGTATTTTTAATACAAAAATAGACCGAGATGAGTGCATAAAATGTTCACGATAAATAAAAATAGTTAATATCAAGTATGTTATATTGAAAATATAGAGTGATTTATGACGAAAATAATGCTTCGTTATGATATATGGCAACAGTGTGTACAAACGTCATATGTCACTTTTCGGTCGTCGATATATCTCTAGAATTTGTTTGACAATAAATTTGTTTATTTTTCTAAAAACGGAAAGAAATTAGTATAAAATCGGTATGAATATTTACGTAGTATAAACCTCGTGTTCATGTGAGTTGATCTAAATTCAACAAATCGCTGTTCCATCGCTTTTATTATCGAATTTAGTTACCGTTTTTATCGAAGAAAGTTTACTGGTTTTTGTGTTTACCCACATCCAATTAAACGAAAACAATGCATTAGCGCAGATTCTTATCCCGTTTTGAGACAAGTAAGTACCAAAACCCTAACATCTGTCGTATATTCCCAATTTTCTACCATCTAAAACTAACAATGAAGAGTGCAGATCAACTCCTAATTTACGCGATACAGAATCCATTGTACAGTTACGTGGGGAAGACGAGAGCAAGTCCTGCACAATTAATTAAACAATCGCATTCGGAACAGCACGAATTTCCAATGCATCTGATCGAAACCTTCCTTAAACGTAGTTTTATTTGCAAACGTCACAACTTCGGAATGTTTATGTGTCCATTAAGTACTAAAGTGACAAAGATAAATTGCGGAATAGCTGTTACACATAAAATTATACTCCGCAGATATGCTCGCCTTATTCGGAAATCTGATACAGCAAATATCCTACAGGGAGAGTCAACGAGACATCGATTCCCTCGGTGCCAATTATATTATAATTAAATAATTTTTTCAGGGCCATAAGGTGTATCAAGGACCTTGGAACATTGGATGGGGCTTGTATTGCCCCGAGTTTTCTGCACTGGCTCCCACTTCAACCACCACCATTACCCCCTTAAATTCAGAAGGTAAGTCTATTATACACCATTAGTTCGAATAAATTCGTAAATTATTTACCTCGAATTAAATCGAAAAAATGTCTTAATCAATTCCAACTGTTGGAATTGCAATGGTTCGGTATTGCAAATTCACGCCTCTGGCTGGAAATGGAGATGTTTTGATTCACTCGGAGAAAAATCCGATTAAATCGCTTTAAAATCGGCTCGTTTCGATTTAATTGCTCACCAACAATTCGACGGGTTTGTGGGAAAAACTAACGGTGTTTCGCCTCGAGGAACGTTCCGAGGTTTCCATTGTTGCGTGCGGTTAGGAACATATTTTTATCTTTTTTTTTTCCACCGTCTGATTGCGGTATTGGCAACAGGAAACATGCAAATATTATGCGTGCATTTACAATCGAAAAATCCTATAAATCATGTTCTAATAGTGCAAGTTTAGTAACATAATTTTACTGCAAGGCGTCGCAAAAGTTTCTGTTGTAAACTCGCTTCGCTGGGAACGTGGAGATTTACGATTTTGTTCGTTATAACGTTTTTCGAGCAAAAAAAATTGTAATAAATCAAGATGAAAACACCGTAAAGCAAACGGGAAATATTATATAAACAACTGACGCCACTGATTTACTTTAAACGAGTTTCCTATTACCAATAACAGTTTCTTTGTTAAGAAAAAAAGAAATAGCTAATTCAGGACAATAAGATTATATTTGTTGAAGGTTTTAGAAACTATCTGCTATTTATTTCATACAAGTATACTCCGTACTGGTGAACAGACTATAATGATATAGTAAGTTGGGTATGTAAAGCATTGAGGAGAAGTATTTATTGAAAATTCCCTCATGTGAGATTCATTATTTGCTGCATGTGCAAAAGCATCGAAGAAAATCAGCCGAATGTGCGGATTGCATTGAAGATTTTTCGCTGAATTCTTTGTTAAAAACTCATCGACTATTCGCGTTCGCTCGTCCGGATTCCTTTGGAATATGTTAAGGGCGCTATGCCGTTGGAAATGACAGTCGTCATAAAAGTTTGGCGAAAAGGACTTTGACGAGCGTCGTGCGTATAAAAAATAAAAAAGATATGTCTCACGCGACGGCTTTATAACGATCAAACCACCTGAAAAACGACGGCAGCGGAAAGCGCGAAAAGTCGAAAAGGACTTTATGATTAAAGGACAAGGGTAAATTCTCCTAGACGTTTTCGAAGGATGCTCAAGAAAATGTGAAAATTCACAACAATCTGTAGGCTGGACTAATTTATTGGAATTTGTAACAAACTGTAAAAATTTGTAAAAAAATGAATATCATCAATCTACTTTGAAATATTGAATATAAATGAGTTGGGACACACCGTATATTAACCGGTCTCTACCTCGTCTACATGAGAGATACTCTGGCTAGAAGTAGAAACAGGATAAAATATTGCAGTATAAATTATATCATTAGGATCGTAAATTTTTATAAAACGTACCTATCTACTTATTTCACAAAAAAATGTACACAAATATTAAATATTTGCATTTGTAATGACATTTTTTTTGGTGTGAAATATGTCGTTATTTGCATTGCTGTAATTGCTTAAAAATTATTATCGAGAATGTGCATTTTATGAATTTTTAAGTATTTTTTTTGATTGATGTCCCTATAAAAATAATCCAATCGAAAATCAAACTGTCGGGTTAAAAAAATTATGCATTTTTTGGCTAATCCAATGTCGTTGTTATTCAGTTTCATAATTCGTAAATCCAACATTATGCTAGATTAAAAAAACCTTGAATAAATTAGCTCTTTTTTAGAACAATAAGTAACTTTATGAACTCGAATAAAGCCGCTCGAGGTCCGCATTGTTTTGAATAAATAAGTCATTTGATTCGAGCAAACGCTAAATTATTGAAGGTCCGTTTTATTATAATCGATATCTTCGAAAGTAACGTATTATTTTCAAGGTTTCCGATTTCACTTATCGCAATTCGGGCGCGAAAATTTATCTGTTCGGATACGTACACCGCTTCCGTTCGATCGGGCGCTACGCCAAAAAGAGCGTGAAAACATAATATAAAAATAAGACGAAAAATCTGATGGAAACATACAGCTTCTTGGCCCGCGAAAAAACCTTTGGCCCGTGAATTGTGCGCCTCTTCGAACCGGTTGCGGTGGTTTCCTTTCCTTTTTTTTACCTCTCTTTACACGCATTGATAGGCGGACTTCCTTTGCTTTTTTCTTTCTTGGTTCTATTTTCTTCTGAACCAGTGAACATGGTTTAGTGAAAGGTTGCACATAGGAAACGTGTACGTTTGTTTTCGAGAGATTTATATAACTGTAAAAATCTTGTACTATTGTTTTTTATCCATTCATATTGAATTGAATAATACCTACGTACACGTGGTCATTACTTTATCATGTAAAGTAGAGTAGATATAAATGGAATCAGAGTAGATTTAGGGTAGATTCATCAGAGTATAGATTTAGAGTAGATGCAGAGTAGGTTGAGGGTAGATTCAAAATAAAATCAGCGTAGATTCAGAGTTGATTCAGAACACAGTCAGAGTTGATTCAGAATAGATTTAGAGTTGATTTAGAACAGATCCAGACAGAGTAGGTTCAAACTAGGATTAGAGTAGATTCAGAATTGCGTAGAGTAGAGTAAATTTTTCAAATTCCCGCTACGATATTATTTATTTCACGCATACAATCGAGATGGAATAGAACAAACTGCGCGTCGGATCCGTTTTGCTAGTCAGCGTGAAGTTCAACGTGCCCCGCGCGCTCGGTTTCCGGAAAACCATAACACCTTTATATGGGATTTTGTAATAAAACCGCTAAAGTCGCATCCATTATGGGACATCGGCGTTGCGTTTTATTTTTTTTTCCACTGCTCGATGCGCTAATCGCCTTTCGTCGTCGTCGAGCCGTTCGTTAGCGCAACGAAACAATTCGAAAGACAATTATTTCGTATACGCGAAAAAATGTCGTTTCGACGTTCGTTTGATCCGTTATTTGAAACTAGCGAATGTCGATAGAGAAATCCGCACAATTGTGGGTTCGATAAGAGTTCTTATCTTATGCGAGCGATTAAAGTGTTCAAAAATATATACAAAGTTGGATATCAATTTTATATCGAATAATTATTATGTGCTCCTGGTATATTTTCTGTTGGGAGAATTGTGAATTTACCTGGTACAATTGATGGCATGAGATTGATATAGAGATTATCGACGAAATGAACGTAACCTTCGATAGCTCAGTTGGTAGAGCGGTGGACTGTAGTGGATATATCGTTTGTAGTCATCCATAGGTCGCTGGTTCAAATCCGGCTCGAAGGAGTTTTTTTTTTTTGGAATTTTTCAATTAATTTCCTTAATTGTATTTTTTCTTATTTAACTTTAAACCATTTTTAATCAGATTTATTTTTATATACTAACATATACCAGGGATAGTCATTAATTTAAACATTGCACTTCACACAACAGTTTCTTCTGCACTTAATTTCTATAGCACAATATTTAATTAAGTAAAGTTTTTTGTAACAAATTGAGAGAATAGGCATTTCCTTATACCAGCTGACCTTTATTAGACCATGCACGACTCCCCTGTGACTTTTGTTCTCCGCTAATCCGCAATACGCGCTTATTTTTAGCTTATACGAACGCTACTTAACCTTAATTTCATTCGAACGGCTACGTTCATTATCAATGTTAATTTATTGATTAATTTACATTTCGCTCCTACGCGATCTCTGCAAGTACACGCGGCGTTTTCCGCTCCGAAGTAATGGGATTACGAAGCATTATTAGGCGAAATTAGAACTAATTGTCGAGGAAAAAAAACCACTCACGGCGTTTACTCGAAAACGAAAAAGTTAGACAGAACCCGCGGAAGTTGCTTCGTTAAAGTCGCTTCTGGATCTGAAATTTGGGTTGCTCCGAGAAAAGTTTTCAGTTCTCGGTAATTACTAAATGGATGGAAGAGAGTCGGGGAAAATGTCGCCTCTCTGATGTATATAAAGCGCAGTAAATATAATCGTTTCGGGTGTTTGTTTGTTTCTGCTTTTGATATATAGGGGTTGAAATTGTGTAGTTTCGTTCTTGTTAATTAACTTTTTCTTATAAGAAGTTATTTCTAGCTTGATTTAAGTAAAAAATAAACCGCGCGTTTAATTGTGTCTGGGGGAATTGATGGGGATCCCTTGTTTAACCTCCTGTAACCTTTTGGGGGTCGCCGGAATGAAAATGGTTTTCCCGTTTTATGGGGATGTCTGGGCGACGTCGTCAGACAGTCGTTCGTACATATTGCAAGTTACAGTTACTGTGTATAATTCCGGAGTTATACGAGTTCATCCAGTTGCGAAAATTGCATACTCCTGCATTAAAAACATGTTATTTTATAATTCGGAATCTGTTCGGAGTCACCATAAAATTATGACGGTTTTTTATTCCTCTCGTATCCGCGTTTTATCCTAATACTTGTAATAGTTTTGTGGGTAGTAAGCGCGAAAAAATATCATACGAACGGTTGAATTTTTATTATTATATTTGCGATTTCGAAACGGCTCATTTTTCTAATCATTTTTGGTAAAAAAATATTTATTTCGCTTTCTAAATTCAATTCGATTGAGATTTATTTCGCGTTCTAAATTCAATTCGATTGAGGTAATTTTGACGATTAATAATACCGGGTGGTTCGGTTTGTTTGTTATCACTCCTACTTAACTAATTATAGAAAATATAAGTACGTTAACCTCGTGTAATTAGAATTTAATTAGCAGTTGCTTTCACCTAAACGTCTAATAAATGCAATTATTTCCAATAATAGGAAATTTTTAAGTGCGCTTGCTGCAAATCGATCACCTGGCATACGAGGGTTATAAAATAAGTTGTCGCGTTAATAATTAAAAACGATCGATTTTTAATGATTTTTCTGATATGGTTATATCGTGCGTTGCAAATATTTACCAAAAATGCACCTTTTAATTTTCCTCACAAAGACGCATTGCGAACAAACAGAAAGGAAAGGTCGTGCCGGTGCGTTTTGTGATCATACAATAGACGCTTGCGCTTTTTTACACCACGACGTTGCCGCGATTTCGTGCCAAAACCACGTTCTCGTGACAAACGACAAAAATATCTCGATTTTTTACGATGTCTTGAGAAATAAAAATTTGGTAGAAGATTAACATCTTACGAAAAATCTAATTGTATTTACACATTAATAAAATACTTCCACTTTATTGTTTTAAATTAATATGTAAGTCGCTACTAAGAAGCGATATAGTTGTAGGATTTACCTTGGACTTCTGATATAATTCGGCGGGTTTAATCAGCTGTTTCGCGTCGATTCCATAGCGCGTCGAAGGCTCGGCAATCGCGCATTAAACTAGTAAGTTACGGAGAATACGGAGAATGGAAACGAGGTACCGCTAGCTAATATACAACTATCATTTTAGTCGCTCGAGTCGTTGGGTTCCCGTCGGTTGGCGAAGCTCTCTTTTTCTCTCGCTTTTTTCGATCCGTCCTCATCCTCGTGCATCCCGCATAAATTTCCGAGCGAGCAACAGGTGCTGCAGGAACGTGGAGACGAGTTCTCTCCCGTATTCGTTTCATACGGGGTTGGTGGGTGTCTGTAGCAGGGCGCCGTTTTACTCTCGTTTTACCAGTGATTAGAGTATATTTATATTTGTTAATAATACTTGGTATTGTGAGCGTTTGTGATGTGAATTGTTAGGGGGTGTTTTTTGCGACTGTTTTGAATGTCACCCTATAGCCGATACCGGCCGTTGCCGGGCAGTGAGGGATTGGTCCTGCAAACTCCTACGGGATGTCGGCCCTCTCCCACTAGCGCCTGCAGATTCCTCAGGTGGATTTCCAAGCTGAGCCCTCAGCCCGTCAATAAACAAGGATTAGGTAAATAAGTGGATTTTTTTTACCAAAAAAAAATAGTTTATAAGTGTCTGTTATTTTTTGCACATACGATAAAAAACAGCAAAATTACCTATCAATCTAATGAGTAATATTTCGAATACGCTAAATTATAAAATATGTTTTGACTACACGTACAATTTTTTCAAATACACATGAATTATCTATAAGTTTCAATTGCAAATTTTCATATGCTTTAAAGGCTGTAAGACCGTTTTTCTCCGTAGCGGAATAAAATGTTCTTTCATTATAACGGATCATTAACAGAAACAGAAATAAAAACGACTGCTTTTCCTCCGATCGCGAAATACCTATTACGCCGGCATTACGGAACACGTACTGCCTTTATTAGTCGTAAAAAACACAACAAACCGCTCTTCGATGAAAGTAGCAATGTCCGTAAAACGGCTGCCATAACGTTTAACGTTAAATTTTGCGCTTACTATTCACCCCCTTTGGGTAGTTATTCGTAAAACGAAAATTAGAAGGTGAGGTATTTCGATTACATCCAGAAGTGAAAATACTAAATTACTTGCATTTTAATTAAACGGTATCGAGAAACACAAAAATAACAATATTTTAACCACGTAATAAAAATAAATAGCCATTCAAAACGATGCTTATTATCAACTGACCTTTACGTATAAAGTTGCTTTAATTATATTCAATTTATTGAGACATACATTATTAAGTTGTTAAATACAAAATAAATTTCCACCGACTAGTTTTCTCCTAAAAAATCGGAGAGGTGTGTTAATTAAAAATTTTCTTTCCGCTTTTCCGATGTATCTACCAATGGTGGTGGCATTGACATTAAAACAGATGTGATAAACCACACAGGACTGAGTAATGTAAATGTAAACACTTTGTTCCCATTACCAATCGATATTTATTTATTTTTCCAATGTAATGTTAGATATATTTTATGGGACAAGGAAAGTGCGATAAGGTAGGTAATGTAATCTGGTTGTCGGAATTTTTTCTAGTTCAAGGTGGAAATCCTATGAAAATTGCCGATAATTTGAGAAAATGTAAATGTAATATAATGTAGTCGAACGGTAATGATTTGAAATAATTTTATTTACCTATATAAAATAAAAGTTGAAATATGAATAACATTACAAACCTTTTAAATTAACAATTGCAGTAATTTAGACGTGCAATTATCGTTTTTTTGCAATTGAATTTATGTACAACCGATATCCAGTTATCTGCCTGTATGTACGTTTAACAAACAAATAAATTAGTAATAACAAATATAATAAAAAAGAACTTACTTTGGGCATTTGCAAAGTTTGTGTAATGTAGTTGCAATTTTATTTAAAGTGTTTTAATTATTATCTATAGATAAAAGGTATACCCTATAATTACTAAATTTTGCAAAAAGCATTTTAAGCACTTATTCAATTCAAAGCTTACAAGTAACAATTAAAAAATTTCCAATTTTATTCCATTTTACTTACACAATAGATATTTCTGAAACAACCGCTTTTTCTCCTAATTAAAATCGCATACCAATTTCAACGCATTAACATTCAATTATACAAGCTTGATTGAATTGAATTACATATCGAACGTTCGCTCATTCATTCCTTTATTCATTGATCTTACCTATAATAATACTAACATCATTCCACGACGACTTAGCGTCTCGGAAAAACACAATAATTATTACACTCGAAAAACAAAAAGCACGGTGATTATGAAATTTCATAATGGACATACACGTACATGAAAGTTTTTTTTTCTTCAAACGTTACGCACTGATTGATTAAGAGAGTTCCCGGGAAATGTCGTTAATCACTTGCGCGATGATTGACGGTAAGTGAGAAATTAAGAGTTCAATCGAAGTGTGAAAAAAAAGCGAATGCGATATGCAAGTAGGAGGCGGAACAATGGTATTCGCGTTTATTGAAAAAAATAAGCGCAAAGTACAATAAAATAATGCCTGATAATAACGGGGAACGTCGAGAATCGAAGCGATTCCGAGGCAACTGTAACTAATTGTTGCGAGCTTGACGGAATGAGGATTTGTAGGTGTAATGAAAAGGCTGTTGCCTATAGTCGGGATCAGGCCGAATAGTGATTGTACAAGGGGTTTATTATGCTAGTAACTACATAAAATGCAGAAAGTTGATTGCTTTAGGCAAAAGTTACAGGAATTTGTATGGTTAGAAGTGCACTTAAAATATTTTTTATATCGAGTTGGTGTAAAAGAGTGGTTGAAATTTGAAGCTTTTTTCCATCAGCATTTCAGTAATTTTATTAAGGCCGGCTTGATTTATGTGAGAATTTCCGGATTTCTTTGGCGGGCGTTTTTATAATGAAGAAAAAACTAGGCTCGCACCTGTGAAAGCTTGAGGAAAATGAAGAAAGCTGCCCGACCTTGGTGGAAAACGCAATGCGAACAACTTTATGTTATGCATAAAATTATGTTATCGATCGCGACTAAAAATAAAATATATCTGGGTTCAATTTTTGGCATCGCGACGTCGTTTTGGCTATGTAAGAATTTAATAAATTCGTGGAAAAGGCGTCGCGTCATATCTTTGTATGGTAATTTCTTTTCTCGTCGGCGAAAATAACTCGACCTTTTTTTCGTTGCAGGTTTTAATGAAAACGGTTTCTTAATATTTTAATGTCACATAATCGATTTGCGTTTTAGTCGCTGTAATTATTTTCTAAAATAAGGCTCCTGGGGATTGTATGGAAATGATCGTCGGAACAAAAATGGCAACGACGATATTGAGAAATAATTGCCAATTTCCTATTTCTTTCGAATCGAAAAATGCGGATTGTTAATTGTTAATTAATAAGGTGTATTCAAATTAAACGCGTCTGTATACAAAAAATACACAGATGTCTGTTCGTAATAAATGGTACGATAGAAAAAAATTACGGTTTTCGTCATGTGTTTAGTTGACCTCAAGTTAAATAGTAATAACGTCGGGAACAGCTGCTTTAATATTAATAAAATAGTAGTAATAATTTTCGTTCCTATTGTCTTCTTCTTTTGTCTATGAAATTAGGGGTTTGTAAGGTGAAATTATGAATTTAGGTGGAGATTTTAATCCATTGAACCCGCCAGGGACTCGGTAACTGCAAAGATCTCGGCACTTTTGGTTCAATGACGTCTCCAAGGTCGAAAACATCCGGTATCCACCGCAGTTTTTCGGCCGTCATTAATTACGGATTGAACCTCGAGCTTTCGTGCTTTACTCGATCCATCATTTATGACTGAAATGTGAATATATTGTAATTATTTTGACAAGCGATATATTGTTCGATTCACTATTGTAGAAATGCTTTTGTTGCTATTTTTCGCTACAGAGGCATTTTGTCCTGTATTTTTATTAGCGAAGCATTATCTAACAGTTCGTTAAAACTGACCTACTTGCTGGTTAGCGTTCGAATATCTATTTGCGGCGTCTATTTTCGTGTCGTACGTATTTATATCTGGTCTTTTCATATGCCATTTCATCACCATCATCATCCATCAGCTGGGTTTTTAATTTTTTTTCAGTTGCACTCGAAATTAATCCAATTCATATTTATTTTCCGATCCATTAATTTATTTCCATCCGGATTATTCGACCTGGATCCTTTGACAAAAGCGATCGGTTGACAGATGACCCAGGCGCTCGTCGATAAGAAAGAATATTCTTTCGGATAATAAATATTTACGATTCGAATTTTATGTTATTACTTAATTATCGTGTTTGGTCATAATTTATTCCGATGTAGCCGAGAATAATTGACGTCAGTTTACACGCGTTAAGAGGACGTTAAACACGGCTTTAAGGGCCTTGTATATTTGTCTATTCGAATTTAATTCCTCGTAAATAACTCGGTAACATTTTAAAATGTCAATTCCAAACCAGATTCGTTGATATTTATGTCACTTTTTAAATTTCCACTCGTTGGAATATTTTGAATATGTTTTCGATTATTAGTCGAATTATAATTAATTAAGTCGTTTTAATTAAAATTTTGTGAAGCGTTTTCGTTGCATGACGTAGGTGGTAAAAAATAGCGATGTTGTCACGTTGTTTGTTTTGTAGGATTTCGTCCTATTTCCTCCTAATTGGCGCACCTACAAATAACTCGATTATTGGATTTGAGTTGATTGCGAAGATAATTGATGAGTAATTATCTAATGAATAGTTATGTAAAAGCATATGGCGGTTTTTTACAAACTAATAACGAATAATAATTAGCAAATTGAAAAATTGTACTGTTATTATACTTACTTAACTGTGGTTTTTTTGGGTTGTACAGTTTCTCGTTAAAATTGAAGACATTAAGGTTTATTTGAAATTATTTATAATAACTACGTTATTTGCAGTATTTTTGGTGTTTAATTTTATTAATTCCGATTACGTGTTAAAGCTTTACGAGCTTGCGAACTTAAAAGGTTTTCCCGACTTTTTCCAAATTAGTCACGCGCTTAATTCCACGTGGAAAAACCATAAAGTCGAATCGAATTTTGCCAGCTTCGACGGAACGGAGGAGAATCTAATTTATTTTTTCTAGACAACTACTATATTATTTTATGTTCGACAAATTAACCGGCGTTTATTTATTGTCACGTACCTTTTAAACGGTTTGTTAGAGGTGAAAGTTAATTGCATTACGTCGTTAATAAATTGTTGATAAGTCCCTTTTATGTATCGACGCAAAGTACCCGTTTAACTAGCTTTTGTACGTTACACACGTACAATTTTACAACAAATAAGCCAATTACCGAATGGTAAAAGTCCATTTCTTGTTTGGGTAATTGGAACTTTCTTTTGAAATTTAATGTGGAGGAATAATTAATTTTTTTTATTGTCCACATAATAGCTTTCTTGTACTTTTTTTTTTCGAATTAAACGTAGCACGAAATTGTTTCAATTTTTTTGTCGATTCGAGGATTATTAGAAGTTACGTATTTTTACTTTCGCTTGTACGCAAGATGAGGTATTATATGTATTTTTTTTCGTCCA